GACCTCTCTGCTGTGTCTCACTTCGGTCCTAGACTGCTCACGCTTGATCAGCTTCACAAAGTCAAATATGTTCGGGTGACACTTGGATAACGAGTGGAGCCTGCTATGCCATCCTTCTACGTGGTTGTTTGTTTGATGTCCATCATTGGTGAAGTGGTTCCATTCTTCTCTTGTCCATGACGTACCCTCCACCCAAGTTGTTGTCACATAGTCCAGGAACCGAGTTACTCCTTCTCCTTGGGGACTATCGGCGATTGCATCTACCCACACATTCTCAACTTCCTCACGTGGAACAAGAGGAGGAGTCTTGGCACGAGCTGCTAGCAGATGGAAGTCAGGGTCTTCCTTGTACATTGGGACGAGTCTTCTGCCTCTCTCTATACATAGCTGTCTTGACGGAAGGAAGGACTGAAATGTGTTGGAATCCATCCAAAGGGAAGACGTCAGGAATATTTCTTAATGCAGTAACTTCATCGTCATAAATGTTTGGGATGGGGGTCGTCTCAGTTCTTGCCCGATCCAGGAGTGTTCTCTTGAAGTCGTCCATGTTGAAGATGTCCAGATCCAATCTTCAGTAGGCGATCATCTTGTGTGTGAATGGATCCTGTACAGCGTGGCACTGTACATGTCCAGCAGCAGATGTCATCTACCTGTCGGTTGACTTTAAACTTATGTCCTGCATAGTGTGCAAATCTGCCGTCACGAGCATTGGAAGGTATCTGACATTAATTTGTGCATTCGCCATAGCTATGTAGATATGGATATAGCTACAAACATACATACTTATAGCAAGTTTCTTCCTTCTCATGTTAGTTGTAGAAGGGAACTGAATAATATCCACTTCATGTAAATACTCCTCCAGTAATAATAGATCTAATCTTATTAAGATTAACAGTAAGTGCTTTCATCTATCCAACCTTAATGTTTTCACAGTAGACAAGTCTCATTACTAAACTAACCCTAACAGAGTGACCCCCGTCCACTGATCAGTGGCCTCTCCCACTCTTGTTTCACGCCCCAATTACCTCATTAATTATGTCATGTGGGCAAACTGTAACTAGGCCTTGTGGGATTTATTAGGTGTGAATTTTAGGCCTCGCGGACTGTAACCTAGGGAAACAATGACATGTGCCAACCAAGTCAGCGAGTCTGACTACCCGATGCCGTTAGTCGCCATTTCAGAAATATACTCTCCCAAAAAAGAAACGCATCATGAAAATAGCAATTTCATGTCGCAATGAATTAAACGTTATTCATTTTACAAAAGGTTTTGCTCTGTTTATGAGTCCTATGGTGTTTATGTTTTGAAACATCACAACAAAACGCACCATCCGTAAAATACCCGTATTTAACAGCATGATTTTAAATTTCGGCGTGTAGTGTCACAGAATACACAATTCACATGCAATGCACGTGAAAGTTGGGGGTCAGATAGTCTCAATGATGGGTATAAAAGTTTGATCGCTGTCTGTCGATTATTCACTGTATTTGGAATATTGTTGACGAACGCAAAATGCCAGGAATAAGTGAAGCCAACCGTCATATCGCCATTGGTTTGCTTGAAGCTGGCCAGTCTCAACGTGCAGTTGCCCGACGCATGAATGTTCACCAAAGCACCATTTCACGGCTCTGGGAGAGATATCGCCGGCAGAATGCGGTAGCAGATGCCCCTCGTAGTGGGCGACCTCGAGCGACCACTGCGGCGCAGGATCGCTACATCCGGGTACATCACCTGCGTCATCGAACAGCTACGGCGACCAGTACCGCTCGACAAATACCCGGATTGAGGAGGCTTTCTGCACAGACCGTCAGGAACAGGTTGAGAGAAGGCTGGTTTACGTGCCAGAAGACCTTATTTTGTCCCTGTGCTTCGACAACAACATCGTCGACATCGAGTTCAATGGTGCACCAACGTTCAGGCCTGGAACCTACCGAATTGGCGTAGAATCTGGTTCAGTGATGAATCACAATTTCTATTGGAACGACGCGATGGAAGAATGCGGGTGTACAGACGTCGACGTAAACGTTTCGCCGACGCTTGCGTTCCCCAGGTGGACAGATTCGGCCGGGACAGTGTTATGATGTGGGGGGAGATCACCTGCCGTAGGAGAAGTGATTTGGTGATGATCCAGGGTAACCTGACAGCTCAACGGTACTATGACGAAATCCTACGCTCACACCTCCTTCCAATCATTGATCGCCAGAGGGAGTTTTTTCAACAGGACAATGCCAGGCCCCACACAGCACGTCACACTAGAGACTTCCTCCAGAACCATAACATCAATGTGCTCCCCTGGCCCTCAAGATCACCGGACTTAAACCCTATCGAACATCAGTGGGATGCCCTGGACAGACGGGTGCGACGCCGTAACCCTCAGCCCCAGACACTTCAGCTACTCGCACAGGCACTACAGGCAGAGTGGGCTGCGATAGGGCAACACGAGATTCTGAGACTTATTCGTTCGATGCCGAGGCGATGCCGTGCAGTTCTGGATGCCCACGGTGGTCACACGAGGTATTGACTTCAGCGCCACCACACGTCTCCATGTGACACTCAAACTGACTTTCCTCGAGTTGGTGCCATAGACGGATAAGTCTGCATTCCCAGTGTGCAATTTCGCTATATTTCATTGACTCATAAAGCCTACAAGATGTTTCAAAATAAACAAAAAAATACAGTTGAAATTCCTATATGCGTTTCTTTTTGGGGAGAGTATAGTTTCCAAATTTGCTAGCCAGTCGGACTCGCTATGCCTGAAAGTTACTAGCCCACAAAATAATTCACTAGCCCGAAATTTGAATGCAGAAACTATGCAAAATATTGAGAAATATGAGAATAAGATATTGTCGTCATTAACCTGCTGATATGATGAACATTTTTATCAGGCCATAATCTTGCATGATTTAAAAGTGTACCACAACTTAACTAACAAATCGGAGATAGTGATATATTTACAAAATGACCCCATGAAAATTCACTAGCAAGCCGGGCCAGTGACTGTGGAGATATACTGGCCACACTGGCTGTGTTTAATTCAGCACAAATCCATGTAAGCGGATGACACGTGTGCCAGGTCCCCTATGTCGTGTCATGCAGTGCGGTTGTGGCGGACTGTTAAAGCACATTCCTTTCCGGTCTTCAGTCGTCTTTTATGCCGTTTATCCACGATTATCCTACTCGGCAAAGATTATATATTGCACAGCGTTTACCGTTCTTAAATAAATAAAAAATGCTACATTCTTGTTGAAAAGAAACGAACGAGCACTTTCATCCCAAAATTCCGATCACGTGACAGGGTAGGGTGCAACTTTGCCATAAACCAGTCTGACATTTTTACGACATGTTTTACCGCTGCCATGTTCCATGTAACGGTTTGGTCGGGGAACTATACAACACGAAGGAAACGACTGAAATCTGTTCTTGATAAAATATGTACCGATAGTAAACACGCCTTTCGTGAGTTTGATAATGTTTCAGGAGTGTAATTATGTCTGTCAGGCACTGCAGTCAGAAACGTTAACATTGACTGTAAGGATTGACACTCACTATGTGTACATGTCGTTATTAGGGACAGGAATAGAGTGAGTGAGTGAGTATAGTTTCCAGCAATGCCACTGCAGGGGACGCCAGAGAGAAATGGAACACTACAAACTAACAAATGGAATCGTCATTTATATCATCGAATCCTAAAAATATCAAGATGAAGATAGTTTATTGTAGGTCTCCGGTCTGTATACGGGGTGTGTTAATGACAGGAGAAGTGTGGACAGTGCAAATAGGGGAAAGCATCATAACATTGTGGAATTTGGTGACAGGAGAAATCAGACTCTTCCTTAATGACAACGAAATCTGTTATAAACAGGGCTAAGTTACCCAAATATTTCTGTGGAATATACTCCTTTCTTAATCGGCATAAGCATCACATATAAGTAACAGATGATATTCGTCTTCGATATCCGCCATACAGACAGGGCAAAATCTGAGATGTTTGGCGAGTGACTTGTTACGGCCAGTATTGATCATTATATCTGTCAAGCCAAGTCTAAATCTAATAACTGTATTTCTAAGTTTCTTGCTTGTAATGTTTAAAATATATCTCTCAGGTTCGATCAATGTTTTAAAGGATCTATATACATGTAGAACTTAATCTAAGGGTATCCATCCAATTCTGACGAAACATATCCACGGCTCTTTGACGAAATTAGTTTATAAACAGCCACTCGTAACCAACACCTTGGAAAATCCACACACATCCAAATCCATACGAAAATAGCAAATATCTTGTATGTGATGCCCATGTTACATATTACATAACCAACATGTTGTAAGATTGTTTGGTTAGACGCTGTTCATGCATTCTCGGTGGTTTGAACCAATATTTTATGCAAAGAAGGTGAGGGTTTATATAAAGCGGGTATCTTCCACAATCACCATATAGTTTGGTGTTGTAATGTTAACATTAAGGAACTTCTTACAAGCCAATAAATGTATTTTTTAAATGTATTAATGTTGATTCGTAAAACTGTTTGATACAAATTATGTAATATTGTCTGCAGCATCGAGGTGCGTTCACTTTCTATCAAGAAGAACACAAGTCAAAGAATATTCAAAGGTATTTAAAGATTCTGCGATCAGAATTCCTCATTGTATTTTCATTCAGTTTTAAGAAAGTGAACTTGCACCGAAACCCCATCAGCGTACTGACAGCAATAACGACTGCTTGTCATCAACTAGCCGCGTCCTTAAAGTCACGTGGTATTAAGGAAATCTCGTTCCATAACGCGTCATTTTGTTCGACTCCGAAGTCCTGACGTTGTTTAATGTGTTCACAGTACTTTTTTTATTACATATATGTATCATGACTTTGTATTAAATCTTTTGGGTATATAATAATAATCGCAGTGGTTGTCGTATCCGTTTAACGGTCTTATCAAATGCCACAATTACTTACCGTATTTTTAAACACTTAGTACCTCATCTAGACTGACAGGCATGTGAAGGAGAGGAGACGACACGTGTCAAAAACTGTGACGTCATTACAGGCTCTTTGAATCAACGCGCTCGCCCCGATACCAGTCCCGGGGAGTTTGTTTTCTACCGGCGTATTTACGGATATATTCAGAAACAAACAAGCCCTTAAGGGCTATGTGGATAGACAGATGAAGGGAGAAGGAAACAGCACAGAGAAGAACTGTATTCGCCCATATGTTCTTTCTTTCACTTTCGTTCAGCTGGCTCTGATATGTTCGTTCGGTGCAGTGTTTTATGTACAATTTTTGGACCTTACCCGACTAAGAGGACGGGTCGACAAGCTAGAAACACTGTGCAATTTCGCTGTTCATAACCGGCATGAAAGAGCAAAGGTACGTATTTTAAATTTTAAATTAAAAGTGTCTTTTTTAACTTTTGAAAGTTCACCCTCCCCCTACACGCCTCCCAGATGCCAAATCATGTTTTGACATTTTGATTGTGACAAGTTTGGGCGAGAGATTGTTCTTTGTCTTGAACAAGTTCGTGCAAAAGTAATGTAACCTAGTGACAAGCCTGACCTGGCAGACGTCGCAGAGGAATTTGACGGAAATTGCTGATTTGCGAATTATTCGATATTTGCTTGCTACTTCGTTGGTCTAATCAAAACTAACGGAACTCTTTTTTTCACTTACACGTAAATACTGTTGTTCTTCCTTTAGAACATCGAAATATAGAAACACATCTGCAAGAGAAAATAACGATTTTTTTTATGTACTAGCCGGAAGCTAATGTTTCTCATGTACATTGATTATGTGATTAGCTATACATCCGAATGTGTGATTAGACATACGTCCGAATGTGTGATTAGATGTACGTCAGAATAAGTGATAAGATGTACGTCAGAATGTGTGACTGGTTATACGTCAGAATGTGTGATTAGATGTACGTCAGTATGTGTGATTAGTTATACGTCAGAATGTGTGATTAGTTATACGTCAGAAGTGTGATTAGTTGTACGTCAGAATATGTGATTAGTTATACGTCAGAATGTGTGATTAGTTATACGTCAGAATGTGTGATAAGTTATACGTCAGAATATGTGATTAGTTATACGTCAGAATGTGTGATTAGTTATACGTCAGATGGTGTGATAAGTTATACGTCAGAAGTGTGATTAGTTATACGTCAGAAGTGTGATTAGTTATACGTCAAAATGTGTGATTAGTTATACGGCAGAATGTGTGATAAGTTATACGTCAGAAGTGTGATTAGTTATTCGTCAGAAGTGTGATTAGTTATACGTCAGAAGTGTGATTAGTTATACGTCAGAAATGTGATTAGTTATACGTCAAAATGTGTGATTAGTTATACGGCAGAATATGTGATTAGTTATACGTAAGAATATTGTGATTAGATGTACGTCAGAATATGTGATTACATGTACGTCAGTATGTGTGATTAGATATACGTCAGAATGTGTGGCTAGATGTACGTCAGAATATGTGATAAGATGTACGTCAGTATGTGTAATTAGATGTACGTCAGAATGTGTGGCTAGATAAACGTCAGAATATTGTGATTAGATGTACGTCAGAATATGTATTTAGATGAACGTCAGAATGTGTGATTAGTTATACGTCAGAATATGTGATTAGATGTACGTCAGAATGTGTGACTAGATATACGTCAGAACGTGTGATTAGATGTAAGCCAGAATGTGTGATTAGTTATACGTCAGAATATGTCAGAATATGTGATTAGATGTACGTCAGGATGTGTGATTAGATGTTCGTCAGAATGTGTGATTAGATGTACGTCAGAATGTGTGATTAGTTATACGTCACAATGTGTGATTAGATGTACGTCAGAATGTGTTATTAGATGTACGTCTGTTTATGTGATTAGATGTACCTCCGAATGTGTGATTAGATATACGTCAGAATGTTTGAGTAGATGTACGTCAGAATGTGTGATTAGTTATACGTCAGAATGTATGATTAGTTATACGTCAGAATGTGTGACTAGATGTACGTCAGAATGTGTGATTAGTTATACGTCAGAATATGTGATTAGTTATACGTCAGAATATGTGATTAGTTATACGTCAGAAGTGTGATTAGTTATACGTCAGAATATGTGATTAGTTATACGTCAGAAGTGTGATTAGTTATACGTCAGAAGTGTGATTAGTTATACGTCAGAATATGTGATTAGTTATACGTCGGAATGTGTGATTAGTTATACGTCAGAATGTGTGATTAGATGTACGTCAGAATGTGTGACTAGATATACGTCAGAATATGTGGTTAGTTATACGTCTGATTATGTGCTAGATGTAAGTCAGAATACCAGATTAGATTACGTCAGAATGTGTGAATAGTTATACGTCAGAATATGTGATTATATATTCGTCTGTTTATGCGATTAGATGTACCTCCAAATGTGTGATTAGTTATACGTCAGAATGTTTGATTAGATGTACGTCAGAATAGGTGATTAGTTATACGTCAGAATGTATGATTAGTTATACGTCAGAATGTGTGACTAGATATACGTCAGAATATGTGGTTAGTTGTACGTCTGATTATGTGCTTAGATGTAAGTCAGAATACCAGATTAGATTACGTCAGAATGTGTGAATAGTTATACGTCAGAATATGTGATTAGATGTTCGTCAGAATGTGTGATTGGATGTACGTCAGAATGTGTGATTAGATATACGTTAGTATGTGTGAATAGAACTACGTCAGAATGTGTGATTAGATGTACCTCCGAATGTGTGATTCGATGTACGTCAGAATGGGTGATTAGATATACGTCAGAATGTGTGATTAGTTATACGTCAGAATGTGTGACTAGATATATGTCAGAATATGTGATTAGATGTACGTCAGGATGTGTGATTAGATGTTCGTCAGAAAGTGTTATTAGTTGTACGTCTGTTTATGTGATTAGATGTACCTCCGAATGTGTGATTAGATATACGTCAGAATGCGTGATTAGATTTATGTGGGAATGTGTGATTAGATGTAGGTCAGTATGTGTGATTAGATGTAGGTCATAATGTCTGACTAGATATACGTCAGAATGTGTGATTAGTTATACGTCAGAATATGTGTTAGTTGTACGTCTGATTATGTGATTAGATGTAAGTCAGAATACGTGATTAGATTACGTCAGAATGTGTGAAGATGTACGTCAGAATGTGTGAATAGTTATACGTCAGAATGTGTGATTAGATGTTCGTCAGAATGTGTGATTGGATGTACCTCCGAATGTGTGATTCAATGTACGTCAGAATGGGTGATTAGATATACGTCAGAATGTGTGATTAGCTGTAGAATGCATGATAAGATGTACGCCATGTGTGATATGTACGTCACGATGTGTGATATGTACGTCACGATGTGTGGCATGTACGTCAGATGTGTGACATGTACGTGACGATGTATGACATGTATATCATGATGTGTGACATGTACGTCATGGTGTGTGACATGTACATCATGATGTATGACATGTACGTCATGGTGTGTGACATGTACGTCATGTGTGATGGTGTGTGTGACATGTACGATGTACATATGCGCGATGATGTACATGACATGTATGTCATGATGTGTGACATGTACGTCATGGTGTGTGACATGTACGTCATGGTGTGTGACATGTACGTCATGGTGTGTGACATGTACATCAAGATGTATGTATGCTATGTATATCATGGTGTGTGACATGTACGTCATGGTGTGTGACACGTACATCACGATGTATGACATGTACGTCATGGTGTGTGACATGTACATCAAGATGTATGACATGTACGTCATGGTGTGTGACATGTACATCACGATGTGTGACATGTACGTCATGGTGTGTGACACGTACATCACGATGTATGACATGTACGTCATGGTGTGTGACACGTACATCACGATGTATGACATGTACGTCATGGTGTGTGACATGTACGTCATGGTGTGTGACATGTACATCACGATGTATGACATGTACGTCATGGTGTGTGACATGTACGTCACGATGTGTGACATGTACGTCATGGTGTGTGACATGTACGTCATGATATGTGACATGTACGTGACTGTATGATATGTATATCATGGTGTGTGACATGTACATCACGATGTATGACATGTACGTCACAGTGTGTGAGATGTACGTCACAGTGTGTGACGTGTACATCACGATGTATGACATGTACGTCACAGTGTGTAAGATGTACGTCATGGTGTGTGACGTGTACATCACGACATGTATATCACGGTGTGTGAGATGTACGTAACGATGTGTGACATGTATTTCGGAAATTTTGACGTTTGCGTAATGATGCGCGACATGCAAGTAAATATTTACTGTACGGAGGAATATTTTCGTAATTTTGCGTGACGCGCACATCAAAATGTGTGATATAGAGTGTGTAGACAATGGCATGTAAATGTCATGGATCCCGAATTGCGTATGTCATGATGAGTACTATATCCAGCTTACATCCCACATAGCGTAGACCTGCATGTCACGGTGAGAGAATGTCACGTCTTGATCTGGAAGGGAGCCGCATCGGATCTGCGCGGTTTGTTGTCCTTGCCCAATGCTGCGTGCATTTTCAACATCAATCACTTTAGTGTCGAAGGGTGGCTAAAGAATTCACAGACCGAAGTGTTTCTGTTAAAATAAAGGCAGAATGAGGCGTAAAGCAACATTCGCTCCCAGTCCCAGCATACGACCCCACACCCGTCTAGATACACACACACCTTCATTTTTTAACAAAGCGTTTGCTAAATTGTTCAACGACTTCAGAGAAATGTCGACCTTAAAGACAAGATGGGGACGACACAGACACCGCTGATGAGCAGCGACGTCATGCCCGACGCCTACACGAATCTCCCTTCCTACGCCGACACCCCTGAGATGGCATACGTCACCCAGATTGCCGAGAAGATCAACCTCACAGACAACATGGGCAATATCGACTACGGCGGGGTGCCCCTCTCCAACTACGGCATGGAGATGGTCATTGATCAGGCCATTCAATATATCCTGGACGCTCAGGTCAGCAAATGTTAAGAAAACATTCATATGTTTAAACCATGTAAACAGCTGTTCTATTTTTCTGGCATACTTTTTTCTGTTAACCTTCTAGGGACTCACAGGCAGCCTGGGTTATCTGGGATAATAATGCATTAGGACTTTGCGTGTGGAAAACATTTTATTTTTCATGTATATTCCCAGGTATTGTTTACAGCTTCATAGTACAGTAAGTTCAGAGTATATAGGTAGCTTCATAGTACATAAGTACAGTATAGGTAGCTTCATAGTACATAAGTACAGTATGGGTATTCATAGGTACAGTATAGGTAGCTTCATAGTACATAAGTACAGTATGGGTAGCTTCATGGTACATAAATTACAGTATAGGTAGCTTCATAGTACATAAGTTACAGTATAAGGTAGCTTCATAGTACATAAGTTACACAGTATAGGTAGCTTCATAGTACATAAAATTACAGTATGGGTAGCTTCATGGTTACATAAGTACACAGTATGGTAGCTTCATAGTACATAAGTACAGTATAGGTAGCTAGCTTCATAAACATATAGTAGCTTCAGTATATAAGTAGCTTCATAGTACATAAGTTACAGTATAGGTAGCTTCATAGTACATAAGTACAGTATAGGTAGCTTCATAGTACATAAGTACAGTATAGGTAGCTTCATAGTACATAAGTACAGTATAGGTAGCTTCATAGTACATAAGTACAGTATAGGTAGCTTCATAGTACATAAGTACAGTATAGGGTAGCTTCATAGGTACATAAAGTACAGTATAGGTAGCTTCATAGTACATAAGTACAGTATAGGTAGCTTCATAGTACATAAGTACAGTATAGGTAGCTTCATAGTACATAGAAGTACAGTATGGGTAGCTTCATGGTACATAAGTACAGTATAGGTAGCTTCATGGTACATAAGTACAGTATAGGTAGCTTCATGGTACATAAGTTACAGTATAGGTAGCTTCATGGTACATAAGTACAGCATAGGTATAGGTAGCTTCATGGTACATAAGTTACAGTATGGGTAGCTTCATAGTACATAAGTGCAGTATAGGTGGCTTCATGGTACATAAATTACAGTATAGGTAGCTTCATAGTACATAAGTACAGTATAGGTAGCTTCATAGTACATAATACAGTATAGGTAGCTTCATAGTACATAAAATACAGTATAGGTGGCTTCATGGTACATAAATTACAGTATAGGTGGCTTCATGTACATAAGTGCAGTATAGGTGGCTTCATAGTACATAAAGTACAGTATGGGTAGCTTCATAGTACATAAGTACAGTATGGGTGGCTTCATAGTACATAAGTTACAGTATAGGTAGCTTCATGGTACATAGAAGTACAGTATGGGTGGCTTCATGGTACATAAGAGTACAGTATAGGTGGCTTCATAGTACATAAGTTACAGTATGGGTGGCTTCATGGTACATAAATTACAGTATAGGTGGCTTCATGGTACATAAGTGCAGTATGGGTGGCTTCATAAAACATAAGTACAGTATAGGTGGCTTCATAGTACATAAAGTACAATTATGGGTGGCTTCATGGTACATAAATTACAGTATGGGTGGCTTCATGGTACATAAGTACAGTATAGGTAGCTTCATGGTACATAAGTACAGTATAGGTAGCTTCATAGTACATAAGTACAGTATAGGTAGCTTCATAGTACATAAGTACAGTATAGGTAGCTTCAAGTACATAAGTACAGTATAGGTAGCTTCATAGTACATAAGTACAGTATAGGTAGCTTCATAGTACATAAGTACAGTATAGGTAGCTTCAAGTACATAAGTACAGTATAGGTGGCTTCATAGTACATAAATTACAGTATGGTAGCTTCATGGTACATGAGGCATTACAGTATAGGTAGCTTCAAGTACATAAGTACAGTATAGGTAGCTTCATGGTACATAAGTACAGTATAGGTAGCTTCAAGTACATAAGTACAGTATAGGTAGCTTCAAGTACATAAGTACAGGATAGGTAGCTTCAAGTACATAAGTACAGTATAGGTAGCTTCAAGTACATAAGTACAGTATAGGTAGCTTCATAGTACATAAGTACAGTATAGGTAGCTTCATAAAACATAAGTACAGTATAGGTAGCTTCAAGTACATAAGTACAGTATAGGTAGCTTCATAGTACATAAGTACAGTATAGGTAGCTTCAAGTACGTAAGTACAGGATAGTTAGCTTCATATTACAAACAGGCGCTTTATGAATAGCCAGTTTATTTGTATTATTATTAAATGTCTTGCCTGTGCATGTGTTTCTGACATGTGCGTACAGTAGGGTAGGATAAGCTGACATTTTCGCGAACACATAATGTCATATATCCGTGATAGTCATACTATTGCTCGTTATACAGTCGGGACTGTACGATTGACCCTTCATGGCGGTTGTCCAGCTGTGAAAACATTTTCAAACTTTTGTTTTTACATTTTTGGCAACAAGAACATTGTCCACCAATGACATCTTTATTTGAGTACTCAATAAGGCCGCAGGCCTATAGTACATTACTATACAAACTATACAATCATAGTATTCAAATATGTACAGAAATGTCAAAGCTCACCCAGATAGATTGCAGACTCATTTTGCCATTACGTTAACTCTGTACATGGATGCATGATAAATGAACATAGCTAAATCTTGCAGAACTTTACCATTTGTATTTGATAACAATAATAGAATTTAGTTAAATTTGGGTATGTAAAGTAATAGGGTTTGCAGATATCTTTCTCTAAATTGTAGGTCAACAGTACATACAAGCAGAAAATGATACTCATCTTCAACTGAACGCAAGTTGCAAACATTGCAAATTCATTATTATTAAAATCTGAATTATTTACAACTGTTGTTCCAGGCACAGGCACTAGCAGTTCATTGTTCTGCCGCACACAGCATCTGCCTCTCAGGTAGGTCACTCGTTAATACGGACATCCGGGGAAATTCGGATTAATGAGTTGGTTAGTTTAAAAGATAGTTGGTGGTGTGTATGATTTTTTTAATAATGTTTTTTGATGGCCTTTGAAGTGTTCTGAGGGATCGGGTGGTAAGGTTCGCTGACTTTATGAATGTCACCGTGTGCCATCTACATAAATTAGATCAGTGATCATGTTGTGAGTCGCTGGGTTATCTGGTCCTCCGTCAAATAGCTGGACTGTTTTAGTCTGACTGTTGATGTTATGTACATCTGCTCCAGTGGTTTTCCTCGCCGACTTGGTTGATACATGTCATTGTAGCCCAGTTGCGAAGATCGATGCTCATTATGTCTATCGCGGCGATTTTCTGGTCCAGTCTGAGTCCTTAATGATCACTGAATTTGTAGCTGGATCATTGCTGAGTTCGTTAAACTACAAACAAACACAGTGTAGGGTGTTTTCAGTGTCTCTTTGCTGATCTGTCACGTGACCCTGATGATGTTTGTTTGTACTTTGTGTTTGTTTGTCACGTGACATTTACTAACATATGTTTGTAGGTCCAAAGGGTCCACCTGGTTTCGACGGCTTCCCGGGTGAGTACTGGCCATCTGTTTCACCTTGGGCCTCTGGTACATGACGTATCTCCCACCAAGCGGCATGCTACGAACTATTATGTATATCCCGCCCTAGTATGTACATTTGGACCTGTAGTATATCATGTATATCCCGCCATAGTGTACACACTTGGACCTGTAGTATATCATGTATATCCCGCCCTAGTATGTACACTTGGACCTGTAGTATATCATGTATATCCCGCCCTAGTATGTACACTTGGACCTGTAGTATATCATGTATATCCCGTCATAGTGTATACACTAACACCTGTAGTATATCATGTATATCCCGCCATAGTGTATGCACTAACACCTGTAGTATATCATGTATATCCCGCCATAGTGTATGCACTAACACCTGTAGTATATCATGTATATCCCGCCATAGTGTATACACTAACACCTGTAGTATATCATGTATATCCCGCCATAGTGTATACACTAACACCTGTAGTATATAATGTATATCCCGCCATAGTGTATACACTAACACCTGTAGTATATCATGTATATCCCGCCCATAGTGTACACACTTGGACCTGTAGTATATCATGTATATCCCGTCATAGTGTATACACTAACACCTGTAGTATATCATGTATATCCATCCCTAGTATGTACACTTGGACCTGTAGTATATCATGTATCTCCCGCCATATTGTATACACTAACACCTGTAGTATATCATGTATATCCCGCCATAGTGTATTCACTAACACCTATATCATGTATATCCCGCCATGTATATCCCCTGTAGTATATCATGTATATCCACCATAGTGTACACACTTGGACCTGTAGTATATCATGTATATCCCGCCCTAGTATACACACTTGGACCTGTAGAACACCACGTATATACCACTACACTGCCTACAAGGACCTATGATATATCATGTATATCCCGCCATAGTGTATGCACTAACACCTGTAGTATATCATGTATATCCCGCCATAGTGTATGCACTAACACCTGTAGTATATCATGTATATCCCGCCATAGTGTATGCACTAACACCTGTAGTATATCATGTATATCCCGCCATAGTGTACACACTTGGACCTGTAGTATATCATGTATATCCCGCCATAGTGTATACACTAACACCTGTAGTATATCATGTATACCCCGCCATACTGTATGCACTAACACTTGTAGTATATCATGTATATCCCGCCATAGTGTACACACTTGGATCTGTAGTATATCATGTATATCCCACCATAGTGTATACACTTGGACCTGTAGTATATCATGTATATCCCGCCATAGTGTATGCACTAACACCTGTAGTATATCATGTATATCCCGCCATAGTGTATACACTAACACCTGTAGTATATCATGTATATCCCGCCATAGTGTACACACTTGGACCTGTAGAACACCACGTATATACCACTACACTGCCTACAAGGACCTATAATATATCATGTATATCCCTCCATAGTGTATACACTTACACCTGTAGTATATCATGTATATTCCGCCATAGTGTATGCACTAACACCTGTAGTATATCATGTATATCCCGCCATAGTGTACACACTTGGATCTGTAGTATATCATGTATATCCCACCATAGTATGTACACTTGGACCTGTAGTATATCATGTATATCCCGCCATAGTGTATACACTAACACCTGTATATTATGGACCTGTAGATCACCACGTATATACCACTACACTGCTTACAAGGGCACCTATAATATATCATGTATATCCCGCCATAGTGTATGCACTAACACCTGTAGTATATCATGTATATCCCGCCATAGTGTACACACTTGGACCTGTAGAACACCACGTATATACCACTACACTGCCTACAAGGACCTATAATATATCATGTATATCCCGCCATGTTGTAACAGATATTACATATTACAACACCACTAAAACATATGTTGTATAAATATACGTGTGTGAAATCCCCTATAGACTGTAAGAGGTCACGTTGTATTGCAGGTCCCGAGGGTCCGGTCGGTCCAGCAGGGAAGGATGGTGAGAAACGTCTTGGGCCTCTGTGAAATTGTCGGCGTTTTAAATATTGCAAATGAACCAATCATGAGTATTTACATGATCTACCTTTGTGTGTGTTAATGTATGATATAGTTGTGCACATATGTATATATAGACGGGATATTTTCTTCTGTTCGAACCCGTTTACTGAGTGGTACCCGATCATGTTTTAGCAATGTGGGTGTTGCAATAGCTACCACTTTCCCACTTTTCTGAAACGCACAAACAAGAGGTTATGGTAATGACAAAATCAATTGAACATTGATACTGAATAACAATATCAATAAATGATCAGTCAAATGGTGGCTCTTAGCATGACTTATCTCATTACCTGTACTATATGAAATATGTAATACTAACATGATGTAACGTGATCTCATTGTATCAACTACATAGTTTAACCTGTTTCAGGTGCCCCAGGAGAGAAGGGTATTACAGGAGATAAAGGTAACAGAATGTCCCATGTGAAGACTTTGCCAGAAGTACCCTTTAATTTCCTAACAAAATGTCGAAATACGGTTCAAAAACAAAATGTTGGTAACTCCGTGATTAGAGTGGAGCAAATGTTTAGGTTGGTCATGCCAAAGACAAGGGGTGTATTTCAACAAACGTAAAATAGGGGAGGACGGTATGTTGTCCCTACTAGGAGGTTAGTAGGAGGGGCGGTGGGGGTAGTCCAGTGGTCGCAGCGTTCGCTCCTCACGCCGAAGGCCGGTGTTCGATTTCCCACATGGGTACCACATTGCTTGAGCATTGCTAAAAGCGGCGTAAAACCATACTCAATCACTCACTCACGCTAGTACTACGAAGACTTATGCGTTGAATATGGAGGTGGCATGATTACATTTCAGGTAGTGGACATATTTTACTTCAATGTTTGTAAATTGGGTGACAGAACAATGAGCCCTGACGTATGCTCCGTTAGTTTGAAACCCGTGAAGGTCAAGGTTGGAATGAATCTTCAGTAACCCATACTGTCTATACCCGCGCAGGTCCGTGTTGGAATGAACCTTCAGTAACCAGTGAAGGTCCGGGTTGGAATGAACCTTCAGTAACCCGTGAAGGTCCGGGTTGGAATGAACCTTCAGTAACCCGTGAAGGTCCGGGTTGGAATGAACCTTCAGTAACCCGTGAAGGTCCGGGTTGGAATGAACCTTCAGTAACCCGTGAAGGTCCGGGTTGGAATGAACCTTCAGTAACCCGTGAAGGTCCGGGTTGGAATGAACCTTCAGTAACCCGTGAAGGTCCGGGTTGGAATGAACCTTCAGTAACCCGTGAAGGTCCGGGTTGGAATGAATCTTCAGTAACCCGTGAAGGTCAGGGTTGGAATTAATCTTCAGTAACCCGTGAAGGTCAGGGTTGGAATGAACCTTCAGTAACCCGTGAAGGTCAGGGTTGGAATGAACCTTCAGTAACCCGTGAAGGTCAGGGTTGGAATGAATCTTCAGTAACCCATACTGTCGTAAGCGACTAACGGGATCGTGGTCAGGCTCGCTGACTTGGTTGACACATGTCATCGGTTCCAATTGCGCAGATCGATGCCCATGCTGCTGATCACTGGATTGTCTGGTCCAGACTCGATTATTTACAGACCGCCTCCATATAGCTGGAATACTGCTGAGTGCGGCGTAAAACTAAACTCACTCACTCACGTTAGTTTGAAGAAATAGTAATACGTGTATATTTCGTTGGTTGGTTAACATGTTTGCTACGTTTTTGTTGACGGAAGCTTGTCGTTGTCCCTAAACTCACGAACGTTGTGTTGTGCAGGTGATGCTGGACTTCCGGGGGAGAAGGGTAGGTTGTTTGTTGTCGGAAACATAACATAATAGCACCGTCTTTCTCTTTATAGGTATTTTACTTAAATAAATATCATCCTTTTCGTAAGAGGCGACTAACGGGATCGGGTGGTCAGGCTCGCTGACTTGGTTGACACATGTCAATTGCGTAGATCGATGCCCATGCTGTTGATCACTGGATTGTCTGGTCCAGACTCGATTATTTACAGATCGCCGCCATATAGCTGGAATACTGCCGAGTGCGGCGTTAAGCAACAACAGTAGGTACATGAAAATGCACATTCTTGGCTAATTTTTTTTTAAAATGGACTAATGTTGATTCTGGAATCTTTGAATTGAATGAACTAATGCACACTAGCTTAAAAAATATATCTACCAACATTCAGTAGCTCACATTGTTGTGTGTTTGGTTAATAGATGCATGTTATTAATGACAAAAAATATCAAACATCTCTTTTGGCCAGGAGCGGATGGTCTTCCAGGACCGAAAGGTAGGTTGTTAGTTTCCGATTAAGAATTATAAATTTGATGTAATTGCAAAAGCGAAAGTTGGTGTTGGCTGTTAGCCGTTTTCAGCATAATATAAGGTTCCACACTCTTACAGTTTCTGCCAATAGTAGGAGTGTGTCACCTCTGTGTTGTTATATAGTGCCAAATACATTTATTCAAAAAATTATTAAAATTTGTGTTTGTTTATATAAAAATGTACATCGCCGTGACTTGTCACGCAGTAAAGTGTTTACCTAAGTGGGTAAAACGCTCGCTTGTCACACTGAAGGCCGGAGTTCCATTCCACACATGCGGACAGAGTGTGAAGTCAGAGTTGGATGTCCCTTAATAGCAGCAATGTGGTGGAAATGTTGCCAAAAACTGCTTAACCGTTAAGGTACTAAAACGTTAAATGTATATTGCCACACATGACGTAATCTGACCCCACTGACCTTTGTGACCATGTGTGTATGTTCTTCAGGTGACCAGGGGCAACAAGGAGAACGAGGTATGTGCCACAAAGTAAGCTCAACATTCCATATTTGGAAACAATATATTTATTTCACCCTGTCTATAGCTCGAATATTGATCCACGAACGAACGAACGAAACATGATGTAGACAATACATTTATCTCCCATTTATCACTACCATTTACACCTGAGACAGTACATGTTATAGCAGTGTATCATTATTGTTTCTCTTCGTTAATATCAGTAAGGTATATGAACTCTGACTTGAAAACAGTTGAAGCCTTAAAGTTGTAATGAGGTAACTACGGCTCCCAAACAGAAGTGATGAACACAGGCCTAATGCTCGTACCAGTAGTTTCAATCACAAGCGTCCTTGTATTCACGGATGCAGCGTCATTTGGTGGTATTACATTTTATTTCTGATACAGTGACATCCTTTATCACTTGGGCTTCTCACGTCGAAGGATTAACGAGAACGTGTTAAACTGCACCCTGGATGCCAGGAAGTTTTGTTAATGAATGAGCGCAATTTCATGCTTGTTTCAGAGGCCACTAAATAGCTTTTAAGTGAGAGGGGGTAGGGAAGGGGGTTGGGATGGGGTGTGTCTTGTTTCGGAAAACGAAATGATAATTCGGGGCGATGTTGTTGATGTCAATGACGAAGTTGATGATGATTGTGTTAATGTTTACTTTGATGTTGTTTCAGGCTGGCGAGGTTGGGTTGGCATCAAGGGTGAACCGGGTAACGTATAGGTCTCTACATAGACTGGACATAACACCGGGTGTCTTCAACACATTGGGCGATGGGGTAACGTATATGTGTCTATACTGGAAATGACACTTGATGCCTTCAACAAAAAGAGCGTCGGTGTAACGTAAAGGATCAAACATTTGTCGTCACACTATTGGCACAGAAACCTCAGGTTTCCCTTGCTTCAGGGAGCCGGAATGTTTCTAAAAGTGCCATGACACTTAACACCTCCATCTCTCACTGGTTCTAATATTGATATAATATTATTCCGGTACTAAATTTCAATACCAACATGCAGAACTACCATCTTGTCCTAACTCCCAGTGCTTGACTTCCGGTACTATCTGTCAGTGTTAAATTCCGATACTAAATGTCGGTACTACTACCGTGTCCGAACTCCCAACACTAACTCCCAACACTAACTCCCAACACTAACTTCCAACACTAACAGTTTGGTCTGAAATTGGAGTCTGTAGAACCAAATTGTTGAAAACGTGCATGTAGAGGAGCGTGTTAGATCCTAGTGTTGAGAGGACAGCGTCACATAGCAACCGTCTTACTTTGTAATATAACCTGAGTGAGTAACAGGTGCCTCTGGTAAAACACGCTTAACCCTTTTGGAAACCCCTGGTGTCATCCCTGGTATTCACAGTTTCATTTGTGCAAATTTTCATCACAATTTAGCCTTTCGACAAATAGCCGAGAATGATTATTTTTGTGGATAGCATCGTGAATCACGGAAGTTAGACGACTACAGCTTGTTCAGCTTGACCTGAGCTACTCGGGAGGTCAAAAGGCACAAGAAGCAGGTCAAGTTAACTTTATTAAAAAGGGGAGCAGAGAAGGTTATTAATGCCTAAAAGCCCGAATCGGAAAATTAAACCGTCTCTAGCTTCCTTTTAAAAGAAAGTTAGGACATTGCTGACGATTTCTCGACACTGAGATGTCAAACGGCGACCTTGTCTCGGATGTTGACAATGAACTGACAAAGGTGCACCCCTTCACAATAATGGACCCAACCAGTTGTGACACGGTCACGCAATGCATTAGTATTCACTTGATCAGGTCAAGCTGAACAAGCTGCACCCTGTGTCGAGATCCTATACATTGTGTATGACACTAATACTGTGCAGTATGATTCGGAGCGACGTTTACCTATACAATAAACAATTACTGCCTAACCAGATAGGTGATTAAGGCCTATCTTGTGTCAGGATCAGAGCTTATTGACATCTGAATTGTCGCAATATGTTGATACTAGATTCTACACTGAGTGGACCACACAGACATTCTTACCTTACTTTACTGAACTGAAATATTCCAGAAATGTCATCATAATTACGAATGACGTTACATGATAACTAGGTCAATAATGTCAAGATTCCGTTGCATATATTAAATGTTAGCTTGGCAAGGATGCATGTTCTATTTACAAAGACTCACAGAATACAATATTTTACCAGTGCATAGATATAAACATGTACATAAACATCTTATAATATAGTTGTCATTAATATATGTTCTATTTACAAAGACTCACAGAATACAATATTTTACCAGTGCATAGATATAAACATGTACATAAACATCTTATAATACAGTTGTCATTTATATATCATGTTCTATTTACAAAGACTCACAGAATACAATATTTTACCAGTGCATAGATATAAACATGTACATAAACATCTTATAATATAGTTGTCATTAATATATATTTCTATTTACAAGACTCACAGAATACAATTTTTACCAGTGCATAGATATAAACATGTACTCTTATAATACAGTTGTCATTAATATATCATATCTTTTACTCAGTGCAATAGATAGATATAAACATGTACATAAACATCTTATAATACAGTTGTCATTTATATATCATGTTCTATTTACAAAGACTCACAGAATACAATATTTTACCAGTGCATAGATATAAACATGTACATAAACATCTTATAATACAGTTGTCATTTATATATCATGTTCTATTTACAAAGACTCACAGAATACAATATTTTACCAGTGCATAGATATAAACATGTACATAAACATCTTATAATACAGTTGTCATTTATATATCATGTTCTATTTACAAAGACTCACAGAATACAATATTTTACCAGTGCATAGATATAAACATGTACATAAACATCTTATAATACAGTTGTCATTTATATATCATGTTCTATTTACAAAGACTCACAGAATACAATATTTTACCAGTGCATATATATAAACATGTACATAAACATCTTATAATATAGTTGTCATTAATATATGTTCTATTTACAAAGACTCACAGAATACAATATTTTACCAGTGCATAGATATAAACATGTACATAAACATCTTATAATACAGTTGTCATTTATATATCATGTTCTATTTACAAAGACTCACAGAATACAATATTTTACCAGTGCATAGATATAAACATGTACATAAACATCTTATAATACAGTTGTCATTTATATATCATGTTCTATTTACAAAGACTCACAGAATACAATATTTTACCAGTGCATAGATATAAACATGTACATAAACATCTTATGATACAGTTGTCATTTATATATCATGTTCTATTTACAAAGACTCACAGAATACAATATTTTACCAGTGCATAGATATAAACATGTACATAAACATCTTATAATACAGTTGTCATTTATATATCATGTTCTATTTACAAAGACTCACAGAATACAATATTTTACTCAGTGCATAGATATAAACATGTACATAAACATCTTATAATACAGTTGTCATTTATATATCATGTTCTATTTACAAAGACTCACAGAATACAATATTTTACCAGTGCATAGATATAAACATGTACATAAACATCTTATAATACAGTTGTCATTTATATATCATGTTCTATTTACAAAGACCCACAGAATACAATATTTTACCAGTGCATAGATATAAACATGTACATAAACATCTTATAATACAGTTGTCATTTATATATCATGTTCTATTTACAAAGACTCACAGAATACAATATTTTACCAGTGCATAGATATAAACATGTACATAAACATCTTATAATACAGTTGTCATTTATATATCATGTTCTATTTACAAAGACTCACAGAATACAATATTTTACCAGTGCATAGATATAAACATGTACATAAACATCTTATAATACAGTTGTCATTTATATATCATGTTCTATTTACAAAGACTCACAGAATACAATATTTTACCAGTGCATAGATATAAACATGTACATAAGCACCTAATAATATAGTTGTCATTAATATATCATGTTCTATTTACAAAGACTCACACAGAATACAATATTTTACCAGCGCATAGATATAAACATGTACATAAACATCTTATAATACAGTTGTCATTTATATATCATGTTCTATTTACAAAGACTCACAGAATACAATATTTTACCAGTGCATAGATATAAACATGTACATAAACATCTTATAATACAGTTGTCATTTATATATCATGTTCTATTTACAAAGACTCACAGAATACAATATTTTACCAGTGCATAGATATAAACATGTACATAAACATCTTATAATACAGTTGTCATTTATATATCATGTTCTATTTACAAAGACTCACAGAATACAATATTTTACCAGTGCATAGATATAAACATGTACATAAACATCTTATAATACAGTTGTCATTTATATATCATGTTCTATTTACAAAGACTCACAGAATAATACAATTTTTCACCAGTGCATAGATATAAACATGTACATAAACATCTTATAATACAGTTGTCATTTATATATCATGTTCTATTTACAAAGACTCACAGAATACAATATTTTACTAGTGCATAGATATAAACATGTACATAAACATCTTATAATACAGTTGTCATTTATATATCATGTTCTATTTACAAAGACTCACAGAATACAATATTTTACCAGTGCATAGATATAAACATGTACATAAACATCTTATAATACAGTTGTCATTTATATATCATGTTCTATTTACAAAGACTCACAGAATACAATATTTTACCAGTGCATAGATATAAACATGTACATAAACATCTTATAATACAGTTGTCATTTATATATCATGTTCTATTTACAAAGACTCACAGAATACAATATTTTACCAGTGCATAGATATAAACATGTACATAAACATCTTATAATACAGTTGTCATTTATATATCATGTTCTATTTACAAAAGACTCACAGAATACAATATTTTACCAGTGCATAGATATAAACATGTACATAAACATCTTATAATACAGTTGTCATTTATATATCATGTTCTATTTACAAAGACTCACAGAATACAATATTTTACCATTTCATAGATATAAACATGTACATAAGCACCTAATAATATAGTTGTCATTAATATATCATGTTCTATTTACAAAGACTCACAGAATACAATATTTTACCAGCGCATATATATAAACATGTACATAAACATCTTATAATACAGTTGTCATTTATATATCATGTTCTATTTACAAAGACTCACAGAATACAATATTTTACCAGTGCATAGATATAAACATGTACATAAACATCTTATAATACAGTTGTCATTTATATATCATGTTCTATTTACAAAGACTCACAGAATACAATATTTCACCAGTGCATAGATATAAACATGTACATAAACATCTTATAATACAGTTGTCATTTATATATCATGTTCTATTTACAAAGACTCACAGAATACAATATTTTACCAGTGCATAGATATAAACATGTACATAAACATCTTATAATACAGTTGTCATTTATATATCATGTTCTATTTACAAAGACTCACAGAATACAATATTTCACCAGTGCATAGATATAAACATGTACATAAACATCTTATAATACAGTTGTCATTTATATATCATGTTCTATTTACAAAGACTCACAGAATACAATATTTTACCAGTGCATAGATATAAACATGTACATAAACATCTTATAATACAGTTGTCATTTATATATCATGTTCTATTTACAAAGACTCACAGAATACAATATTTTACTAGTGCATAGATATAAACATGTACATAAACATCTTATAATACAGTTGTCATTTATATATCATGTTCTATTTTACAAAGACTCACAGAATACAATATTTTACCAGTGCATAGATATAAAACATGTACATAAACATCTTATAATACAGTTGTCATTTATATATCATGTTCTATTTACAAAGACTCACAGAATACAATATTTTTACCAGTGCATAGATATAAACATGTACATAAACATCTTATAATACAGTTGTCATTTATATATCATGTTCTATTTTACAAAGACTCACAGAATACAATATTTTACCAGTGCATAGATATAAACATGTACATAAACATCTTATAATACAGTTGTCATTTATATATCATGTTCTATTTACAAAGACTCACAGAATACAATATTTTACCAGTGCATAGATATAAACATGTACATAAACATCTTATAATACAGTTGTCATTTTATATATCATGTTCTATTTACAAAGACTCACAGAATACAATATTTTACCAGTGCATATATATAAACATGTACATACACATCTTATAATATAGTTGTCATTAATATATGTTCTATTTACAAAGACTCACAGAATACAATATTTTACCAGTGCATAGATATAAACATGTACATAAACATCTTATAATACAGTTGTCATTTATATATCATGTTCTATTTACAAAGACTCACAGAATACAATATTTTACCAGTGCATAGATATAAACATGTACATAAACATCTTATAATACAGTTGTCATTTATATATCATGTTCTATTTACAAAGACTCACAGAATACAATATTTTACCAGTGCATAGATATAAACATGTACATAAACATCTTATGATACAGTTGTCATTTATATATCATGTTCTATTTACAAAGACTCACAGAATACAATATTTTACCAGTGCATAGATATAAACATGTACATAAACATCTTATAATACAGTTGTCATTTATATATCATGTTCTATTTACAAAGACTCACAGAATACAATATTTTACCAGTGCATAGATATAAAACATGTACATAAACATCTTATAATACAGTTGTCATTTATATATCATGTTCTATTTACAAAGACTCACAGAATACAATATTTTACCAGTGCATAGATATAAACATGTACATAAACATCTTATAATACAGTTGTCATTTATATATCATGTTCTATTTACAAAGAGACCCACAGAATACAATATTTTACCAGTGCATAGATATAAACATGTACATAAACATCTTATAATACAGTTGTCATTTTATATATCATGTTCTATTTACAAAGACTCACAGAATACAATATTTTACCAGTGCATAGATATAAACATGTACATAAACATCTTATAATACAGTTGTCATTTATATATCATGTTCTATTTACAAAGACTCACAGAATACAATATTTTACCAGTGCATAGATATAAACATGTACATAAACATCTTATAATACAGTTGTCATTTATATATCATGTTCTATTTACAAAGACTCACAGAATACAATATTTTACCAGTGCATAGATATAAACATGTACATAAGCATCTTATAATATAGTTGTCATTAATATATCATGTTCTATTTACAAAGACTCACAGAATACAATATTTTACCAGCGCATAGATATAAACATGTACATAAACATCTTATAATACAGTTGTCATTTATATATCATGTTCTATTTACAAAGACTCACAGAATACAATATTTTACCAGTGCATAGATATAAACATGTACATAAACATCTTATAATACAGTTGTCATTTATATATCATGTTCTATTTACAAAGACTCACAGAATACAATATTTTACCAGTGCATAGATATAAACATGTACATAAACATCTTATAATACAGTTGTCATTTATATATCATGTTCTATTTACAAAGACTCACAGAATACAATATTTTACCAGTGCATAGATATAAACATGTACATAAACATCTTATAATACAGTTGTCATTTATATATCATGTTCTATTTACAAAGACTCACAGAATACAATATTTCACCAGTGCATAGATATAAACATGTACATAAACATCTTATAATACAGTTGTCATTTATATATCATGTTCTATTTACAAAGACTCACAGAATACAATATTTTACCAGTGCATAGATATAAACATGTACATAAACATCTTATAATACAGTTGTCATTTATATATCATGTTCTATTTACAAAGACTCACAGAATACAATATTTTACCAGTGCATAGATATAAACATGTACATAAACATCTTATAATACAGTTGTCATTTATATATCATGTTCTATTTACAAAGACTCACAGAATACAATATTTTACCAGTGCATAGATATAAACATGTACATAAACATCTTATAATACAGTTGTCATTTATATATCATGTTCTATTTACAAAGACTCACAGAATACAATATTTTACCAGTGCATAGATATAAACATGTACATAAACATCTTATAATACAGTTGTCATTTATATATCATGTTCTATTTACAAAGACTCACAGAATACAATATTTTACCAGTGCATAGATATAAACATGTACATAAACATCTTATAATACAGTTGTCATTTATATATCATGTTCTATTTACAAAGACTCACAGAATACAATATTTTACCATTTCATAGATATAAACATGTACATAAGCACCTAATAATATAGTTGTCATTAATATATCATGTTCTATTTACAAAGACTCACAGAATACAATATTTTACCAGCGCATATATATAAACATGTACATAAACATCTTATAATACAGTTGTCATTTATATATCATGTTCTATTTACAAAGACTCACAGAATACAATATTTTACCAGTGCATAGATATAAACATGTACATAAACATCTTATAATACAGTTGTCATTTATATATCATGTTCTATTTACAAAGACTCACAGAATACAATATTTCACCAGTGCATAGATATAAACATGTACATAAACATCTTATAATACAGTTGTCATTTATATATCATGTTCTATTTACAAAGACTCACAGAATACAATATTTTACCAGTGCATAGATATAAACATGTACATAAACATCTTATAATACAGTTGTCATTTATATATCATGTTCTATTTACAAAGACTCACAGAATACAATATTTCACCAGTGCATAGATATAAACATGTACATAAACATCTTATAATACAGTTGTCATTTATATATCATGTTCTATTTACAAAGACTCACAGAATACAATATTTTACCAGTGCATAGATATAAACATGTACATAAACATCTTATAATACAGTTGTCATTTATATATCATGTTCTATTTACAAAGACTCACAGAATACAATATTTTACCAGTGCATAGATATAAACATGTACATAAACATCTTATAATACAGTTGTCATTTATATATCATGTTCTATTTACAAGACTCACAGAATACAATATTTTACCAGTGCATAGATATAAACATGTACATAAACATCTTATAATACAGTTGTCATTTATATATCATGTTCTATTTACAAGACTCACAGAATACAATATTTTACCAGTGCATAGATATAAACATGTACATAAACATCTTATAATACAGTTGTCATTTATATATCATGTTCTATTTACAAAGACTCACAGAATACAATATTTTACCAGTGCATAGATATAAACATGTACATAAACATCTTATAATACAGTTGTCATTTATATATCATGTTCTATTTACAAAGACTCACAGAATACAATATTTTACCAGTGCATAGATATAAACATGTACATAAACATCTTATAATACAGTTGTCATTTATATATCATGTTCTATTTACAAAGACTCACAGAATACAATATTTTACCAGTGCATAGATATAAACATGTACATAAGCATCTTATAATATAGTTGTCATTAATATATGTTCTATTTACAAAGACTCACAGAATACAATATTTTACCAGCGCATATATATAAACATGTACATAAACATCTTATAATACAGTTGTCATTTATATATCATGTTCTATTTAGAAAGACTCGCAGTGTTTATCGCCAAACTGATATTTGCGATATTGAAGCATCTATGTTGTTTTGTTAAATCTCAGGGGAGGGCGGATCAGGCCTTGGGCTGAAGGGAGAGAAGGGTAGGTACTCCTCACATCTGGTCCACATATCACACCAACTGGGCTATATACTCATCTGATTGTCCTACCCGACATCCGCAGGTAGAGAGATGCAGAAAGTAGAGTTTTGTCAGAATCCTACAGGTGGTGCATTCGTTTCCCGACCCCCTCATGTCAGGTGCACGGGGGGACGGGTTACATTGGCGTCCATCTGCTGTTCAGACTTGGGTCTCAGAGACATACAGGTTCTTCTTGGTTCGAGTCCTGTTTCTGCCTGATAATAATTCCTGGTTTGTCCGCACCGTAACCGATCTGGTGGGTTTCTGCCGTGGGGTCGGCATCATGTGGTGCTTTCCTTCAGCGTGAAGCTGACATGCCGTGAAATAACTGGGATATTGTTCAGTCGGCATTACTCACTCACTCATTTATGCCACACCCCATTACTGGCGCTTCCTTGTAATATTCTATACGTCATACGTCACACACCATATATCACACCTACACATAGGTACGTCGTCCAGACAGACGAGAAGGTGTAACAAATTCAAAACAAATCTTTTCTATCACTTCAGGGGATCCAGGAACGCCAGGCATAGCTGGACCAAAAGGTTGGTGATGACTTCAGTACAGGTCTTCAGCTCCATCATCATTTCATACATTAATCTACCAGGTGTTATAATGACGTGAAGTGTTCACGGTGACGTTAAGAATCCTGCATTCACACAGGTATCGACTCTACGACCGTAGGATATTACGTAATTCAGGCAGCTACGAGGGGCGGTAGGGTAGATTAGTGGTTAAGGTGTTTACTCGTTACGCCGAAAAATCGGGTTCGATTTTTCATATGGGTAGAATGTATGAAACCCATTTCTGGCATCCTCCGCCGTGATAATGCTGGAATATTCAATTTTTGCTAAAAGTGGCAAAAAGTAAACTCACTCACTCACTAACTTACTCAGTTAACTACGGTTATGACGACATCGAGGTGACCACTGATTCTATAATACCTTCGTTATAGTTCGCGCGTAATACGCATTTGGATTAGAAGTAAGTGCCTTGGACCCTCAAACACTTCGTTACATATGTCAGTTCGCCATAGGCGTCTTCGTCATATACATAGGTAACACTTCATGACGTCATGTAAACAGTAATGTTGGTTTGTCTGGTCCAGACTATGGTCACAGGATGTGGGGACACTATAACTAACACATTCAGTCCAGTAATTCCTGACTCATTCATTTGATGGGGCGTTAGAGTAGCTTAGTGGATAAAACGTTGGCTAAACAGGCACGTACAAGCCATTTTTTCGTGTAAGCACGATTGGTTGCAAAATTTTATAATTATAGTATTGCGGGCTTGCCCAACCTTTTCAGCAACAATTATGTGTAAGCCCGGGCTTTTTTTTAATGGTGGCTACGCCCCTGCTAAAGCGAAGACAGGGTTCGATTCCAAACATGGGAGCCAATTTCTGGTGCATCCTGCTGTGGTATTGTCAGTATTGCTAAAAGCTGTGTAAAACCATACTCACTCACTTTGTCATTCTAGTAACCACTGTGTTTTTCAGGAGACATGGGATACCCCGGACTGGCTGGCGAGCAAGGTCAGTGTGCGAGATAAAACTTTGGGTTTTTTATGAAATGATAAGGGTTGAGAGGTGCTTATGTGGGTTAAATGGCCCATTAAAACTTCGAAAATATGTTCTTGAAGTTATTGGGAATCGTATCACAAACACATTCCCTCACTCCTTTGCCTTGACCCTCCCGTATTGCACAAATACATGTAGTACACTGCTACCAGTGCCTGAAACAAGTGTAGTGTACTCACAGTTTCAAATTCTACAAAAACTACTCAGACCAGAGTCAAATCGAGGTTATTCTGAGTAAGAAATTGCTATAAGCAATTGCTCATTATATCGATCACTGGATTGGCTGGTCCAAACTTGACCGGCCGCCACAACATAGCTGTTGAGACGCTCCACAAAAAACAAACGTTGTCTTTGTACCGTTGCTCCCTTGTGATTTGGGAGATGGCGTTTTGTAACCTTTGACGTTCACCTTGACATTAAACAATGTTTAGAACTGATGTTAAGTGCATGTTATTTAATAGCAGAATCTGTTGACGTTCTAAGTGTCTAGCCACGTGTATCTGATGACGGTCTAGGTGTCTAGCTACGTGTATCTGATGACGTTCTAAGTGTCTAGCCACGTGTATCTGATGACGGTCTAGGTGTCTAGCTACGTGTATCTGATGACGTTCTAAGTGTTTAGCCACGTGTATCTGATGACGTTCTAGGTGTCTAGCCACGTGTATATGATGACGTTCTAAGTGTCTAGCCACGTGTATCTGATGACGTCCTAAGTGTCTAGCTACGTGTATCTGATGACGTTCTAAGTGTCTAGCCAAGTGTATCTGATGACGTTCTAGGTGTCTAGCTACGTGTATCTGATGACGTTCTAAGTGTCTAGCTACGTGTATCTGATGACGTTCTAAGTGTCTAGCCACGTGTATCTGATGACGTTCTAGGTGTCTAGCCACGTGTATATGATGACGTTCTAAGTGTCTAGCCACGTGTATATGATGACGTTCTAAGTGTCTAGCCACGTGTATATGATGACGTTCTAAGTGTCTAGCCACGTGTATATGATGACTTTCTAGGTGTCTAACCACGTGTATCTGATGACGTTCTAGGTGTCTAGCCACGTGTATCTGATGACGTTCTAGGTGTCTCGCCACGTGTACCTGATGACGTTCTAGGTGTCTAGCCAAGTGTATCTGAAGCGTTCTAGGTGTCTAGCAACGTGTATCTGATGACGTTCTAGGTGTCTAGCCACGTGTATCTGATAAAATTCTAAGTGTCTAGCCACGTGTATCTGATGACGTTCTAGGTGTCAAGCCACGTGTATCTGATAACGTTCTAGGTGTCTAGCAACGTGTATCTGATGACGGTCTAGGTGTCTAGCCACGTGTATCTGATGACGTTCTAGGTGTCTATCCACGTGTATCTGATGACGTTCTAGGTGTCTACACACGTGTATCTGATGACTTTCCGGTGTCTAACCACGTGTATCTGATGACGTTCTAGGTGTCTAGCCACGTGTATCTGATGACGTTCTAGGTGTCTAGCCACGTGTATCTGATGTCGTTCTAGGTGTCTAGCCACGTGTATCTGATAACGTTCTAGGTGTCTAGCAACGTGTATCTGATGACGTCCTAGGTGTCTAGCCACGTGTATCTGATGACGTTCTAGGTGTCTAGCCACGTGTATCTGATGACGTTCTAGGTGTCTAGCCACGTGTATCTGATGACGCTCTAGGTGTCTAGCCACGTGTATCTGATGACGTTCTAGGTGTCTAGCCACGTGTATCTGATGACGTTCTAGGTGCCTAAACACGTGTATCTGATAACGTTCTAGGTGTCTAGCCACTTGTATCTGATGACGTTCTAGGTGTCTAATCACGTGTATCTGATGACGTTGTAGCCGTCTAGCCACATGTATCTGATGACGTTCTAGGTCCCTAACCACGTGTATCTGATAACGTTCTAGGTGTCTAGCCACGTGTATCTGATAACGTTCTATGTGTCTAACCACGTGCATCTGATGACGTTCCAGGTGTCTAGCCACGTGTATCTGATAACGTTCTAGGTGTCTAGCCACATGTATCTATTGACGTTGTAGGTGTCTAGCCAATTGCATCTGATGACGTTCTAGGTGTCTAGCTACGTTGATCTGATGACGTTCTAAGTGTCTAACCACGTGTATCTGATGACGTTCTAGGTGTCTCGCCACGTGTATCTGATGACGTTCTAGGTGTCTAGCCACGTCTATCTGATGACGTTCTAGGTGTCTAGCCACGTGTATCTGATGACGCTCTAGGTGTCTAACCACGTGTATCTGATAACGTTCTAGGTGTCTAGCCACGTGTATCTGATGACGCTCTAGGTGCCTAACCACGTGTATCTGATAACGTTCCAGGTGTCTAGCCACGTGTATCTGATGACGTTCTAGGTGTCTAGCCACGTGTATCTGATGACGTTCTAGGTGTCTAGCCACGTGTATCTGATGACGTTCTAGGTGTCTAACCACGTGTATCTGATGACGTTCTAGGTGTCTAGCCACGTGTATCTGATAACGTTCTAGGTGTCTAGCCACGTGTATCTGATGACGTTGTAGGTTTCTAGCCACGTGTATCTGATGACGTTCTAGGTGTCTTGCCACATGTATCTATTGACGAGGTAGGTGTCTAGCCACGTGTATCTGATAACGTTTTAGGTGTCTAACCACGTGTTTCTGAAAACGTTCCAGGTGTCTAGCCACGTGTATCTGATGACGTTCCAGGTGTCTCTCCACGTCTATCTATTGACGTTCTAGGTGTCTAGCCACGTGTATCTAATGACGTTCTAGGTGTCTTGCCACATGTATCTATTGACGACGTTCTAGGTGTCTAGCCACGTGTATCTATAGACGAGGCAGGTTTCTAGCCACGTGTATCTGATAATGTTCTAGGTGTCAAACCATGTGTATCTGATGACGTTCTAGGTGTCATGCGACAAATATCAATTGACGTTCCAGGTGTCTAACCACGTGTTTCTGAAAACGTTCTAGGTGTCTATCCACGTGTATCTGATGACGTTGTAGGTGTCTAGCCACGTGTATCTATTGACGTTCGAGGTGTCTAGCTACGTGTATCTGATGACGTTGTAGGTGTCTAGCCACGTGTATCTATTGGCGAGGTAGGTTTCTAGCCACGTGTATCTGATAACGGTCTAGGTGTCTAACCACGTGTATCTGATGACGTTCTAGGTGTCAAACCACATGTATCTATTGACGTTCTAGGTGTCTAGCCACGTGTATCTGATGACGTTCTAGGTGTCTAGCTACGTGTATCTATTGACGTTCTATGTTTCTATCCACGTGTATCTGATAACGTTCAAGGTGTCTAGCCACATGTATCTGATGACGTTCCAGGTGTCTAGCCACGTGTATCTATTGACGTTCTATGTTTCTATCCACGTGTATCTGATGACGTTCTAGGTGTCTAGCCACGTGTATCTGATGATGTTCCAGGTGTCTAGCCACGTGTATCTGATGACTTTCCAGGTGTCTAGCCACGTGTATCTATTGACGTTCTAGGTGTCTAGCCACGTGTATCTGATGACGTTCTAGGTGTCTAGCAACGTGTATCTATTGACGTTGTATGTTTCTATCCACGTGTATCTGATGACGTTCAAGGTGTCTAGCCACGTGTATCTGATGACGTTCCAGGTGTCTAGCCACGTGTATTTGATGACGGTCTAGGTGTCTAGCCACGTGTATCTATTGACGTTCTAGGTGTCTAGCCACGTGTATCTGATGACGTTCTAGGTGTCTAGCCACGTGTATCTGATGACGTTCTAGGTGTCTAACCACGTGTATCTGATGACGTTCTAGGTGTCTAGCCACGTGTATCTGATGACGTTCTAGGTGTCTAGCCACGTGTATATGATAGCGTTCTTGGTGTCTAACCACGTGTATCTGATGACGTTGTAGGTGTTTAGCCACGTGTATCTGATGACGTTCTAGGTGTCTAGCCACGTGTATCTGATAACGTTCTAAGTGTCTAGCCACGTGTATCTTATGACGTTGTAGGTGTCTAGCCACGTCTATCTGATGACGTTGTAGGTGTCTTACCACGTGTATCTGATGACGTTCTAGGTGTCTAACCACGTGTATCTGATAACGTTCTAAGTGTCTAGCCACGTGTATCTGATGACGTTCTAGGTGTCTAACCACGTGTATCTGATTACTTTCCAGGTGTCTAGCCACGTGTATCTGATGACTTTCCAGGTGTCTAACCATGTGTATCTATTGACGTTGAAAGTCGCTAATTATATCGATCACTGGATTGCCTAGTCCAAACTTGATCATGTACTGACCGCAGCAATATAGGTTTGGAGAACAAGGCCTCCTTCACAAAGCACTAAGGTGATCGTAAGTCAATAAGGTAACCTTAGTGCAGTGTTGAAGAATGGAAGTTGAGGTTGACCTTGGTAAAGGTTGCTCCGTGAAAGGAGCCCCCAGAGCTGAGACAATATAATATCAAACAAACGTGGGGACATGGCTTTCTTGAGATTGGGAGATGGTGTTTTATAATCTTTTACTATCTTGACGTTCACCGTGCACGCGTGACATTGAGATTTGTTAAGAGCTGGTATTAAAAGAGTATATATGTTATTTCGTAGTAAAGTCTGATGACGTTCTCAGTAGAGTATCAACCATGCATATATCGGCCATTGCTTCCAGGTGCCCCAGGCCCGCAGGGACCGAGAGGTGTTCCTGGTGCTAAAGGTATCGGTGATTTTTATTAGTTACTATTTATTATGAGGATATTTGCTAGATTTGTCAGCATTATTCCCGTGGGTTTCATCGAAGTGACTAACGTCTGGGACCTGCACCCGCACACAGCCACTACAGTGTAGAGGGAGGCAAGTAACCCACTGTTTTGGAGGGAGTGGATGTACACAATTTAATGTCATATCATCTCTTCTTGAGATTTGGGTCACCATGACCTAATAATTTTGATTCTCACGCTCTCAGTCACTGGGTGAAACATTTCTAAAACACTGGCGCCTGTGTGTTCGTATTGACAGGGCGTTTTACCGGGTTCGCACTACGGTTGTGTCATGCCAAAAGGGTGTTAAAAGATAATACTTGCTGTCACCCTGTTCGACGCTCGGGGTAACAAAGGACTGGTTGGTGTCTGTATACTGGGTGTGGGTGGAGTGTCTGTAGGCTGGTCGGTGTCAGTATACTGGGTGTGGGTTGGTCGGTGTATACAGGGTGTGGGTGGGTGTCTGTAGGTTGGTCGGTGTCAGTATACAGGGTGTGGTGTGGGGTCGTCTGGGTGTGGGCTGGTCGGTGTCAGTATACTGGGTGTGGGTGGGGTGTCTGTAGGCTGGTCGGTGTCTGTATACTGGGTGTGGGTGGGGTGTCTGTAGGCTGGTCGGTGTCAGTATACTGGGTGTGGGTGGGGTGTCTGTAGGCTGGTCGGTGTCAGTATACTGGGTGTGGGTGGGGTGTCTGTAGGCTGGTCGGTGTCAGTATACTGGGTGTGGGTGGGGTGTCTGTAGGCTGGTCGGTGTCAGTATACTGGGTGTGGGTGGGGTGTCTGTGGGCTGGTCGGTGTCAGTATACTGGGTGTGGGTGGGGTGTCTGTAGGCTGGTCGGTGTCAGTATACTGGGTGTGGGTGGGGTGTCTGTAGGCTGGTCGGTGTCAGTATACTGGGTGTGGGTTGGGTGTCTGTAGGCTGGTCGGTGTCAGTATACTGGGTGTGGGTGGGGTGTCTGTAGGCTGGTCGGTGTCAGTATACTGGGTGTGAGTGGGGTGTCTGTAGGCTGGTCGGTGTCAGTATACTGGGTGTGGGTGGGGTGTCTGTGGGCTGGTCGGTGTCAGTATACTGGGTGTGAGTGGGGTGTCTGTGGGCTGGTCGGTGTCAGTATACTTGGTGTGAGTGGGGTGACTGTAGGCTGGTCGGTGTCAGTATACTTGGTGTGAGTGGGGTGACTGTAGGCTGGTCGGTGTCAGTATACTGGGTGTGAGTGGGGTGACTGTAGGCTGGTCGGTGTCAGAATACAGAATGCGGGTGGGATGTCTGTAGGCTGGTCGGTGTCAGTATACTGGGTGTGGTAGGGGTGTCTGTGGGCTGGTCGGTGTCGGTATACTGGGTGTGGGTTGGGTGTCTTTGGGCTGGTCGGTGTTGGTATACAGGGTGTGGGTGGAGTGTCTGTAGGCTGGTCGGTGTCGGTATACTGGGTGTGGGTGGGGTGTCTGTAGGCTGGTCGGTGTCGGTATACTGGGTGTGGGTTGGGTGTCTGTAGGCTGGTCGGTGTCAGTATACTTGGTGTGGTGGGATGACTGTAGGTGGTCGGTGTCAGTATATACTGGGTGTGGGTGGGGTTTCTGTAGGCTGGTCGGTGTCAGTATACTGGGTGTGGGTGGGGGATGTCTGTAGGCTGGTCGGTGTCGGTATACTGGGTGTGGATGGGGTGTCCGTAGGCTGGTCGGTGTCAGTATACTGGGTGTGGGTGGGGTGTCTGTAGGCTGGTCGGTGTCAGTATACTGGGTGTGGGCGGGGTGTCTGTAGGCTGGTCGGTGTCGGTATACTGGGTGTGTCTGTAGTTGGTGTGTCTGTAGGCTGGTCGGTGTCTGTATACTGGGTGTGGGTTGGGTGTCTGTAGGCTGTCGGTGTCAGTATACTGGCTGGTCGGTGTCTGTAGGCTGGTCGGTGTCAGTATACTGGGTGTGGGTTGGGTGTCTGTAGGCTGGTCGGTGTCAGTATACTGGGTGTGGGTGGGGTGTCTGTAGGCTGGTCGGTGTCAGTATACAGGGTGTGGGTGGGGTGTCTGTAGGCTGGTACTATCAGACCGGCATTAGTCTGGGCGGGAACAAATAACAGGTACACATTCACTGAGATTGCGTATATACATTGTTATAATAATCACAATAATCTTGAACACAACGAGAAACCATGTTTCACTTTACCAAGGGCCGGTGGTGTGGCCTAGTGGTTAAAGCGTTCGCTCAGCACGCCGAAGACCCGGGTTCGATTCCCCGCATGGGTACAATATAATTATGAGGCCTATTTCTGGTGTCCCCCGCCGTGATATTTCTGGAAAAATGTTAAAGCGGCGTAAAACTAAACTCACTCACTCATCTTACCGCCTAACGTTTAGGACATGCCACCAGTGTTATGATAAACAGTAGGATTCGCGCTTGAATGAACCATCGCACAGTATTAGTCCGAATGTGAATAGCAATAACCAATTGACTCTCAACCTTGCAGGTGACAACGGGCTTCCTGGTGTTCAAGGTGTCCAAGGTAAATGTCCAGTATCTTGACCTACTGTCAATGGGAACTATCAGCAGGTTCCTGTAATATTAGAATTCCCCATCCTCTCCTCATTAACCTTCCACTTCCTGCCCGAAACGATGATTCCGAAACTGTTCTAGGATAACATGGTCTGTGATTTACAGTCTGTGAATCTGAACACGACATGCATAGAAACAAGTATGAAATCATTTATTTTGTCCTAAACTTATAGGACGGAGATACGTGAAGGCATTTGATAGCATATTTTATTTATGACATAAGTGAATAGGTTCTTGAGCGGCATGTAAAAGTTGGTATTCCAGTATAAGATAAAATATTATGGATGTCAACTTCTTTTTATTGTATACACAGAAATCGTTGTGTATGCAATACAAAGAGGCGGTGTGGTAGCCTAGCGGTTAAAGCGTTCGCTCGTCACGCCGAAGACCCGGGTTCGAATCCCCACATGGGTACAATGTGTGAAGCCCATTTCTGGTGTTCCCCGCCGTGATGTTGCTGGAATATTGCTAAAAGCGGCGTAAAACCGAACTCAGTCAGTCAGTCAGTATGCAATAAAACAAGTAGACATCCATAATAGTTTGTCTTATATAGGTGACTAGGTTCTGGAGCAATGGCCGCACTACATCTTGTCTTGAAAAATATCACCGCTAAGCCACCACCACCACGTTGTGTCGATCTTGTTATTATCTATTAACCGGTTGTGTCGAACTCTGATGTGTTGAACCGTGCTGAAATAGGATATATCTGGCCAGCTGCTGCTGTCTCTTGTTTAAGAGTCATTTTAGATGTTGAGAAGTACAATATGGACAAACTTTATGGATAACAGCTTCTTTTATTTCGTGTATGCGACGTTTCGATACAGATTCTTGTACCGTTGTCTTGTACTGTTATCCAGCTTGACAAGGATAACAGGATTCTGTATCGAAATGTCGCACTCATGAAATAGAAGATTGTGCTCATAAAGTTTGTCTGTATCGCTGCTGTAACCACAGGCAAACTGTAGCGCAAACAGGGTTGCTTCGCTCGCATATATGAAGACTGGTCATTTTCTCTTTGTTGCGCAACCCTGTTTTCGCTACAGTTTGCCTGTGCTGTAACGTAATATTATCTTGCAGATGTCCGAATGTTCCAAATAACAGATAATAACATTTAATACAGACTGACTCATACTCGATGCGTCAGAATTCTAAGGTATGTTTATCCCAATGTGTACACACTGTTAATTCTATCATAACATTGTTTCAGGGTTACCGGGTCCGCGCGGAGAAATGGGATATGACGGATTCAAGGGTTTGCTTAATCTCTTTACAATGTATATTTTGCCATATAGGTACCCATCAAACATGTTTTGTATTCATGCATGAGAAATCGTATTCCATCGGGAGACATTACCAGAAATCTTGATTCCGTAACACTGACTGAGTTTGGTTTTACGCCGCTTTTAGCAATATTCCAGCAACATCACGGCGGGGGACACCAGAAATGGGCTTCACACATTATACCCATGTGGGGATTCGAACCCGGGTCTTCGGCGTGACGAGCCAACGCTTTAACCATTAGGCCACCCCACCACCCCTCCGTAACAAATAGACTTGGCAGTAGTGGAGTAGCTCCATGGAGGAAGCAGTAGGTCGTTTACACCTGGGGTCCGGGTTCTATTCCCCACAACTGATACAATGTTGTATTTGTTTAATTTTGTGATGTGCCCCGCAATAATACAGCTGAAACGGCTGTAAACAATATTCGTTCACTTACTGATATTTCCTGACAGTTGTATGATATCGCTGAGTACTACAGAACACCTGGGAGGCACAAAACCTCAGATGACTCGTGTGTTGACTTTACAAATATCTGTATGTTAGCGATATTGTATCCTATGCTGGCGCTTTGCCCGCTCTGTAAAAGGCATGGTTATACGTTTCAAGATATGTTTTGATTTAAAACGTTTCAGAAGTATTATCCTAAACATATAATCCTTAAAATTGAAATAATTTGCTTTTTTCTGCACAACTTAATTCAATTTCTGAAATGGCGGGTGTTCTGTCGTGTAGTAGCAAAGTCTCCTCTGACTCCATTCTTCATTGATACAGCTTCAATGTTCACAACACTACCCAGTCAGCGTTACTTGTCACATACAGGTGAATGACGAGTGATGGTTTATTTATGGAATCCTAGAAGGGACATTGTCTCGTTGTCGGGCATTTTAAGGCTTACTTACACATCTTAGATGGGGCGACAACGACATGTTTTGACCTTGAAAAAAGGCACTATGAGGCATTTTCGCTCTTTGGGTGAATAACAAAAATTTTTTTTTCATTTTTTTTCATGAAACCCAAGTCTTCAATCATAAACGGTCCTTACATAATGACATGTACAAATACATGAAACATACTCAGATATCCAACATACCAGGATGTAACATAGTTAGACCAGTGAAATATAAGCCTGTATAGGGTGTTGCATGCAAGGCAACATCCAACATATCATGTTTTACATAGCGCAACATGCAGCATACAGTGTTGCATATAGCGTCATATCAGACATAGCATATTGTATATGGGGTCACATCCAACATAAGTTGTATATAGTGTCATATCCGAAATATCGTAATGTATATAGCATATCATACGACCTATTATGTTGTATATAGCACCATATCCGACATATCATATTGTATATAGGGCCACAGCTGATCTTTCCTGCTGTATATTGCGTCACATCCAACATATCGCATTGTATATTGCGGCACCTCTGACATATCATGCTGTATATAGCTCAGTACCAAGCATACAATGTTGTATATAGCGTCATATCAGGCATATTGTATATGGAGTCACATCCGACATATGTTGTACATAGTGCAACATCCGAAATATCATGCTACATATAGCGTCATATCCGACATATCATGCTACATATAGCGTCATATCCGACATGTCATATTGTTTAAAGCACCACATCTGACATATCATGCTGTATATTGCATCACATCCCTTCTATCTCATTGTATATTGCATCACATCTGATCTATAATGTTGTATAATGCATACGCCTCTGACATATTATGTTGTCTATAGCGCCACATCCAACATACCATGTTGTATATAGCGCCACATCCAACATATCATGTTGTATATAGCGCCACATCCAACATATCATGTTGTACATAGGGCCACACCCAACATATCATGTTGTATATAGCGCCACATCCAACAAACCATCTAACATATCATGTTGTATATAGCGCCACATCCAACATACCATGTTGTATATAGTGCTACATCTAACATATCATGTATATAGCGCCACATCTAACATATCATGTTGTATATAGCGCCACATCCAACATACCATGTTGTATATAGTGCCACACCCAACATACCATGTTGTATATAGCGCCACATCCAACATACCATGTTGTATATAGCGCCACATCTAACATACCATGTTGTATATAGGGCCACATCCTACATATTATGTTGTATATAGCGCCACATCTAACATACCATGTTGTATATAGCGCCACATCTAACATACCATGTTGTATATAGCGCCACATCCAACATACCATGTTGTATATAGTGCCACATCTAACATACCATGTTGTATATAGCGCCACATCCGTATATTGCGTTGTATATTGCGGCACCTCTGACATATTATGCTGTATATAGCTCAGTACCAAGCATACAATGTTGTATATAGCGTCATATCAGGCATATTGTATATGGAGTCACATCCGACATATGTTGTACATAGTGCAACATCCGAAATATCATGCTACATATAGCGTCATATCCGACATATCATGCTACATATAGCGTCATATCCGACATGTCATATTGTTTAAAGCACCACATCTGACATATCATGCTGTATATTGCATCACATCCCTTCTATCTCATTGTATATTGCATCACATCTGATCTATCATGTTGTATAATGCATACGCCTCTGACATATTATGTTGTCTATAGCGCCACATCCAACATACCATGTTGTACATAGAGCCACATCCAACATATCATGTTGTATATAGCGCCACATCCAACATATCATGTTGTACATAGGGCCACACCCAACATATCATGTTGTATATAGCGCCACATCTAACAAACCATCTAACATATCATGTTGTATATAGCGCCACATCCAACATACCATGTTGTATATAGTGCTACATCTAACATATCATGTTGTATATAGCGCCACATCTAACATATCATGTTGTATATAGCGCCACATCCAACATACCATGTTGTATATAGTGCCACACCCAACATACCATGTTGTATATAGCGCCACATCCAACATACCATGTTGTATATAGCGCCACATCTAACATACCATGTTGTATATAGGGCCACATCCTACATATTATGTTGTATATAGCGCCACATCTAACATACCATGTTGTATATAGCGCAACATCCAACATAGCATGTTTTATATAGGGCCACACCCTACATATTATGTTGTATATAGCGCCACATCTAACAAACCATGTTCTTTATAGCGCCACATCCAACATACCATGTTGTATATAGTGCCACATCTAACATACCATGTTGTATATAGCGCCACATCAAACATACCATGTTGTATATAGCGCCACATCCAACATACCATGTTGTATATAGAGCCACACCCTACATATCATGTTGTATATAGCGCCACATCTAACATACCATGTTGTATATAGCGCCACATCTAACATACCATCTTGTATATAGTGCCACATCTAACATACCATGTTGTATATAGCGCCACATCCAACATACCATGTTGTATATAGTGCAACACCCGACATACCATGTTGTATATAGGGCCACATCCTACATATTATGTTGTATATAGCGCCACATCTAACATACCATGTTGTATATAGCGCCACATCCAACATATCATGTTGTATATAGGGCCACACCCTACATATCATGTTGTATATAGCGCCACATCTAACATACCATGTTGTATATAGTGCCACATCCAACATACCATGTTGTATATAGGGCCACATCTAACATACCATGTTGTATATAGCGCCACATCCAACATACCATGTTTTATATAGCGCCACATCTAACATACCATGTTGTATATAGCGCCACATCCAACATACCATGTTTTATATAGTGCCACATCTAGCATACCATGTTGTATATAGCGCCACATCCAACATACCATGTTGTTTATAGGGCCACACCCTACATATTATGTTTTATATAGTGCACATCTAACAAACCATCTTGTATATAGCGCCACATCCAACATACCATGTTGTATATAGTGCAACACCCGACATACCATGTTGTATATAGCGCCACATCCAACATACCATGTTGTATATAGCGCCACATCCAACATACCATGTTGTATATAGTGCAACACCCGACATACCATGTTGTATATAGTGCAACACCCGACATACCATGTTGTATATAGAGTTACGTCCGACCTATCGTGTTGTACATAGTGTCTTATCTGACATATATTGTATATAGGTCTTATCTAACATATGTTGTATATAGTGCCACATGTGACACATCATGCTGTGTCTTGTGTCACATCCAATGTGCATTGTATATTGCGCCACATCCGACTTATTGTGTTGTATGTTGCGTCATATATCCGCCCTATAATATACTCATGCAAATAATGGTTGTCACCCCCTTCAATTTTGTTTATTGGAGAGGGTGTGTGGGGTGGGGGCGTGGGGTGTGTGGGGGTTGGAGGTGGGGAGGGGGGTGACAACCATTATTGGCATGAGTATATATGTTCCCACCCTAATGTTACATCAGTGCACCTACACATATGTTAACTAATTACTCAATACATAGCTAATACAAAGATATTTTTCAAAAGGGGAAACAGATCAAGATTTTACAAAAGCGGTTGCTCCATACACAGGTCAGGTTTGCATACTGGGAATAATGGATGCCATTTATTTGCAAATTTCTTCATTTCTTTCTTTCTTTTTGCAATGAAGTTTGCAACAGAAAAAAAATCTTTTAAAGTCTTTATAATGTTCTTCCATTTGGAATGTTGTTTTTCAAAGAAGAGACATAAATATGTCTTTTTGTTAAAATGATTATGTGATTAAGTAATGGGATTTTACTTAAGGAACCAAAATACACCAAAAATGTAGTCAAATTAACTTTTTGTATGAAATGGGTGTTAATCCAAATTTGAAGATCATTCCAAAACTTCTTAGCTTCACAACATTCCCAGTAAACATGGCACAAGTTTTCATCCTCATCTTTACAAAAGCTGCATAAGGCTCTTTGGATAAGCTTCATTTTTAACAGTTGCTTTTTGGTATAGATAATACCATGTAAGAATTTAAATTGAAAATCTAAGAGTTTTACATGATTAATGTCTTGTCTGTAAGACATAAAAGTCATTGGCCAAATCAAAATCGGTATCATCAAACACTTTCTCCCATTTATGACACATATGAGGGTTATTATTGTTAAATAGCAATATATCATAAAATAGTCTTGATCCTTGTAATGATTTCATAAAATTCTTTTGATAAGAATTTAGATTCAAGTCATAGTTATGTATATACCTGTGATTTGTTATTGTATTTTTCCATGATTCAGGTAAAATATTTAGCACATATCTATGCTCTAATTCTGTCCCTTTTATTGAATATTTACTTTTCAATAAATATAACAAAATATTATTCAAAGTGCGACAACGCGACAATGTTCCTTCTAGGACTCCATATTAAATAGGCAATATTAAATTTTCCGACAATTCTGGCGATGTCAATTGCATTAAAACAGACTGTGTCTGGATTCTTTTGCACCTCTGTATATATCCGGAAATCATGCTATTTTTTGCTTTTTTGAACAGGTGATGCCGGCCCAGCCGGACCAAAAGGCGAACCAGGTAGGTCAGGCAGGCTTCGCTGGGGGCGGGACCAGAATAGCCACGCCAATGACACGCCCATCACTCTTCCCCTAACTGGGTCAATGTTAATAACGTGTTAAATGTAAACTTGCAAATTTCCCGTGTAGAGTTGCCTCCCTTAGACGAACCATAATCCAATATTGTCGTCGATTTGAATTTGAACTGCGTTCCGGTTAAATCATGAAATCTGATGCATCACTTACTCAACTATATTCCATATAATACTAACTTATTTTAGTGTTCATATTGCAAACAAATGTTTGTTTATAGTTCGTTGAGGGTAATTCTTCACAACCAATCGCGTCACTTAATCTGAAGCCCGACACGAAGGTATCGTCTACTTGATACAGTGTAACCACGTACATGTTGATGACATGCAAGACTGTAAAAAACAATTTAAGCAATTTACGTGACAAAAAATTGTCAGTTAGAAAATGACTGTGATCTGTGAGGAATCACGACGCCTGTGGTGACTGTTGGCGAGTATACACGCCGTCGTGGTGACACACAATCAAACAAGTCTCCACGGCTTATTCCATGTATGTTTCATCTCGTTACTGTCTGTTTCAGGCAGCGCATCCCAAAGTGCTGCTCTCAAGGGAGGCCAGGGTAAGCAATGGACCCGTCCAAGACATGGCGACCACAGGAGATATCAGCCTATCTCTCCCAGGAAATATACCTCCAATAACAATGCTTTGAAAATCATTGATCTCATAATGGCTGAAAACAATGTGTATCAACGCGCTCACTCACACTCGTGTAGAATATAGTGACAATGTCAGTTACCTTGATGTCACAATCAAATGGTTGTTAATGGAACCCATCAAACCACTCATCAACCACAATGCTGTTGTTTTTGTTTTTACTTTGTGACCTAACGTGCCGGCTCTTTTGTTTCTACCGCATGATCCCATGACTTGTACACGTGCCGTTTTGGGTGTGTCAATTTAAATTTCAATTAGTTGTTTAAAAACCTAGTTTTTCGTTGTTACTAATTACGTGTTCTCACCAATCGTGATTTTCCTTTCTAGGTCTACCTGGACCCCCGGGTCCACCTGGACCTGCTGGCTATGATGGCTTCAAGGGTAGGTTGGATCCAGTACAAGGCATTGTGGTAACAGGGCATTCAGCCTCCCTAGACAAAACATGAAACGTGCTGCACTAGTAAAACAATATCACTCTACATTGGGTTACGTGTTGGTTCTCAAGTTAAAACTTAATCGGAAATCAGTCCGTAAATGAACTCTTTTGTTCCTTGTAGCATATTCGAGATATTCCTGTCTAAATCTAGCACAAGTCTAATTTAGATGACATGACTGCCTCCCAATGAATGCCATTGCCTCCCCAAACGATACAGTACCTATGGTCTTGCTCACGTATAGCATTCCTCACACTCCAATGAATATGTCAATGAAAAGAGATTTAAAATAGGTAGGACACGTCATCCAATCCTCATAGATCACGCCATGTTGCAGGTGAACCCGGCGTCGCCGGACCGGCAGGACCAGCAGGTAATGTAGACGAAGTTGCTGTCATGTAGACGACGTTGCTGTCATGTAGACGACGTTGTTGTGATGTAGACGACGTTGTTGTGATGTAGACGACGTTGTTGTGTCATCGTGTACCTAGGAGTAGCCCTGTGGTTAAAGCGCTCCCTGCTCACGCTGCAGCAGAGCTTTTGAATCTGCATGCAGCCCACTCTGGCTAGAGATCCGCTTGAAGCGGCGTAAACCAAACACGCTCAGTCACACCCTGAACACGTGGCTGCCCTGTGGATTCAAGGAGATCACGTCTAGAGTGTATTATGCTTGTCGTAAGGCTTGACTACTGAGGATCGTATGGTCAAAATGTCTGATCCGATGTAATCGTGCCCCGCCGTTGTCTCAGCATCCCTCGAGGGTCTTAATAGAGGTATAAATCCTGTGTCATGTCGAGATTTCTTTAATCAAGAGGATAGGACCTAACGTAACTGCAATAGTGTTCAACGCTTTCACTCAGTCATTTGTATGTCACACGATATCATTAACACCAGACCCGAGCAGATCCGGGTTAGAATTGATCTTCAGAAGCCCATGCTTGTCGTAAGATTCGACTAACGGGATCGGGTGGTCAGGCTCGCTGACTTGGTTGACACAAGACATTGTATCCCAGTTGCGTAGATCGATGCTCATGCTGTTGATCACTGGATTGTCTGGTCCAGATTCGATTATATACAGACCGCCGTCATATAGCTGGAATATTGCTGAGTGCGGCGTACAACTAAACTCACTCACTCATTCATTAACATCAGATCCCCCCCCCTCCGAAGGTTGCGTCAAGTGAACCCCGAGCGACCTTGACCTCCATCTTAAATAACGATGTAAGAATCGATGCTGCATCGATTAGAGCCTTAGGCACTACAGAAGATAAACACATATATCATCGAAATTATGTCATGTATTCGGAATTATATATATAATAGATACGTTGTCGACTTACAGAAATTAGACACGCTCGTTTGAATTATGATACAAGCGTCCCATAAGCCAAATGGCTGACTTCCATATCCGCCTGATGCAGTCACCTATTTGTGTGTTCTCGGACCTTCAAACTATGTATAGAGTGTGGGAGATAATGAGGTGTGTATCTATCCCTCCCAGGACCAGCAGGGCCGCCAGGAGCCGAGGGTGCCCCCGGACAGAGAGGATGGAGAGGTAGGCAGTGAGTGAGTGAGTTTAGTTTTGCGCCGCACTCAGAATATTCCAGCTCTACGGCGTCGGTTTGTAAATAATCGAGACAGGACCAGACAATCTAGTGATCAACAGTAGGCAGATATAAAAAGGGGGTGTTTTACCAGGATACCCTGAAAACATACAGGTTAGATTGGTGTTCAACATCCCATGTTTGTCGTAAGGGGCGTTACATGGGGTAGGAAAATCATAGTGCCTCAGTTGGTTGACGCATGTCATCAGATCCAGGTGGCGTTGACCGATGTTCATTATATCAATCACCTGGTTGTCTGGTTACATGCTAAGGAGAGTTATATGCTGCTGATGATAGTTATATGCGGCTGAGGCGAGTTATATGCTGAGGAGCGTTATATGCCGAGGAGAGTTATATGCTAAGGAGAGTTATATGCTAAGGTGAGTTTTACCGTTTCAGGTTTCAGTGTCTTATATAAAGTAGGATTTACCAATTGTAAATAAGAACTGTGTTGGCTAGAGGCTATATAGAAACTATGTGTATAATATCAAATATCTATATATGTTATACATGTTGTATTCCAGGCTGGCGCGGACAGCAGGGTCTGAACGGACCCCCCGGGCCTAGAGGTAAGTGGCTAGTCACCCCCATCCTGCACCCACACGACACATACTACTCATCTGTGACACCCTGAGATAATTCACACAGTAACCATGTACATACTGCACGTAGTCTGTGTAGCACGCAATGATGTGATCCCTATCGAATGTTGAGCGTTACAGAACCAAATGCGATTCTATTAAGTAAAACGCTGCTGTCACATATTCGCTGCTCCACGTATGTTATGGAGCAACAAAGCCGTTGATGTTGATGCTGCAAACTGATTATGTTTCCAGGTTTACCGGGTCCAGCGGGTGGACCCCCAGGAGAACAAGGTCAGGGCCCGAGCTCACTCCAGTTTATAAAATAAGGAAGCTGTTGGTACAATGAGGAAATCGTGTGACAAAATATTATGAAGAGGATGTGTAATGTACTGTTACACGATTAGTCAGTCATGGAATAAATATATGACACATGTCAATCCGTTTGTCAAGGTCACACCGTGTTTAATGTTATATAGAGATTATTACACGAGCAAGTGTGTCATATACGAAACTAGTGTGAAAATTTATTCATAGTTTTGCACGAATTTCGTATAAGTCGTATGACACACTTGCGCGTGTGTAATAATTTCTTTATTATCCTTTTTCTTCATGTACATTTGTGCAGTAAAACACGTTCAATTGTTTAATGACGTCACAGACGACGAAATACAGAAACAATGTTTGCTAGGCTAAGGTGATATGTGCACATATGATATACATGACACTGATTATATTTCACCATATGGATAATAAACTGCTGTATGCCTCAACATGATCTGTGTCACGACACATGTATCCAAGTGTGTGTATCAAACGCCCTGTACGTGTTGGGTTAGGTTCACTGCCACGCTAACGACCCTGGAGACGTTCTTCAGGACATTTGGCGCACCTGTGACCGATATTATGCTTAATGACATCCCTGTTTTGACTTGTACTCTATGTTTTCGCATAACAGTTGTCTTGCCTTTGCATGTGTTTATGACGGGTGCCTCGGTTTGGGGCGAACACCTGGTGTCAGTACAAGTTTGTAGTGATTCGGAGACGCATTCTTATGTTATAGTACGAATCGTACAGAGGTATACCTGTGTAAGTTGATGCTGTGACTGTTTGTACACCCCACATGTTTCCACCCCCAGGACTGCCCGGTCTCCAGGGTCCCCAGGGATCACAAGGCCTCCCAGGTAGGGCTAATCATGTCCCCCCACACTAGGCGTGTCAGGGCAAGAGAATCTCTCCTTTGTAGCTGCAAATGTCATGTTTATTCAAACATCGTGAATTCTTCGGCGTCGTAAATTTCAGTAAAGACGAAGTCCATCTGCCCATGGCACAGCAACTAACGGCAGACATCATAGTGTTATAACAAGACGTTTTTTCCTTTGTTCTAGAGCCTCATAAACATATCTTGCCAGACATCTTATCAGATCAACATCATCTGTCTGATTGTTCTATCTTTTCTACACAAACACCTGATATTATACTAAGCATACTACATTGTAATATATGTATTATTGGCTAGTGATAAAACAATGAGTATACTTTGTCGGTCTGTACAATCAAGTGACGTCATGGACCTATTGTGACGTGTTCCAGGCCCTCAAGGCCCGGCAGGAGGCCCTAAGGGAGACAAAGGTAGGCCAACCGACAGGAAAGTATAAAACACGTCCCATTCAAATATTCGAAACAAATAAAGGAAGTACTAAGAGGTATGGAACATGCATTAAGACGGAGGGTACACCGAGCCATGTTTTCACCGAGGTCAGTGGATGACGTCATAGTGCTGCATGTTATATTTATCGATGGAACTGGTTAAGTTATAGTGAAATCTGGATTTGGATCGTGTCATACATTTGTGTTACCTTGAAATAACGTAACATGAAAATACTTCATTTTTCACAATTTTCTGCTTACTGTATATTGTGTCATGTGTTGTATCATGAATCCATTCCATCGATATAACTCCATCAAGACATCGGGCATCTAACACAGTGATCCACCGGAGAACCATCATTTGTTGGATGTCACGTGATATGTTCTCTGTTGCTAGGTGACACTGGACTGCCCGGATTCGACGGTCTGGCTGGCCCCCAGGGACCTCAAGGTATGTCCGGTGACGTTGAGTGTTTCTATTCGTTTGGTTTGTAGGATGTTCAATAGATATATCTGTAAATTATCCATTTGTGTAGAAAATCATTGAACTGACGAAATTATGAAGTACTACCTTCCTGAGTGAGCCATGTTGTTGATGTGTTGTATTTATTGGTCCAGGTCCCCAAGGGCCGAGTGGATTACCTGGCTTAAAGGGTATGTAGAGCAGGGGGAGCAATGCACGTGTATATTTAAGAGTTAATAAATTCAAATTTACAAACAAATAGGCTGAGGGCAGCATAAATGTTTCTAATTTTCATGAGAAAGAATTTCAGACAATCGGCTGCATCAAATTCTATTCCTAAAGTGACACGTGATATCACCAATATGTATCATACAATAAATAGAAACATTCAATTATTCTATTGTCATCATTTCTGATGAACGCTATCATTTTGTACATATTTACAAGTGCATGTAATTAAATCTTATCCAGCATAGTCTGGCATATAAACCATAAAACCATTAACAACTGCGTTTTTCTGTGACGTATGTTCATTTAAGAGATTTGATGTTAGTTTAGATGCAGTACCGTGGGTGTTTGTTCGAGGATTGGTATCTTCCCAAAACAAACATGCAAAACCTGCTACATCTGAAATCAACAATCTAAAGAGTCCAGTTTGTGTGACGACCCTTACCAGTTACTGTAATAATCTTCTGATCAGGTCCGAAGATATCCAAACAGCCTGAAACAAAGTTAAATGGTCAACTGGCCTTCAGCGTGATGAGAGAAACTGCAACCACTAGGCTATCTGACGCCTATTTCCGTAAACCTAAATTTGATACCGTTAAGCCATTATCACACTTAACGTCAAATGTCAGCGGATCCTGACAATGGTAAGGGATTCCACTCCGTACAACCACCTACAAATAATGAACCCAGCACAGGTGATGTGCAAATGTCGACCAGATGGTCAATGTGTATCGACGTGACTGTTTCAGGTGAGCCTGGTCTGCCAGGTGCAGATGGCCTCCAGGGCCCTGTAGGTTACGACGGAATGGACGGTACGTAGACGCTATTTTCATTTAAATATATCTTCAAATATCATCAATACTTGATTCAATTATGTTTGCTTGTGTTTGGCGTTTAATGACACCCTCCGCAATTTTCTAACTATATGACAGCAGTGTGTAAATAATCCAGTCTAGACCAGACAATCCAGTGATTTATACCATGAGTATCGATCTACGAAACTGGGATATTATTATTATAGGATATTTACATAGCGCACATATCCAGGCAGCTAGTGCATGCTCAAGGCGCTGGTATTTTTTCCCTTGATCATTGACTGTCAATCTCAACGGCACATCGTTTTATCAATCTCAACGGCACATCGTATTATTAATCTCAACTCCCTGGGGAGTATACAACTCTTGTAGCCACAAGGCGCACTGAGTAAATGTGGCTTTCCCATCCTTACGGGGTACCAATTCACAGCTGGGTGGACTGGGACACATAGTCACAGTACTTTGTCCATGTTCACAATGTTCACCCGACACCTCAACCGACACCTCAACCTCGCTGGATCACTAGCCTGGCGCCTTAGCCATCTCGCCCACCGCGCCCCCATACGCCCCTCTATACGGGATACGAATAGGATGACCTGCATCAACCATGTCAGCGAGCCCGACCACTCGATCCCGTTAGGGCAGCATGTTTATTTTTTGTGTTTCTCATCGCCCGACCGACCCTTCTAATTTTATTGCCGACCCCCTCGGACCTAAAACGTACCGCCTCGTCGTATAAAAGGTTTATCTTTAAATCAGCTACCACAAGTCCAAAGAATGCGGGAAATAGTAATAAAACTTACAAACAATGAGAATCAAGAACATTATTCAGATAATTTTGCCTTTATTAAGTTGTTTTGTTTTGTTCCCGACCGACCGACCCATGTTCAGAATTGGGTGGTTACGTGAAACCCATAAAAGAATGATGCCCTCAGTTGTCTATAACACAAGTATGTGTTGCTGGAGACCAATTCCCACCTGGATCTTTATGGTTTATTTCATGCATGACGTTGTGCTAATTTTACCCTTCCAGACAACCCTTTCGGGTCGGCGTTATATTTGCCAAAATCCGATGCCTTTCGTCGATGAATATACCATTAAAGACAAATACTAATGAAAGATGTTATTGTTTTTGTTGCAGGGAAACCAGGCCCGCCAGGTAAGTTCATACACTTGAGTGAGTGTGTTGAAGAGCAACAATGTTGCACTGCGTATTGTCCTCATGTCGGAGGACAGACCGGGAGAAGTTAGTGGAGACCTAGGATACTGTAGTGAAACCAACGAGATTAAGTTGTCAACAGGTGGTGAGGTGAAGTGAAATGGGGTTTAACGTCGCACTTAAGAGTATTTCGCTCATATGACGACGTGCATGCGTATGTATGTGCGGCTGCTTGTCCTAGCCTAAAGCTGGTTTTATAGTGCTGGCTCACTGAGATACCATACCGCAATATCTCACTCAGACACATTATACTGACTCCGAACCAACCAGTCCTTGTTGTACCCATGAATGCCCAGCGCCAGCCAGGGACCAACAAGTACCATATGTTAACGTTTTTTGGTATGACGCGGCCGGGGATCGAACCCGCGACCTTCCTCTCTCCGGGCGGACACTCTAACCACTACACCACGGAGGCGGTCTTTTGTCAACAGATTCGGACCAAAAGTCAAACGTTTTTCCACCATTCATCCTGCCACCGTTCAACTCCATACAACATCTCAAAATACATTTAATGACAAAGAAGAAGAAAAAGAACCATAATAATAGCATGTGTTCGACAGCGGAAGAATGAAGATTGTGACGTCATGTTTTTGTGACGTCATCATTAACTGACTTTATACATTGTCATTAACTTTGCTTTTTATCTTAAAATCTTTTAACATTTTACATGTTAACTCTCGCATTACTAAATTGTCATCTTTGACGTAAGCAATGGTACTTTCTTAAATAGGATCGTCATGAGATTGCCTCTGTTGTTTCTCGTATAGGTCCAGCTGGCGAACGGGGGCTGCAGGGATATGACGGTAAGAGGAATGATGAAAGTGAAATGTGTTTTATCAGTATTCGACACTGACGAGCCAGATCAATGGCGGATCAAAGCCTACATCCACACAAGCCAACAACAAACACGAAAATGGTTACAATACAGATAGAGTATGGGCATGTCACTTTAAAATATTTAATATTATTTTTGTACAAAACGTCAGACTAGGGCCAATGATAACGCGCAACATTTACAGTGTGACTGCCTCACACTGTCACACTGTAGGGAAAACAAGTCTACATCTTGCAGCTGGAGCAGTGTGAAAACAATTATAATAACATGAACTCCTTTATAATAATAAAATGATTTTTCATCCAAAGTTTATATGTTCCAGGTTTACCTGGTCCTGATGGTCTGCCAGGTGAGAATGTTTAGTTACCTGTGTTGTGTATGGTTCCATTCCTTTGATGTTGGCGTCAAGATCAGGTGGAAACAAACATCAAAGTTGTACATGCAGATGTATGGACATTGCTTTCTGTATGTTCAAATGAGTGAGTTTAAGTCCGCTTTCGTTATTATTTCCGTCATGTCCGCCTTGTGGAGGGGAGAAGTCCAAACACAGAAGTTTACCTCTCTGTGGAACCCCATGGGACTGATTCTGAGAAACCAAGCATTGGCTCCATCGGTTCCCCGATCATTAAAGCAGGTGCTCGCTGCTGGTAAATGTAAGGACACCGCTTTACAGAACACAGCATGACGCCTCGGGTATTACACGATCGCAAAAGGGAAAGTCCGGCAAACACGAGACATTCCTAATGACAGTTACGGGCTGTTCTACAGATTGCGAAGTCTAGATATCATCCATCTTTCGTTTCGTATGAAACGGCAGATCTGTTATTGTCACTTGGGAGCTACTGCCATACAATCTGGGTCATCAAAGAAAAGTCCAACAAGTTGATTTTGTTCAGGATTTTTGATTGAGAGCTTTGTCAAAATAGCTTTCAGGCGTCGCCAACTTGAAACGAGTGGGTAAATGTCGAGCAACCTGCTTTCTGAATATAAGTTATTGACTGTAAGTCATTTCATCTCCCGGTCAATGTTCGCGACACGTTGCCCTGGTATCACGTCATCTGATGGCTTCAGATCTTTGGAGCACTAAGATATGTTTCTAATGAGACTGACACCCTTTGCAATTGCTATTAGGCTTTGGTATTGACTTTTAGTACTGAGTTTTAGTATTGGGTATTGGTACTGAGTTTTAATATTGACTTTGAGTATTGACTTTTAGTCGGGTAAGTGGGATCTTCCTGTGTGACAGGCAGGTATGTAGCAATTCAACCCATATTTACTGATGTTTCAGGACTTAAGGGGCAGAAGGGAGAACCAGGTATGATTGACGTCTTTCGTACATGTCTTGTGTAACTGCACTGTCAGAAGTACCACAGCTGTCTGTATATAATCATCCCTGGAGCAGACAAACCAGCAGTTGATGTTGTCAATCCCCACACCACTGGGCTATAATAACATGTTACCAGACAACCTGGTCTGTCCAGCTCAACCTGTTTATTCGCGTTTTTGGTCTGATATACCTAGATCGTTTAGAAAACTTTCCTCATGTCTTTTAAATTTCCGGCCCGTCCTACGAATTCTGCCTCAAGTCTTTAGAATGACTCTCAACGGTGAAAATAAAAACTGTTTTTAAAAAAAAGAAAAAAGAAGGAGTACAACAATATCGGGTACATAAAATGAAATGTAAGTTTCATTAGGACCGTGACGGCTTGAGTACTCCCAGGTGATATAGCACGTGCCTCTATGTGTGTGTTTGTGTTCCAGGAGCCGAGGGCCTTCAAGGACCAAGAGGTTATGATGGATACCAAGGTACGACAGAAATTTAAAATGAACACAAATTCCATTTAGTTATCATATTTTGTAATCCTAATTCTGTGATAATACATTGATGGTATAGGAAAAATGCGATAGTAAAATAGGGTAGACTAGTGGTTAGAGCGAATAATCGTCACGCCAAAGACCCTGCATATTACAGTGTGTGAAGCCCGTTTCTGGTTTCTGGTGTTCCAGGTCCTCCCGGGGTGTCCGTGAAGGGGGAAGCAGGTAACAGCATACATACACTCACTCATACACGGAGAAGTTTCTAGTGTCAAAGTTATGGTTTTGTTGAATAAGATTACACTTGAAAATTATCACATTTTATATGCTGCAAGCATTCGTAATAAAGTAAATACCAGCTAGATTCGGTTTCCAACCCTTGTCTTGCTCTTGTTGTCTTTACGCTAAGAAATCGTAAAGAGAAGAGTTTAGCAACTCAAGGTCTTGTCTTTTCTTAATACTATGTCAAAATATCAAATTTATCAACATACGTAAGTGTTACGTGGTACACATCATATAGTGACGCATGATTTATTGTTTACCTGCCTGCATGTATTGCTCGTGTGTTGGTGTGTTGGTGTGTCTAGATCTATACCGATCTCATTTGTTTGTTTTATTTAGGTCCGCCCGGCCCACAAGGATTCGCAGGTAAGACACACATCGATTTCTGTTGTACCTTAAACAATTCAAACTCAATGAGACCCTCAGAATTCGTGCGTTATATCGTAGGTCACATACAGGCAATTATCTTTCCTGAGGACTAGAATTATACTTGTTATCGGTATGTCCGTCTTCCTGTCATCGTTAGATTCAAAGATGACTGACAGGAGTAGAAGATGAAATCGTTTAACTGGTGTTCTTAACGGAAGAATTGTGTGTTGCGTATTTCCTGTCTTCAGTTCTCCACGTAGTTCCAAGTACGAGAGTGGAAGCAGTATTCCAGCGTATCAGATCAAACTGCATAGCGATGTTTATGGGATAAGAACCGACATTGCTGGGACTGTCAAATAAGCTGAGCCCAGTCTCCCTTTAAGATCAATTTTCTTTTTATCAGTACAAGTAGTTGTCGATATTATAAACATCTTCTTTGAGTGGTATGTTTAGAAGTTGGTGAATCAGATAAGGAAAAACTTTATGGATGAACAACTTCTTTATTCGGATGATGATTTATCGGAACGTCACATCATCCGAATAAAGAAGTTGTTTATCCTTAAAGTTTGTTCTTATCTGATTATAAACAACGGTTTTAACTCTTTTTCCCCCTAGAAGAGTAATAACAAATAGGTATCATCTGTCCAACTCCAATGTGACTTTGTTCCTATTTCAGGACCTCCTGGACCCATCGGACCTCCGGGTATGTTAGTTTATGAATATTCTCGATATCTTTGTGTCGCTGTTACTCAAAGCCGTAATGCTCCGACTTGTGTTACGTAATGCTCCGACTTGTTTTACGTAATGCTCCGACTTGTGTTACGTAATGCTCCGACTTGTGTTACGTAATGCTCCGACTTGTGTTACGTAATGCTCCGACTTGTGTTACGTAATGTTCCGACTTGTGTTACGTAAAGCTTGGTTTGTTGGTATGGTGTTTTACGTCGCACTCAGCAATATTCCAGCTATATGGCGGCGGTCTGTAAATAATCGAGTCTGGGCCAGACAATCCGGTGATCAACAGCATGAGCATCGATCTGCGCAAGTGGGAACAGATTACATGTGTCAACCAAGTCAGCGAGACTGACCACCCGATCCCCTTGGGCGTCTCTTACAACTGACTGACTGACTGAGTTTGGTTTTACGCCGCTTTTAGCAATATTCCAGCAACATCAAGGCGGGGGACACCAGAAATGGGCTTCACACAATGTACCCATGTGGGGATTCGAACCCGGGTATTCGCCTTTACGAGCCAACGCTTTAGCCACTAGGCTACCCCACCGCCCCGTCTCTTACGACAAGCATTGGTTGCTGAAGACCAATTCTAACCAGATCTTCAAGGGTCGTTACGCAAAGCAACTTACAGCATAAAACTATACTTGGAATATGCGCCCGCGCGCGCGCGTGTCATTTAACGCTGCTTTGAGGAGCTGTCCAGTGTTATAGGGGCGTAACAGATAGTTGTGTGAATATTTCAGTTACGTCACTGAGTGTCTTCTTGTTGTGGTAGGACATGGTGAAAGGCGTTCATCAAGTTTGTTTAAGTCGGATATGTTCCTGGATTCATTACACCCCTGTATTTCAGGTAACCCTGGAGGTTTAGGGCCCGCTGGTCTACAGGGCGAAAAGGGACTATCAGGTAGGTTCATTGTTTTATGCAGAAAATACACATTTAAACGTTATTTTATTCACTCCACAAGGAAATAAGTTCTATAATTCATATGGAGGAAAACCTTAATGTGTTGATTCCCAAGTTAAAGTTACTACAGTACAGTGAACTCAGTGTGAAACCAACAACCAAGAAAACAATGTAATATAGTTTACAATTGTATTCCAAATATTTACAAAGTTTTTTAATTAATACAAATCACTGCAAAGGGATCACAGAGCCAGTACAATAGACTGGCACTACACATTCCAAGTCAGTATGATACAAAAACAGTAGGTATAGGAATAAGACACTGGCAGTAATAGTCACCCCAACAGTGGTCAACTACCAGCACAGGCTGAGTATCCAGGGTAATAATAATCGTCACACAAATGCTGGTCTTCGTGTATCTTGAGATGTAATGTGAGATGACAAGCAAGAGTTGGCTCCACCTATATACCCAGGACAATGTTTGCGGATACTTCTATAACGTTCTCTACGTCAATGGAGGGCTGTAGTACGTTCTAGAACAATCTCGTAATCTAGCACACGTCGGAACATACAGCACGCCGCAGATCCGTACAGGTACAATGTATTATTCTTGGAGCACTGAGTAACACCGCCAAAAAAACAACCTTATGTACTTAAGGCGCGGTCACATCTTACCGTCATGGACGTTGTTCTACTGGACCGTAGTGATTAACGTAGTAAACCGTAGTTTGATCGTAGTGCCATGTTACCACGACGTCAACGCAACGGTGCAGTAGGGTCAATTACGGTCTACAAGGGAGAACTTGCGTCAACCACGTTCAAACTGCGGTAACGGTAGGGTCTTGGCATTCAAGCTAATCGTAGAAATATTTTGAACATGTTGAACATTGTTTGGTCTAACCACGGCCAAATCATGGGTTTGCTGAAGTTCAAAGTACAGTCATAACTACGTTGATCTACACTTAAATACGTCTAACTACGTTTAACTAAGGTCAAATATGGGTCTACCTCGGTCCACTACGTTCACCCACCACTACGGTCAACTTCGTGCGTGTCCGTACAATGTGACCGCCGCTTCAGTGACACAATACTTATTGTGCCTTTGGTACACAACTGAAACGTTGTGAGCTACGACCCTGCCATCATAGATGATTACACAGTTACATCGCTCTGTTCAACCTCACAACCCCGATCTACACCACTGTCACAACAAGTGTTGTTACTTGTCTGTTAGTATTACAATGGTCCGTGAATATCTCTCGGTCAGACAATCCTGGGGTTGATATTATTTGCAAAGTCTCAGGTTGTGGGGTTACCATGACGATGGGTTAGTTTCACGTGACCAAACATAGGATAATGCGGACCTAGCATAAGTTAATGCGAAACTAGTATAGGTTAATGCAGACCTAGCATAGGGTAGTGCGGATCTACCATAAGTTAATGCGGACCTAGCATAGGTTAATGCAGACCTAGCATAGGGTAAGTGCGGATCTACCATAAGTTAATGCGGACCTAGCATAGGATAATGTGGACCTAGCACAGGATAATGTGGACCTAGCATAGGATAATGTGGACCTAGCATAGGATAATGTGGACCTAGCGTAGATAAATCCGGACATTGCATAGGTTAATACCTACCCAGTAAAGGCTAATGCTTAATTAGCATAGGATAATGCGGGCCTAGCATAGGATAATGCGGACCTAGCATAGGATAATGTGGACCTAGTATGGGAAAATGCGGACCGAACATAGAGTAATGCGGACCTAGATTAGGATAATGCGGACCTATCATAGGGTAATTCGGACGTAGCACGGGTATAGGTTAATGTTGACCAGGTATAGGTTAATGTTGACCACGTATAGGTTAATGTTGACCAGGTACAGGTTAATGTTGACCAGGTATAGGTTAATGTTGACCAGGTATAGGTTAATGTTGATGAGGTATAGGTTACTGTTGACCAGGTATAGGTTAATGTTGACCAGGTATAGGTTAATGTTGACCAGGGTTAGGTTAATGTTGACCAGGTATAGGTTAATGTTGACCAGGTATAGGTTAATGTTGACCAGGTATAGGTTACTGTTGACCAGGTATAGGTTAATGTTGACCAGGTATAGGTTAATGCTGACCAGGTATAGGATAATGTTGACCACGCATAGGATAATGTTGACCAGTTAATGTTGACCAGGTATAGGTTAATGCTGACCAGGTATAGGATAATGTTGACCAGGTATAGGATAATGTTGACCAGGTATAGGTTAATGTTGACCAGGTATAGGTTAATGTTGACCAGGTATAGGTTAATGTTGACCAGGTATAGGATAATGTTGACTAGGTATAGGATAATGTTGACCAGTTAATGTTGACCAGGTATAGGTTAATGTTGACCAGGTATAGGATAATGTTGACCAGGTATAGGTTAATGTTAACCAGGTATAGGTTAATGTTGACTAGGTATAGGTTAATGTTGACCACGTATAGGTTAATGTTGACCAGGTACAGGTTAATGTTGACCAGGTATAGGTTAATGTTGACCACGTATAGGTTAATGTTGACTAGGTATAGGATAATGTTGACCAAGTATAGGTTAATGTTGACCAGGTATAGATTAATGTAGACCAGGTATAGGTTAATGTTCACCAGGTATAGGTTAATGTTAACCAGGTATAGGATAATGTTGACCACGTATAGGTTCATGTTGACTAGGTATAGGATAATGTTGACCAGGTATAGGATAATGTTGACCAGGTATAGGTTAATGTTGACCAGGTATAGGATAATGTTGACCAGGTATAGGTTAATGTTGACCAGGTAAAGGTTAATGTTGACCAGGTATAGGATAATGTTGACCAGGTAAAGGTTAATGTTGACCAGGTATAGGTTAATGTTGACCAGGTATAGGTTAATGTTGACCAGGTATAGGTTAATGTTGACCAGGGTTAGGTTAATGTTGACCAGGTATAGGTTAATGTTGACCAGGTATAGGTTAATGTTGACCAGGTATAGGTTACTGTTGACCAGGTATAGGTTAATGTTGACCAGGTATAGGTTAATGTTGACCAGGTATAGGATAATGTTGACCACGTATAGGATAATGTTGACCAGTTAATGTTGACCAGGTATAGGTTAATGTTGACCAGGTATAGGATAATGTTGACCAGGTATAGGATAATGTTGACCAGGTATAGGTTAATGTTGACCAGGTATAGGTTAATGTTGACCAGGTATAGGTTAATGTTGACCAGGTATAGGATAATGTTGACTAGGTATAGGATAATGTTGACCAGTTAATGTTGACCAGGTATAGGTTAATGTTGACCAGGTATAGGATAATGTTGACCAGGTATAGGTTAATGTTAACCAGGTATAGGTTAATGTTGACTAGGTATAGGTTAATGTTGACCACGTATAGGTTAATGTTGACCAGGTACAGGTTAATGTTGACCAGGTATAGGTTAATGTTGACCACGTATAGGTTAATGTTGACTAGGTATAGGATAATGTTGACCAAGTATAGGTTAATGTTGACCAGGTATAGATTAATGTAGACCAGGTATAGGTTAATGTTCACCAGGTATAGGTTAATGTTAACCAGGTATAGGATAATGTTGACCACGTATAGGTTCATGTTGACTAGGTATAGGATAATGTTGACCAGGTATAGGATAATGTTGACCAGGTATAGGTTAATGTTGACCAGGTATAGGATAATGTTGACCAGGTATAGGTTAATGTTGACCAGGTAAAGGTTAATGTTGACCAGGTATAGGATAATGTTGACCAGGTAAAGGTTAATGTTGACCAGGTATAGGTTAATGTTGACCAGGTATAGGTTAATGTTGACCAGGTATAGGTTAATGTTGACCAGGTACAGGTTAATGTTGACCAGGTATAGGTTAATGTTGACCAGGTATAGGTTAATGTTGACCAGGTATAGGTTAATGTTGACCAGGCACTTATCTTCACATACATTATGCGCATACTTTAGCAAGTGCCCTGTTTGTATCTCATTTGTCATTTCTCTGATTGACTCCCTGTTGTTCCAGGCGGAGAGGGTCCACAGGGACCCAGAGGCTGGCGAGGGTTTGCTGGTGAGTATTGGCTTTCTACTTACTTTCTTTACATGTAAACAAATCAAGATGTGCTTGACAAGCGATGCTGACGTAAAGCCACTTAAACACCTTCAATTTCGAGACAAACATGTAAATCCTGGGCGTGGTTTTTTTATTTGTGTGGGCTGAGATTTTTCTTAAGGGAGAGGCTGAGATTGTGATAGTCCATTAATGGAGATTGTTTTATTACGTTTATATGAATGCATGTATTGAGTCAATTGATGCGAGATACCAATTAAAAGTCTTAATGCCAATGTTTTTATAACAAGAAAAAAGATACTGTAGTATAACTATCAATCTAACCGCACAGTGCGCTACAACATTTCATTATTTTACAGTTCCCTACTATTTCCTGTAGTAATTATTGGAATTCCTTATGGCGAGTCAATATTATTGTAAGAAGTTAGCGTTAAAATCCGTTGGGATTGCCATACATCTAGTGTTTCATACTGCAGCACGGCTGGAGTCACTAACACATTTAAGGATTATATGATATCAATTGTGAGGTAGCGCAACATGGAATGAGAACAAGAATTTGCAATACATTGTCAACCTAAAGTAAACGACTACAGACAAATGAATGACTGTCATCTCCTTGTAATGACTAATTTCATCAGAGGCCCATTTTCCAGGGTCTGGGCCACTGGATAAACGGCACGGAGCCAGAACACCGATTGTCTCCCCTTGGCGGAAGTACAATAGCCACGTGTATCGACCAGCGCCACCACTACCACCACGGCCGCAACCGCCACCACCGCCCACAACAACAACAACTACTACTCCAAAACCAACAACTACTGCACCTAGATTAATTGATTCTCATGTAAGAATACGTCTAGTTTCTGAGCCTAAGAAAACAGAATCATCCATTTCAGGACAACCTTATAGAAAACATGGTTCTGATCCGAGATGGGGTGAAGGTCGTTCACCATCGGAAACACAGTATGGAGCAGGAATAGACGTACCTGTAGGTGCAGACACATTCTATGGTTCGACCCCTCCCCCTTACCAACAGGACATAACAAAGAGACCTTATGTAAAGAAAGACGCAAATTACCCAAGTTCAGGAGCTCAACATGAACTACGACCCAAGACTAGCTTTGGTCAGGATATAAAGAGACCACACTACCTAACAAATAGTCCAGATGGTCATCCCGATAATTCAGGGCCTATCAGTCCAGGGACGTTTTTTAATTCAGCCAAAACAGGCCCAGAACCACTGTACCCGTCAAGAGGTTCAAGTCAATCTAACAATGCCGAACCGCCTAAAACAAGGATATCTGTCCTACCAAGTACAGATCCAGTGGTACCAGGTTCTAGAAACATCGGGGCAGGGCTTGAAAGAGGGATGACTAGTTTGCGTAAAGAACCAAGGTTGTTAGGGCCAAGGAAAAAGGTAGTCGCATCTCTGTCACCAGCAGAATTCTCGATCCTTGAAAATGATGCTACTAGATTTACTGGTGACAAGCTTGCAGATGGTACTTTCCCCCCGGGCATGTCTGTCTCCAGTGATTTACGGGTTCCAGAACAGACAACACCGAGTCCAATCAGTTCAGCCAGGCTCAAAATACCTGGGACCATCCCATTGAAGCAGATAGTAGATCCGGCTCAGTATCTTGAAAAGTCAAAATCAAATCTTGGTCAAACAGACACGTCTGTCTCCTTAAACAATAGACCTAATGCTGACCCGAACTATGCATCGGGGTATCAAAAGCCTGTTGAAGAACCAAACACCCAGATCAAACATGTCGTTGTTTCTCTGTCAGCCTCTACCTCGTCACGTCTGTCCAGTTCTCCATCACGTCTTAAACACAATGAGAAAGGGGAGATAATCCATCCTTCAACATCCGGATCCATCACTCGCCAGGAGTCCCCGGTAACTATGTCAACAAGGAACCAGGAGCGAACCAAACACCTGCTCAAACCCGGCCTCAAGGCTATGATACGAACAGACAGCAGATAACAACAGCAGAACCCTACGTAAGAGTCCGCTCTAACTCGTTTTCCAAACCTATTATTCGGTTTTCTGGTTTGAAGGCTGCAACGCCACGGACAGGATTCAGGTCCAGATCTTTGACTGTAAGAGCTCCACTTTCAAGACCTGGTTTCACGAAAGCTCCTTTGTTTAGGGTTAGGCAGACCAATACATCCTCATCAACGTACCGACCTCGGTTTTTACGCAGGAGGGGACAGAAAATCACAGATAATGGTAGATCCAGTACCATGCCCATGTCGTCAGCTGCCCAATCACCTCCACGGGTTCAGTCGCGTGTACCCACACCCCAAACCGCAGCAACCTTCCCAAAGAACCACTCACCCAATTACCGACCCAGAAGTCCTGGGCATCGTACTGGTGCTGGTCTTGGGAATGCTCATCCAGTGCAACAAACTGGATCAAGTGTACGGGAGTACCAAAAAACATCAGTGCTCAAACCTGAGCCTAGCGCTGGTAATCAGCAAGCTCAGGGTACAGAACCAACGTATCAGTCGAGGTTTCAGAACAATCAACAACAAACTAACAAACCTCCAGTTCAACCTTCAGTACCTCAACCTCCACGAAAAATAACCTTCACATTGAGGCGAATAGCAGGAGGGTATAGCACAAAGCAAAATTCTCAACCCACAAACAATAAACCCTCGAATACAAAGGTTTCATTTGACAACCAACCTCTTCAAAAACCGCAAGATCCTCCACCACAAATTCATTCCTATAATTCTCAGCCAAATCCCAAACTTTCAAACATCTACGGCACTCAAAAGAAGCAGAATTCTCCTCCGAATGACCAACAATCACTGTCATCAAACAACCAACAGCAGCAAGCAGGTTACTACAGTAAACAAGCATCATCTACTTCTCAAATAGTGATGTCCAAACTATCGCAGAACTCGGGGTATCAAACTAACAAAGATCCGACCCCACCAGAGCAATCTCAAAACCTTAACACACAAAGTCAGAATGTGCAGCCTTCAGTCGGCTTGCAACAAGCAGGAAGTACAGTCAGTCAGGCCAACAGCTGGAAACCAGGAACCGGACCGGGCAGCGACCTAAACATGCCAGCCTCTGGTCTTACCTCCTATCAAAGCAGTTCAGGTACATCCTACCAGAGTCGTCCAAATCCGCCCCAGAAGCAACAGCAACAAGTTGGATATCAACAAACTCAGCAAAAATTAGGACAGCAACAACAGCAACAGAATCCTCAAAACGGGGGGTATCAGAAATCACAGCAACCACAGCACAAGGTCGGATATCAACAACAGCAGCCACAGCCACAGCAACAGCAGCCCCAACAGGGAGGATATCAACAGAAACCACAGCAACCACCGCAGAAGGTCGGATATCAACAACAGCCACAGCAACAGCAACAGCAACAACAGCCCCAACAGGGAGGATATCAACAGAAACCGCAGCAGAATGTAGGATATCAACAACAGCAACAGCAGCCTCAACAGGGAGGATATCAGAAGAAGCCACAGCAACCGCCGCAGAATGTAGGATATAAACCTCAGCCACAGCAACAGCAGAATGGTGGATATAAACAGCAACAGTCTTATCAGTCAAAGAGTCAGCCAGTGCCACAACAAAATCCCCAAATGGGAAGTAAAAACGGAGTTGGACAACCAGCATATATGCACGTTGATAATAAAAACACCAACAACGTCCTGAGTGGGCAAGTCAACAGACCAGCTGCTGGTCTGACACAAGGGATGGGGTCTCCCGCAAACAATCAGGGCACAAGCTACGGTGGACAAGTTCAAACACAGACCAGCCAAACTAAGCAAGGTGGCACCATGCAACAAGCTGCCTTGAAATATAAGTATAACCTGCAGGGACAACAGCAGATCAAAGGACAGGGCCAGACGAGTGCTGCTTCGTATGGTCAGTCTGTAAATAATCAACCAGGAATGCAGAACCAGAATAGTAAGACCCCTGGAGCGACACAGGTATCAGGTTACGGTAATACCGGATCTCAAGGTCAGTCCACTTCAGGTGGACCTCGGCCCGGAAATACACAGACTTCAGTACAGAGTCAGAATCAGATCAATAGTGCACGGACATATGCTGGACAACAGGCTCAACTGCCCATACAGTCATCAGCTGCTGGATCGGGACAAACGCTGAGTCAGCATATTGGTCAGTCAAATATCGGTCCTAATAACCAGGCAGGCGTGTCCAACTCTTACAACACGCAGGGGCGAGGCCAGGGGACTGGACATTTAGGGTCCGCTGGTCACAATGGTCTGGGGCAGACAGGAACCGTTAATCCTGGACTATCTCAGACCAATACTGGACTGATGGGGAATACAATGTCAGCACAGATGAATCAAGGAACGCAGAACGGCTTAGGTCAGGGTTATACTCAGGGAGCTCAAAGTAGTGTTAATCAAGGTATGCAAAGTGTTGCTGGTCAGACCATGCAGAATGGCGTCAGTCAAGGTATGCAAAATGGCGCCAATCAAGGTATGCAAAATGGAGCCAATCAAGGCATGCAAAATGGTGCCAATCAAGGTATGCAAAATGGTGCCAATCAAGGAATGCAAAACGTTGTTGGACAGAACATGCAAAATGGAGTCAATCAAGGTATGCAACATGGCGCCAATCAAGGCATGCAAAATGGTGTCAATCAAGGAATGCAAAACGTTGTTGGACAGAGCATGCAAAATGGCGTCAATCAGGGCATGCAAAATGGTGCCAATCAAGGAATGCAAAATGTTGTTGGGCAGAGCATGCAAAATGGCGTCAATCAGGGCATGCAAAATGGCGCCAATCAAGGCATGCAAAAGGGCGCCAATCAAGGCCAGCAAAATGGAAACACTCAAGGCATGCAAAGTGGAGTCAGTCAAGGCATGCAAAATGGAAACAATCAAGGCATTCAGAATGGCGTCGGATTACAAAATGGCGTATCAGGTGGAACCTTTCAAAACAATAATGTGGGCACCCAGATGAACACTGGCCAAGCTAGTGGTCTAGCTGCCGGTGGACCTATTCAGAGTATTGGAACATCTGGTGTACCTGGACAGATGAACACAGGTAGCCAAGGCGGCATGGCTCAGAATAGCATGGTTGCCAAACAGACGATGGCGGGAAGTAAAACCATGATGGCTGGAGGAGGAGGCACAGGAGCTATGGCAACTGGACTTGGAGGGACGATGACGGGTCCGGCCCGAGTCAGGGATCTAGTCCTGCCCTACAGAAACAAAGGAACCGGACTGCTAGGGGCTGAGCCAATTTCCTTTGAGGTTGGCGTAGGCGGGAGGATGGTAATGGACCCCACAGATGCCCTGAGGTACAAAGCTCAGGGAGGACTGTTACCAATAAACGGTATGCCTGGAACACAGGGGGCCAATGCTGGACAAGTCATTCACCTGGAAGGACAACCGACAGGGAACATATTCACTCAGGCTGCTACAGGCACGGCACACGGTGCCATTGCTGGAAATGCTGGCATGACCGGAACTGTCCGGAATCAGGCATCTGTCAATCTCCCGTCACCACCCGGAACAGGGGTCGTTGCCGGGCAACAAAACAATCAGCAACAAATCGTCACTAACCAGCAACCAGTCAATCAGATCAGCTTCAGAGGGAAACGATCAGCCAACACCGGGTTATTTTCTAAATACAAACTAAAACCATCAAGCGCCGGAAACAAGGCGGCCCTGAAGTAATAATGACATATATCATCTATATATCATCTATATATCACATATATGTCTTGAGTCTGTAGATGGATCTCAGTTTAAGAATTATCTATGGTTGTTTGATGTTCATCGCTAGTTATGATGAAACAAGGTCACTCTCTATGCCAGATTTCCCCGGTTCACATCCTCAGATATTGTCACAAGCTATCCTCATTATTTAATCCAATCTGGCAAGGTTTAATTCAGATGAGAACAAATGTTAAATAACGATACACAGGATAAACAGCACACTACATATAATGAATAAAATGACTGTGTTAAAGTGTGCAAAACAATGTGACAGTTAACTCTCAAAATTCTAAAATTTATCTTATGGCATACAATATATATATCATGCAGATCATGATACAATGTCAGATACAGTATGATATTTCGTTTCAATTTAATGACTAAATTTGCATATTAATTGCTGATTAATTTGTGAACCTGTTTTGTAAACTAATGTATCAACAAGAATCTGACTACAATATAATACGTAATTATATAAACGTTTCAATTTCTGCAAACCTGCTGAAAGGGAAACAGTGTTCATGAACACTTGTCATATAAAGTTTATATATTCGTGTATATGTGTATCCCGACAAACAATCAATAAAACGATTTTGTAATTCATTTTTTGTTTTCTACATTTCTGTCGACCGCTAATGATAGAAAATGACTGTAGTGATCCAGGATGACATGATCCTGACTGACAATGATCCATCCTTGAGACAGCACTGTGAGACTCCCTCACTCACACTTTCAGTTTCGAGATAATTCTAGTCTGATGTATTTAGGTATTGTACTTGAGAACTCGTTCCTCTGAAGTACAGCTGTTTTAGTACTGTCTACTCAAACACTGACAAAGTCTAAGGTGCCAATACCGGTACATGTATAACACTTTTTCAACAACGTATTTTGGTGGAAAAATCTCAGCCCCGTTCAAAATATACCATGTGTTTCTCTAAACACGCTAGAGCTATTTCGCAAACCTCCTTGTCACTATTCAAGGTGCAGAAGAATATTCGGATGTCATGACGTCATAATATTTGATGTGACGTTACTTGCTTGTGACATCACAATTGAACATAAGGAAGAGCGTATTTATGGACGTCAACTTCTTCATTATGAGGAACACAACGTTTCGGAGTATATCTTTACTCCTATATCAGGTGAATTAAGGACGAAGAAGGAGTAAGGATAAACTGCGAAACGTTGTGTTCCTCATAATGAAGAAGTTGACGTCCATAAAAACTCTATTCCTTATGTGTATCAATTCTAAATGTCATTCAAAGACCACAATTGAACATGTTTGCATTTCGAGTTACAATGTTGAAAGCATGATGTGGGTCACCAGATTGACCCTATTGTCGTACATAAGAGGATCACCGAACCTATAGTCTGTTTGCAGTGAAAACGTACCGATGAATTTCACTTTAAACAAAAAAGTAAATCAAATAAAGTGAAATTAAGATTGCGAATCCTCATAATTTTACCTTGCCAATTGGACACTTAAATCTGAGAATCGATTTAACTTAGGATAAAAGTTGTTTAACAAACGATCATAGTTTCAAATCGCTATTATTGGTTTGTATTACAAGGGGGTAAGCACAATTGAATGAAACCCTGAGAACAAGAAGGGTTGTAGAAGGGTTCAGTAGTTGGAACAGTGAAACAAATGCACGTGCGGTGCGTGATGAGCGTACTTAGACTACCGTAGAAACCAACCCTTCTTGTTCTCGGGGTTTCATTCAATTGTGCTTACCCCCTTGTAATACAAACCAATAATAGCGATTTGAAACTATGATCGTTTGTTAAACAACTTTATCCTAAGTTGAATAAAATTCTGAGATTTAAGGGTCCAATTGGCAGGGTAAAATTATGAGGATTCGCAATCTCAATTTCACTTTGCATGTATTTGATTTACTTTTTTGTTTAAAATGAAATTCATCGGTACGTTTTCACTGCAAACAGACTATAGGTTGTGTTGCATGTGAACACGTAATGATTAAAGATGCACGTGGCGCATGTTCCTGTCACGCCATGACACCTTCCGTCAGGTATCCTGTCCTACTAATGTTGCTACTGACGCTGATCCTACGGGGTACAAATGGGATCATTATTTCATTTTAAGGTCTACCTGGGCCGCCTGGTAAAGATGGCCTCTCAGGTGAGTACTCCTCTCTTTCTTGTTCCTGAGGACAGACCAGTTTGAAATTTGGTTTACAAATCCGCTGACTCAAAAAACAAAAATTAAAATGTGAACACGGAAAACTAAGATTGTTGAGAATTTATTTCGCTGACAGAAATCGGTAGAATGTTAAAATATGTCATTTATTCTCGCTATCAACGTAGACCAATTATCAATATATACTATTGACAGATTCTTATTGAACATTTATCTTTAAAACTCTTACCATGTTATGTTTGTTGTATGATGCCTTTCTTTCCAGTATACGGATATCTAAACCAATGACTAAGTTTCTCCGCTTATTCGACCTTCTGGCCTGAATATTTGGGCAAAGGATCTGGAAACCAAACAAAATGGTCTGACTTCATTAATGATGTTATTGGAATAAATTTGACATGATTTGCCTTTCGTACTTCCTCTTGTTCAACAGCATCAGAACCTTGCTTAAAGTGTGATTCTGTAGTCTAAGGTGGCGCAGTTTGCATCCCCTTGCTTTTGCAGGATCCGGTGATTTTCTGTGGTTGAGAAATCTCGTAACAGAAACATGGAGCTGAAACAGCCCACTCCCCTTTATCTAAATGTCGGAACAGGTAGCCCAGTCGCCCAGGCTCCACGTCAAGCTGAGCAGAGTTGCGTCCCTTGGGTACGCCAGAAACGTGGTTTAGGAGCCGGGTTTGCTCTGGTTATGTTTCCTGTGTTTTTCATCATACCTGTGTTTTTTGGGTTTCATCAAAGAGTTAAACCTTTGAGACCTGCATCACATCTGACTTTCCGGATGGTTATGGGCTGGCATATAACTGAGACACGGTTCAAAGCGGCGTCCAAACCAAGTCACTGTTATTTTACTCACCCATTGTGGTTCAATAAGATAATTTCTTCCCAGGTCCGCCTGGCCCACCAGGAGCACAGAGCGCCCCAAGACCAACTGGATCGCCAACTACATTCCGACAGGGCCACAATCATAACAGCATAGTGATGACCGGACAACCAGTACTCAGACAGCCAATGAATTCAGCTCAAACACGCGTGAACCCGATCTACCGAACTATTCCTCCTGACCCTCCAGCCTCTCAGCAATATCCCCGACAGTTTGCTCCATCTCACTCCAGTACCCGGGCCCAGACCGTGTCCATCCGGCAGCCCCGCTACCCTCCAGGATCATTCCCGCAATCCGCAGCGGCAGGATCAGGAACTAGAACGTCAGTCGCTGTCCAGAGATCTCTGGACCCCAGATTTATCGGCTCCGGTGGTTCGGGTGCTGCTAAAAATTCAGTTTCAGTAAATAGACCAAGCCCTGACGGCAGCTCCGTCAACACAGTGAAGATAAAGACTGGCATCTCCTCTCTTGATTCAACCTCAACAGGAAAGGGAGGACAGGCTGGAACCTCAAGCAGAGACACTCCTGGAAACACCAAGACCAATCTTCCACAGGCTATTCTTAAAGCATTGTCACCATCATCTAGTTCATCTGTAGCATCATCGAAACCAGCAACAGCAACGGTGACCGTTAAACGAGCTCCAGCCTCCCCAGCAACTGCTTCATCTTCAAAAGCCTCCATTGTAATCTCTAGATCCTCCAAGACTAGTGCGAAATCAGCTTCTCCCAGACCTTCGTTGACTATATCCCGGTCGGTGGTTAACAGACCTGGTGGCAGTAATCCCCGACCAGCTGCCACCATAACCATTCCCAGGCCCTCTCCAACTGGAGCAATCCCTTCTAAGTCTCGGGCCCTCCCCGTCACAGTTCCAGCCCAGTCTGAACCCACAGCTAGGTCCTCAATCAAATTGACACGTCCCGATCAATCATCTTCAGTCGCAAGCCCAGCTCGAGTCTCAATCTCCCGTCCTTCTTCCTCAGCCTCTATCACAATATCCAGACAATCTCAATCAGGATCAAACCCCTCCCTATCGCGACCCTCAATCTCAGTCTCCCGCCCTGCTACTTCAGCCTCTATCACAATATCCAGACAATCTCAATCAGGATCAAACCCCTCCCTATCGCGACCCTCAATCTCAGTCTCCCGCCCTGCTACTTCAGCCTCTATCACAATAGCCAGACAATCTCAATCAGGATCAAACCCCTCCCCATCGCGACCCTCAATCTCAGTCTCCCGCCCTGCTTCTTCAGCCTCTATCACAATAGCCAGACAATCTCCATCAGGATCAAACCCCTCCCCATCGCGACCCTCAATCTTAATCTCTCGCCCTGCTTCTTCAAGCTCCGTCACAATCTCCCGACAATCTCAATCAGCTTCAAACCCCTCCCCATCGCGACCCTCAATCTCAATCTCTCGCCCTGCTTCTTCATCCTCCGTCACAATATCCAGACCTTTCAAATCAGCCTCAGTTTCTTCCCCAAAACGAGCGTCAGCGTCTGTCTCCCGTCCTGTCCCCTCTATCACAATCTCCCGACAATCCCAATCAGTCTCGACACCCTCCCAAACAGGATTCTCAGGGACGATATCCCGATCAGCCCAGTCAACTTCAATATTTCCCCTGCAAAAATCATCAAACTCAGTTTCTGGTCCTGCTTCGTCCGCCTCCGTCAGAACAGGTCGACCTTTCCAGTCCTCCGCAGTCTCCTCCCCATCAAGACTTGCAGTCTCAGTCTCCCGCCCCGTACCTTCAGCTTCAGTCTCAGTCTCCCGCCCCGTACCTTCAGCTTCAGTCTTAGTCTCCCGCCCCATACCTTCAGCTTCAGTCTTAGTCTCCCGCCCCGTACCCTCAGCTTCAGTCTCAGCCTCCCGCCCCGTATCTTCAGCTGCAGTGTCAAGCTCCCCTGGAGCATCTGTCTTCTTGAAGCGACCTTCACCTAATACCCAAAGCCTTTCTACGGGAGGATCCATCCTGCTGAGACAGAGACAGAGACAAGCAGCAGCAGCAGCATCTCCTGCTGCAGGAAGCCAGGACCAGGCAGCAACTCAGCGTCGTCGTCCCAGCTTTTTGTCCTACCGCCTGGCGGCCACACGCCGATCCTCGTCCCCGGGAACCAACGTTGCCAGCAGCATCGTCCGTCGCCCTCAGCCGTCTCTCGGCGGCACAGGGGCATCTTCACTACAAGCACGAACACGTGAGTACAGTAGGGTCTGTGTCTGAACGTTCTTTGTGAGACAATTCATCCCGAGTTCGGGGTTCGATTACCTACCATGCCTCACTGTTTGGAATGGTGTCCACACTCGTATTGAAATATTACAAAAGGCGGAGTAAACCCATACTCGCTCATGTTCAACAGTCACTAAAATGAAAGATTGTAGTAAGATATATGGCAAGAAAAATACAGAAATATCTTTAGACCATTAGTTACAATATGTGAGTCTCATTTATCATAGTATTACGTCCTCTGTATAAGCTGTAAGGATGACAACTCCCTCCATCTTACAAATCCGTAAACCAGACACTGACCCTCCTGAAAGAGGCGGTGATAAGTTTTCTGGGGAAACCTTTCGCTCGTCAGGCATACGGCCAAGACGTGGCTTTGATGGAATAATGGTAACCTCGAAACTTTGCATATTCACTCAAGACGTCAGCACACAACACCGTGAAATATTGTATTCATATCTTTCAGCATTCATGCGTTACCAAAGCAACAGAAATAACAACGCATTAAGAAGCAGCACGTCATCCGTGCGTATTATACGGCATGGTGGCCAAGCAACAAGGCCAGGTAACCCCCCTGGACATGGAGGCGGGAGCGGTGCAGCAGGCGGTGCTGGGGGCGGTGCTGGGGGCGGGGCTGGGGGCGGGACTGGGAGCGGGGCAGCAGGCGAAGCTGTATTACAGATCTCTGCTGAAGTGGAAACAGAATGAACCACTGTGACACGGACCACGTGACTAGATGAGTGGTCAGGTGGCTAAGTGACGAATACGTAGATGAATATATCAAATAACAGCTCTATCATTTTCTATTCTGGATATAGTTGAGAGGACTGGTTCATAGTGAGACTGTGCCGCAAGGTCTGCTGCCCAGGTTTAGATACGTCCAGACGCTGTCGTTAATAAAACATAGGACATTTTCTTTGTTTTTACTGTTAGCAGATATGTCAAATTAGTACATATTGAACTAGTAATTTTGACCTAGCACACCAGCAACCTGTTACCTGAAGGAGTGGAATGTGTTAGTTGTAGCCGAGCCGAGCCGCATATACCCTTGTCTTGCCTGTTTAATCCATCTGTTTATACGAACAATCACAGTGCACTGCTATATACTTACTGCCTATTAATGAATTAAATAGGACAACGTCATAAGTTGGAGCTGCGGTTATTCAGGTGATGGTTTACATATTGTTTTATTCCATTTCAGTGACAGGAAAAATAGTAATTTTCAATTTTCTAGTTTTGTTTGTTCCATGGAGGATGGATATCTGTATGATCTCGGACACACTGACCTTCTACATTCCTTTTATAACATTATAGCTCCAGCTGACTTACTTCAACCAACTGTTTTCAAAAGCTCGTATTATAGGAGAGGAAACATTATCTATCAGCGTTGAGGGTTTTCTGAACAAAGTTTGCTTTTCACATTACCGACACGCTCCTGCCGTTGTGAGAATTATCCTTCAGTACAGTGCAGGCCAAACCTGGAGAGGCACGTGATCTAGTTGGAATTGTATTAATTGTAAAATTGAGTATGTAGACGTAGAACGAAATAAAATTCAGAGTACTATTTTTCCATTGTTGTGTCTACGAATAATATTGATGCCTGTATGTTGTTTTAATCTTGCCGATGGAATAGAGAGTGTTATTGACACCTTACATCATGACCTGTCTGAAGAGTGAGTGAGTTAATTTTACGCCGCTTTTAGCAATATTCCAGAAATATAACGAAAAGGGACACCAGAAATGAGCATCACATAATGTACTCATGTGGAGAATTGAACCAGGGCTTTCAGACTGACGAGCGGACGCTTTAACCACGGTGCTACCACAGCGCCCCCTGTGGGTGCTGCTGAATGTCCATTGAGCGACATCTCTTATAAGTTAAGTGGCAAGTGACATCGGTTCAATGCTTAGGGAAGTCACCATGTTGTATTACGGTGTTTCCATGACCACCGAGTGTGAATGATCAAACAATATCACGACGGGTGAATCTAGAAACAACCTTCACACAGTCTATCAAAGTGGGAATGGAACTAGGACCTTCTGCGTAATGAGCTAACGCTTTAACCACTAGACTACCCCCCTCTTCAACATCCTGAAAGGCATACACGGGCGAACCGCCACTAAACGAACACATACCTATTAGAAACATATTCTTCTCGAACCCTGTGTAAATCGTGAGGAAATTAATGTTATTAACACAGGCCCTTAATCCATCGGGATTTGGGCTTATCAGTCATTGGTCAGATTTGGATGAGCTTATCAGTCATTGGTCAGATTTGGATGAGCTTATCAGTCATTGGTCAGAAGTTGTCCGTTTGTCCCTTCCCCGATAGGACCGTCTCCGTGGTCTAGTGGTTAGAGCGTCCGCCCGGAGAGCGGAAGGTCGCGGGTTCGATCCCCGACCGCGTCATACCAAAAGATGTTAAAATATGGTACTTGTTGGTCCTTGCCTGGCGCTCGGCATTAATGGGTACAACAAGGACTGGTCGACTCGGAGTCAGTATAATGTGTCTGAGTGGGGTATTCATGCTTCACTGCGGCATGGAATCTCAGTGGGCTAGCACTATAAAACCAGCTTCAGTATGGGCTAGTACAAGCAGCCGCACATACACATACACACGCATGCACGTCGTCATATGAGCGAAATATTCTCAAGCACGACGTTAAACCCAATTTCACCTCACCACACCTTCCCCGATAGATTATGTCTAACCATCTTCATAAGTAAGGGGGACGTTGGTAGAGCCCATACTAGTTCAATATATCTGTATTACACACAAACCAGATCGGTATCAGGATGCAACAAACAGGAAAATGATTTGACCCAAGAGGAACTGCTTGCAATAAACTCCATTTATAACCCCAACTGCTTCTGAGCGGTATTTCGTACCTTCTTGTTGTCTTAGGTACATTAAAAAGAAACCGGCAGCTTTGTCAAGCAGTAAAAGTCTTGCTGACCTTTTACAGATGCGGGGGCGGTGGGGTAGCCTAGTGGTTAAAGTGTTTGCTCCTCACGTCGAAGACCCGGTTTGATTCCTCACAGAGGCACAATGGACAAAAGTCATATCTGGTTTTGCCTGATATTGGTGGAATGTTGTTAAAAGCGGCGTAAAACCACGCTCACTCACTCACTCACTCACTCTTTCAGTTGCGTGTTAGACGTGTCCCCATGGCTGTTGTGTTGCTAAATCACTTTGCAGCCATTTTGTATAATATCTATGGTGACGATGAAGTCTTTGCACTATATAACGGGTACGGCCTACGGGTACGGGTACGGGTACGGATGTTCCTGTAGAAACACTGGCCAAGACATACATACCACGGTTGAATATAATCCCCCTCAGGTCACAAGTTTAATAACCCCGACTTTCACGTGCAGCCCATGCCATGTCGACTGCGACGTCATCACAAATCCCTTCACGCGAACAGACAACACACGTGAGTTATAATCTGCAATTATACGTCATACATAAAATTTTCCATTATCGATTATCGTACACCTGACTCACTTATGTGACTCGATTCACTTTCCCTTTAAGGCGCCGCAATTTGCTATGCAGAGTTGCCTACCTTGGCATATCTGTAATTTGTGTCCCTTTATTTGCTACTCACACTTTGCTAAGGATCACAAAAATTCGCAACTTTACTTAAACGTAGGTTCATAATTTGGAATTGTATCATTTAAAACTGGATAAATAATGATATGGTAACACAGCCACTGTGGCTGAAAACAGCCACTTTCAGCTAACCGTATGCACTTGATACCTGAGTAACCCTAAAAATTATTACCATGGCACCGATCAACCATTTTGCAAATCATGGCACGAGTCATTGATAAGTACACAACACCTGTCAATAGCAGGTATGGGATCCACCAGATGAAATGACATACTGAAAACTTGGATCCATGTTTACAATAGTCTCAGATATTCAAACCAAATTTGACCCCGCATCATAGTTTTCTGTTGAATCAATGATTTGATCCTTAGCAAAGTGTGAATAGTATGTATGACACACAGTCAGTTATTGTCCTGTCCGATTATAGCGTATTGCCAACAACATCCTTCCTTTCAACCTGCCCTACCTCGACAGCATCAGACACCACAACCACGTCACCCACAACCTCCTTCCTTTCAACCTGTCCTACCTCGACAGCATCAGACACCACAACCCACGCGAGTGAATGTTATGAGACAACTGTGTATCTTATATTCCGGTTCTATCATCCGGAACAGACAAACCAGCTACAGATGTCATGAGATCAAGCAGAGCCCCAATATGCGGACCCCAATGTAACAAGTCCCTAAACCTGACCACCATATATAACGCGAACTCGTGATTTCATGCCTATTTAATATCAAAACGTACAAAAATATTTTAAAAAGCCATATGATATCAGTAAAACATTAGGTGACATTAGCGTTGCATGGATCCGTGTTTTCCTAATGCTGAAAGAAGAATACCATCAAAATGGCCGCTGAATTCTACCGAAGTGCGACCAAACATGCGTCAGCTGAATACTTTGAGCCACCCGCCGAGACCTATTTCATAAATGACTGATAATCATAGAGGCTGTTTACACCCGGAAAATTTGTTTCAGCTGTAGAAGTTAAAATAGTCTGCTCGAATCAAATTGTGTGTGTGTGTGTATGTGTGTGCGTGCGTGCGTGCGTATGTGTGTGTTCCTAGAAGGAGAGTTATTTGTTCATACTTCGCCAGTAAACGTCATGTGATACCGATGACCAATCACTGACACGTTTAGTGTCGCCCAGTCACAGCCTGCGAGAAGTCAAACATTGAAACTCTGTTTAGACCGGAGCCCAGTCGGTGAACTGTTATGAAAAGCAATTCAGCATAAAAAAAAAAAAAATTACAATAACAAAAAAATCGTTGATTCAACCATCTCTTTTACAGGCGACCCTGGGAAATGGGATAAAATATCACTGACAAAGCGGGTGGATTCCTCCGACATATATAAACAATATAGCCCCTTATCTCACCACTACAATATTCTGTCAGCACCACATGCTGTTCTCCCACCTTATCTCCACCGTTCAACCTCCACAGGGTCACGTGGCTGTCGGCGACACTTTACAAAACATGAGTGTGAAATCTCAGCCTCAAAAACACAGCCTGAAAACATTGGCGGCTGCCGTCCTTGGGGTGACGGCGTTGGCGGTGTTGGGGGTGTTCGTGTACTACCAGAACAGGCAACTGTCTCTCCTGGAAGCCCGGATTACCAGCGTGGAAGGGAGAACAGAGCGTGAGAAGTCCAGACTGAGGGTGAGACCTTATCTAATACTGGACAACAAGCTGTAGTGCTACACGTGAAGCTTGACACTCATTCAAGGAGAAGTGTGAGCGAGTGAGGGAGTTTAGTTTTACGCCGCTTTAAGCAATATTTCAGCCATCTCACGGCGGGGCATACCAGAAATGGGCTTCACACATTGTGGGGAATCGAACCCGGGTCGAGTGCCGAGCGAACGCTTTAACTACTTGGCTACCTCACCGCCCCAGTGCCAGAAGTATGCATTGTAGAAATATAGCTAACGCTTTTGTTTCCACACTTCCACACAACATAATTCCAATAAAACATTGGATGACCTCTGGAACCACATACGCCATTCAAACCCACGCAATGATATTTATGTGCTTGATGTGATTCCTAAACAACAGGAACACAATAATTTGTTCTTTGTGGCCATTTTTGCCCAGTACAAAAAAATAACTCGAAAATACATTTTCATAGTGTGTTTGTATATTATATTTATCAAAGCTCTCGAGTGAGACATCATAAGTGTGCCGCTTGCGTCAAATTCATTTCATTTCGTAATATATTATGCTACTTTAATAAAACAAACGTTTTATTAAGGCCAAGGTTTCGTTAGAAGACCACTGTGTATATACGGAGTAGCAGAAAACATACTATGTTCGCGCAGATCGGTATCGTTACCTGACTTGGTAAATGTCGCCCATTCAAACATGCGCGACAAATTCGTTGTACAGAGTTTCATCACTTGGCCATAGGTCAGTGATTCTGGACATGAATTCTAGACTCACCCATATTTTGTTTCCATGTCGTTATGAACAATCCTACCCTGGACGTGGGTTTCTGCGTTACTTCGGGTTTTCTCCCATTTAAAGCTTACCGTGATATAACTGAATACCTATCAAACCCCATACAGTATGGTGGCTGATTAGGGCCATCGCTTTCTCGCCTTAGAATTCAGAGGCGAGAAAGCGAGAAAGCGATATCACGAGACGAGAAAGCGATAACACGAGACGAGAAAGCGATAGCACGAGACGAGAAAGCGATAGCACGAGACGAGAAAGCGATAGCGCGAGACGAGAAAGCGATAACGCGAGACGAGAAAGCGATAACACGAGACGAGAAAGCGATACCATTACGCGAGAAAGCGATAGCGATAGAGAGCGAGCGAGAAAGCGATAAAGCGAGAAAGCGATAGAGCGAGAAAGCGATAGAGCGAGAAAGCGATAAAGCGAGAAAGCGATAGAGCGAGAAAGCGATAGAGCGAGAAAGCGATATTACCCACAATTCAGTGCTGTCTGCGCATGATCGACTGCAAACGGGAGCTCAGTCGCCATCGTAGTTTCTGGATAGTATTAAATGGTTTTCAGTAATGTTCTTGCCCACGAATGGCGGTGTATGACTAGACATTTAGAAAATATCTTATAGAGATGTAGACTTTCTTTTGACATGCAATTTGCACGTATGCAATAGTCATATCGTGAAATAACGGAAACGTTCATTTTGTGATGTGACTTAAGGAATTACATATTTTTTGACATAACTGGATTCGAATTGTCTTAACCAACTTAATCACACCAACCAATTGAATTGTTTCTTTGATGGGCATTTTAGATTTTGAGTTGATGAAGAATAATGACAATTATATTGGATATACAACTTCTTTTATTCTGTGGAGGCGACGTTTCGACATAGATTCTAATGTCGTTGTCAAGCAAGTGATACATGAGTAACAAATTGAGAGAATATATACATGAGTTGTTATTACGGTAGATAGGGGATGAGTTGTTTATACATTAAATGAGGTTGATGTACAACGCTTGTAGAAGAGATTGAGTAAGTTGATTGGAAGCCAGAAGGGTGATATACAAGGACTGAATTAGAATTTATAGGAGGCCAGGTGGATGTATATACAAAAGATGGGTTTGATGTACATAGTTGAATTGAAACAGATAATGTACACAAGAAATATTATTGATTACTTTATCAAGTAATAATAGGCATTGGGAATGTAGTATCCTTCATCTCTGTTGAGAGCGGATCATATCTTCTTGATGTGTACTGCTTCCAAAAGTTTCCGAATTTTCTAGTCTGACTGGTTCTTTTTTATGTTTCTCTTTGAATTATGATGTTGTGTGAGAAATGTGTCGGAAGTGCCAGATGAACGGGAGGGACCTATGACAAATAAGGCATTTTGACGAGTATATTTTCATGTCGATTTCCACCATGAGTGGCCAGCACTAAGACAATCAACCACATCCAAACCAGCATCCTAAAATAAAATCACCGAGTGAGTGTGTGAATTGAAATATATGTCGCCTAAGAGCAATATTCATGTCTTAGGTTCATTGTTGATGGTTTTGTGACGCCATATTGTACGCCATCAGTTCAATTCCAACTTAATGGAATGGTGAGTTACACTTACATTTCAAACAAATTGGAGCTTGCGTTTCTTTTGCAGCTCAGTTTATTACATATACATCACATTCAGAGAGTTTTGAAGTATGTGACACTATAAATGAGCTGTATGTAGACAATTCAAAAATAATTATCAGTTCTCGCTGTTTGGTTATAGGTGGAGGAATTAGAAATGAGGCATGGGAACTTAACCGTTTATGTTTATGTCACTTTATTGTATTTCAGGGTGATCCAAATACAGCTGTAGTTTCTTTGAATTAATAAAGACGATGAAATTTATTAACTGAAGAACTTCACCTACATGAACCCAATTCGCTCCTACCCAAAGATAGAGGAGACGCACGTGACAGTAAAGCACCTTGGTACCTCAATGTAGTAACAGAACCATTCCACAGTCAATGGTGTAATCTAAGCAAATAAAAGGATGCAGTCAAACGTTCGTCTAATCAAAGCTGAAAATAGTACGCAGTTAAACGCTGGTCTAGCCATATATAGTGAACTTCTTTGGATGGCATTTAGAAGTTGGTGTGCTTAACAACGGGGAAAGTTATATGGATATACAACGCCTTTATTATAATGTAAGAGACATTTTGGTCCGCCAATTTCAAACCTGTTCTGCCATCAAAATATCTATCAAAACCCATCTTTTCCGCCATGTTTTCTTCTGACAAAGTTAGATAATAGACATGTTATACCAACAACTGGTTTTCTACAATATATTATTACCCTCCGCCGCTATTTTGACTGTATGTAATGTGTTGATGTGTGTGATATGTGATAAGCGAAAAGCGATAGCGATAAGCGAGAAAGCGAGAAGCGAGAAGCGAGCGAGAGCGAAAAGCGATAGAGCGAGAAGCGATAAGCGAAAGCGATAGAGCGATAAGAAAGCGATAGAGCGATAGAGCGAGAAAGCGATAAAGCGAGAAAGCGATAGAGCGAGAAAGCGATAGAGCGAGAAAGCGATAGAGCGAGAAAGCGATAGAGCGAGAAAGCGATAGAGCGAGAAAGCGATAGAGCGAGAAAGCGATAGAGCGAGAAAGCGATAGAGCGAGAAAGCGATAGAGAGCGATAGAGCGAGAAAGCGATAGAGCGAGAAAGCGATATTTCACATAATTCTGCCCTGTCTGCACATGACGTCTAACCTGCGTATGATTTAATCCAACAGGAGGCTTTATTGTCATTTGGTTTAATCGTATAGAAACAAAATGAACATGCTTTCGAATTCTGTGGCATTTTTGTAATTAATCCTTTGACTTGTCCAAACAATAATCCAACAATAACACCAGAAACCGAGTGTGTTTTCGTTGAAATGAGGTCTGGATTAATTCCCGGCTTGCATTTCTTTATTGTCATTTCCCTTGTTAAATGCCACCATTGTTATCTCATTATTCATGCCGGGATTAACAATCCCTGGCTTCCATTTGTCCATCAACCCTACCAATTTAGCGCTAATTAAGTACTGGCTTCCCTTGTTATCTTATCACTGTTTGTTTATCACTGTACGTTTTCAGCTTTCATTCACTCGATGGAGAATAAGAATGTACTCCGTTGCATCGTGTTATACAAATACAGAAGTTTACGCCCATAACTGCTCTTAATACCTTTAGGTATTTTATGAGTCCTGTTTTATGAGCTCTGTTTTCACTGGGCTAAGCTACACATTTGCCTACTCCCCATGTTACCCGTGAAGATCCGGGTTAGATTGGTCTTCAGCAACACATGCTTGTCCTAAAAGGTGACTAACGGAATCGGGTGGTCAGGCTCGCTGACTTGGTTGGTTGACAATGTCATCGTAACCCAACTCCGTGGCGTTTTTTGCTCATAATGTTGATCACTGTATTGTCTGGTCCATACTCGAATATTTACAGATCGCCGCCATATAGCTGTAATATTGCCTAGTGCGGTGTTAAACAACAGACCAACCAAACCAACTCCCCGTCGGGCTGTATTGTATCAGTGGTGGAATTTTATGCACCATGTGCCTTTCATCTGGTCGTTTAATGTGTGCATATTTCACACATATATATATCTACTATTATGTGAAAAAGGTATTGTTCTAAATGTATGTGCCATAACCTCTCATACTTCTACAAGAATGGCTTCTGTACATACGTATATGTTTGTCTGTCCCCGAACTCCCAACTATCGACTTGAGACAGTGCCACAATTCATCGACCGACGTGGTAGGTGTGTTTAACCAAAACGTAATAAAATTATTGCTTGGGGAATAAAGCACTATATGATAAACACCTGTATATTGAAAATAAGTTAGTTTAGATGGGGAGCTGAGAAGTTGGACGGAAGAAGGTGGGAAGTTGATTGCCTATAAGTTCAACTAAGTAAGTGGTGTAAAGTATATTGTGACTTATTGTGCAGAACAGTTAAACTGTTGCTGATAAGCTCATAAGGAGTCTACTAAATAGATGAATTGGGGTTAAATGTTAAAAAGTAGGGCTGGGAGCCAGGGTACGGTGTTTATGTTTTGGTTGTGAAACGTGTGGTGCGTGGCCTTGACATTGTGAGTTAGTCTGGATAATCGAGTTTACACTGTAATGTGTGGCTGGATAGGGATGTTTTAAAGGGTTTATTCTGTATATATTCTGATATTTTATTTTCTGACCCAGTCTGGTAGTTATTGAGTCATTTGGTTTCTTCTAGTAAGTAATAGGTAGTAGGTACTAGTCTTTGCACCTGTGGCTTTTTTAATATATTGTAAGGAGTTTCGTTGGGGATAGAGAAGGACGGGAGCGACTCACTCCTGTGTGTACAAGATAAATGTTTTGTAGATGTGTAGGAGGGTTTATTTGTCTGCATCCCAGTGAATGCCACCTATTGCTCTATTTGATTTGAATCGTTTTGACATGAGTTGACCAGGTTATAAACAAGATGATACAGGTAGATAGTTCCATATATTGAACGAGTTTCAAGTCCTCCTCTGGAAACGAAAATGTTACGAAGGATTAACTGGATACACTAATCAGCTTTTCAAAACCTATGCGACCACGTCCAGCTGTAGCCTTTACTTTACTTTTATTCTCAATAGACCACCAATGGTGGTATAAGAGTACATATCACACACATCAATTATTACATACAGTCAAAATAGCGGCGGAGGGTAATAATATATTGTAGAAAACCAGTTGTTGGTATAACATGTCTATTATCTAACTTTTGTCAGAAGAAAACATGGCGGAAAAGATGGGTTTTGATAGATATTTTGATGGCAGAACAGGTTTGAAATTGGCGGACCAAAATGTCTCTTACATTATAATAAAGGCGTTGTATATCCATATAACTTTCCCCGTTGTTAAGCACACCAACTTCTAAATGCCATCCAAAGAAGTTCACTATATATGGCTAGACCAGCGTTTAACTGCGTACTATTTTCAGCTTTGATTAGACGAACGTTTGACTGCATCCTTTTATTTGCTTAGATTACACCATTGACTGTGGAATGGTTCTGTTACTACATTGAGGTACCAAGGTGCTTTACTGTCACGTGCGTCTCCTCTATCTTTGGGTAGGAGCGAATTGGGTTCATGTAGGTGAAGTTCTTCAGTTAATAAATTTCATCGTTTTTATTAATTCAAAGAAACTACAGCTGTATTTTGATCACCCTGAAATACAATAAAGTGACATAAACATAAACGGTTAAGTTCCCATGCCTCATTTCTAATTCCTCCACCTATAACCAAACAGCGAGAACTGATAATTATTTTTGAATCGTCTACATACAGCTCATTTATAGTGTCACATACTTCAAAACTCTCTGAATGTGATGTATATGTAATAAACTGAGCTGCAAAAGAAATTTGTTTGAAATGTAAGTGTAACTCACCATTCCATTAAGTTGGAATTGAACTGATGGCGTACAATATGGCGTCACAAAACCATCAACAATGAACCTAAAACATGAATATTGCTCTTAGGCGACATATACATGTATTTCAATTCACACACTCACTCGGTGATTTTATTTTAGGATGCTGGTTTGGATGTGGTTGATTGTCTTAGTGCTGGCCACTCATGGTGGAAATTGACATGAAAATATACTCGTCACAATGCCTTATTTGTCATAGGTCCCTCCCGTTCATCTGGCACTTCCGACACATTTCTCACACAACATCATAATTCAAAGAAAACCATAAAAAAGAACCAGTCAGACTAGAAAATTCGGAAACTTTTGGAAGCAGTACACATCAAGAAGATATGATCCGCTCTCAACAGAGATGAAGGATACTACATTCCCAATGCCTATTATTACTTGATAAAGTAATCAATAATATTTCTTGTGTACATTATCTGTTTCAATTCAACTATGTACATCAAACCCATCTTTTGTATATACATCCACCTGGCCTCCTATAAATTCTAATTCAGTCCTTGTATATCACCCTTCTGGCTTCCAATCAACTTACTCAATCTCTTCTACAAGCGTTGTACATCAACCTCATTTAATGTATAAACAACTCATCCCCTATCTACCGTAATAACAACTCATGTATATATTCTCTCAATTTGTTACTCATGTATCACTTGCTTGACAACGACATTAGAATCTATGTCGAAACGTCGCCTCCACAGAATAAAAGAAGTTGTATATCAATATAATTGTCATTATTCTTCATCAACTCAAAATCTAAAATGCCCATCAAAGAAACAATTCAATTGGTTGGTGTGATTAAGTTGGTTAAGACAATTCGAATCCAGTTATGTCAAAAAATATGTAATTCCTTAAGTCACATCACAAAATGAACGTTTCCGTTATTTCACGATATGACTATTGCATACGTGCAAATTGCATGTCAAAGGAAAGTCTACATCTCTATAAGATATTTTCTAAAAGTCTAGTCATACACCGCCATTCGTGGGCAAGAACATTACTGAAAACCATTTAATACTATCCAGAAATTACGATGGCGACTGAGCTCCCGTTTGCAGTCGATCATGCGCAGACAGCACTGAATTGTAGGTAATATCGCTTTCTCGCTCTATCGCTTTCTCGCTCTATCGCTTTCTCGCTCTATCGCTTTCTCGCTTTATCGCTTTCTCGCTCTATCGCTTTCTCGCTCTATCGCTTTCTCGCGTAATGGTATCGCTTTCTCGTCTCGTGCTATCGCTTTCTCGTCTCGTGTTATCGCTTTCTCGTCTCGCGTTATCGCTTTCTCGTCTCGCGCTATCGCTTTCTCGTCTCGTGCTATCGCTTTCTCGTCTCGTGCTATCGCTTTCTCGTCTCGTGTTATCGCTTTCTCGTCTCGTGATATCGCTTTCTCGCTTTCTCGCCTCCGAATTTTAAGGCGAGAAAGCGATAACTAATCAGCCAGGTATGTCCAGGTATGTCCAGGTATGCCCAGGTATGTCCAGGTATGACCAGGTATACCCAGGTATGTCCAGGTATACCCAGGTATGTCCAGGTATATCCAGGTATGTCCAGGTATGTCCAGGTATGCCCAGACAGGTTATGTGTAATTAGATCAATGCTTGGACCAGGTTTAAAACGATCTAGTCCGGGCAAATACAGCTGTTTATTGACGACCAAACTGTGCCTGGGATTCCATAATGCAATGTGCATTCCTAATGTGTGATACTACGTTGATTGGCGGGACTACTCCAACAGTTTCTTAAATGTGGCTTTCCCGGGCTGTAACCCATGAACCACGTTTTCTTAACGAATTCCTCGCTGATATCCCTGGGGTTACAGCCCGGGAAAGACACATTTAAGAAAAACGGGGTTGAAATGGCAATGGACATTTTTGAGTGATCGTGTGAATGTGGCTCTCACGGCAATGCGCTGTTAGCTAATCCTTGTTACCGTAAATAATGTGAAATATTCATTATGTAAAATCTAGAAATCCTGTTGAATTGTTCGTTTAGAAAAGTCCAGACTACGCAAACCAGCTGCCTCATGTTAAAAACTAAAAACTTGAACGAGAATAAAGAAGCCGCCCATCATATGTTAACTAAACAAACAAAGGACAAGTCACTAAGACAATTTTATTCCATTGTGATGAATGGGTGACGCTTATTTGAAATTACGGTATTGATGCCCATACTCATTGTGGCATTCGCGGCGATCCGCGTAACCGAGGTTGGTACTTGAAATGTGGCTTTAGCGGCAATTGTTGTTCTTTTTTTTCAAATGTCGATTTCCCGGGCGGACACCATCCCTGGTAGGCATGTCAGCTTTACTCAGTCGGACACAGATTCAACAAACTTTGCAGTAGACTTTAGTGTCAGATAGTTAATGTGTTTCAAGTGTCTTCAACATATAAACTAACCACAATTCCAAATGGAGGCAGGAACAATACAGTGATCGATGCTGGTGCAGTCTTGACTTGCCAGATCACTCTAAACTTCATTAGGGTTAATGTGTGTAATTCATCCTCCAGAGTGAGTGAGTGACTTTAGTTTTACGCCGCCTTTATCAATATTCCAGCAATATCACGCGGGGGACACCAGAAATGGGCTTCACACATCGTACCAGTGTGAGGAATCGAACTCGAGTCTTCGGCGTGACGAGCGAACGCTTTAACCACTAGGCTACCCCACCGCCCCTTATCCTCAAAAGCCTTGTAGACAGAGGACAGGGGAGTGTAGCTGTGCTCCAGTATGGCAGAGGTTACACAGCATTATCGCCATGGCCGCCATCACGGCTTTATGATGATTTCAGATTCATTATAATTTTTATTCATACTTTATGTTCATCTCTGCAGAGGAATCTGGATGACCTCGACGCTGACGTTGAGAGGCTGGTGAAGCGACACATTGACCAGCACCTGGATACTCGGCAGGTGCCTAGTCAGGATGCAGTCGAGGTACTGGTCAAGCAGCTATTGGCGTCGGAGGTACGTGGAGTTACCCTCATCACGTGATATCACTGTCATCACGTGGAATTACGATAATCACGTGATATCACTGCTATGATGGGACATTACCCTGATCACGTGATATCACTGCCATCACATGATATCATCGTCATCACGTGATATTTCTGGGTTTGAAAACTAAACATTTCTAATCGTTAAAGAGTGGTGTGGTTTGGCTCCACGAATCGGTTTGGTCAACAATTCTTCTCATGTATTTATGCCATTGTGTTTGACTCGGAAGCGGTGTTGACTTACTCCGTGGTTGTGCTCTCAAGCCGAAACATGAGTCTCATTAACCTATTCAGACAATGACCTACTTTTCAGCCGATCCGAATTTTCTCGTGTGAAAGAGAAAATAGACATAAAAAACAACTATAGTTACACTGAATTCCAAATTCCTTGTTTCATAAGAAAATGGTAATTACAAATTAATTTTAATTTTAAACTTTAATAACATCGTATTTCTATATTTTATGGCGAGGTGTAGGCAGCTTGACCTTAACTAAGATATCACAGACTGCCCCTGTTTGATGAGGTCGTAAAATGATTCACAATGCACCTGGCTCACTGGTTACGCCTGTTATGTGGGTTTTTTTGCGCTTATTCAGAGTAGTTCTGTAACGCACAATGTGATTGATATAATATCAAGTCCGTACCAGACCGCCAAACTTTTCTAGCGGCAGAACCTCGTTTTGAGATTTCCACGATTTCCAGGTTCCTGTTTGTCAGAGCTCGCTGTACGACAGAACACGCTGCACGACGTGTTTGCAAGGATTAGAAGGAGCGTAGTGTTGCAATAGATGTGCTTTATGGTGGCTCATTCGGGCCATCGCTTTATCGCCCTGAAGAAATCTAGGCGATATCGCGACAAAGCGATAGTAACCATAGTGCTTAGATGTATCAAATAATACTGATTGATATTTATGTGTCCAGTTAAATGAAATGGTCTCAAAATTCTGGACTGGTTATTGTACTAAGTTGCGCAATAGGACGGAACCCAGTCAACAGGAAAATAGACTGTTGTGTAATCAATGTTTTGACTTGTGTTGTAGACGCAACTGTTACAGTCCTACTGCGACAACTCCACTATCGTGTGTCATCCCGGTGAGTCGTAGACGTCTTAGTGAGTGGTCTTACAGATGATTGATTGAGTGAGTGAGTGAGTGGTAGAAGTCTTACAGATGAGTGAGTAAGTGAGTGAGTGGTAGGCGTCTTACAGTGAGTGAGTTTAATTTTAAGCCGCACTCAGCAATATTCCAGCAGTATGGCGGCGGTCTGTAAATAATCGAGTCTGGACCAGACAATCCAGTGATCAACAGCATGAACACCGATCTGCGCCATTGGGAACCGATCATGTTTCAACCAAGTCAGCGAGCCTGACCACCCGATCCTGTTAGTCGCCTCTTACGACAAGCATGGATTACTGAAGGCCAATATTCTAACCGGATCTTCACGGGTAGAAATAATGTACAGACATACGTTCATACTGTAATGAAGGTGCAAGATGTGCTGGATGTGTCAGCTCCTTTTACGACACTGAGGAAGCTTTACTCTCCAACCCCAGCCCCAAACGTCACATGCATGAAAATATCTGTTCCATTTAACATCATCACATTTATAAAGGTCTGCACTTACTTTTGACAAACATGGTGTATTTCAAGTCCTGGGTGTACACTTGAACGTCATACAAGTCATACACAACATCGTGTCATCACATCACTGGTAGCTCGGTGTGTAACTTCGCTCAACTGCCACAGCAGTTACTGATTCTCAGTTGGTGCAGTAGAATCGCATGTAGCAACTGAATAACAGATAAGACTGAATAAGGTTATATTCCGATTTCGTTACAATATCAAGGCGGTGGCCACAAGAAATGGGGAATCCCATGTGGGGAATCAAACCCAGGTTTTCGGCGTTACGCTTTAACTACTAGGCTATGGACGATGTGGCCAGGCTGGGAGAAGTGTGAATACACCGGTCGGGTAGGTCGCGGTTCTCTGGGCTCGATCATTTATTAGTGAGTGAGTGAGTTTAGCAATATTCCAGCCATATGGCGGCGGTCTGTGAATAACAGACAAAAACGCGTCTGAACCAGACAATCCGGTGATCAACAGCATGAGCAAGCAAGTCACAGAGATCCCACTCGATCCCATTAGTCGCCTCTTACGATTGGCGTCCAAAAAGTATTCAGCCTAACCTAGAAAATGATACAAATGCAGCTGTGTTATGTTGTTATTTTTGTACATATTATCTGTCACCCTCAAGCAAATTGGATTTGCTGTGTTCCTGCCTCACGATCCCTATTTTGTTTAACCTTTTATCTTGGTAAAACCTCCTCTCTCTCTCCCCCCTCCCTCCCCCCAAATACGCTAACTCGGCAAAAAAATGCATCACAAACTTCAGGAAAAAAATATGCAGGAAGCATTTTTGTGTGTGAGGTAAGCAGAAGTCCGCTAGAACTAAACTTAGATATTAAAGTGCATAAAAAAGTAATTTGAAGCCACAATCGCTTGTTAAAGTGACTCCCCCCTTCATGTTTACTAAAAGAGCTTGTTTTGGAGAAACTACCTACCCCACCCCACCCCATTTCAGATGATGTAATCAACAGGACATAACCTATTCTAATGCTTTTACTTATTCCTACATGATGCCAAAGGTTCAATCGAAATACTGAATGGTCAGCCTTAAAACTGTAATGTTTTGTAAGTCAGTCATAACGTTCGGTTGTCTTTTCAGGCGTCAAGGGCGAGAGAGGTGATTCAGGTAAGTGATTTAGAACATGAGTAGCATCAGAATGACTTTCTTGTGAAATGTGAACTTTGCCAGTTTTGTCAGAACTCGTGTTGAGCACGGAGACGTGGCATCAGAATAACCAGTTGTCATATGTACTCAGAAACTGTGTGTATTCTCACATTAACATGTTAGTGCATAATTTATGCTCATGTATATGTCAATAGAGCTGAGAAGGAGTTGGATGTAGCCTGAAAGGGCTGAGAAGGAGTTGGATGTAGCCTGAAAGGGCTGAGAAGGAGTTGGATGTAGCCTGAAAGGGCTGAGAAGGAGTTGGATGTAGCCTGAAAGGACTGAGAAGGAGTTGGATGTAGCCTGAAAGGGCTGAGAAGGAGTTGGATGTAGCCTGAAAGGGCTGAGAAGGAGTTGGATGTAGCCTGAAAGGACTGAGTAGGGGTTGAGTATAGGCTGCTGACAAGGAGGCGTGTATGTGCCGCTATAGCTACTACAGAAACGAATATAGACTGCTTGATGTGAGAATCAGTTGGGTATAGTCGCCTAGTGCGGAGAAGATGACGAGGGGTCGAAAGGGAGGGGCTGGTGGTGTGGTATGTTCTGGAGGCACCAAGAGAGACCCATGATAACGCATGTCTCTGTGCAGGGGACAAGGGTGCGGTGGGCCAGGTCGGTCTTCAAGGGCTGCAGGGGCTGAAGGGAAACCCAGGCGCCCCCGGGTACAACGGACCTCCTGGACCCAAGGGGGAGATTGGCAATCCAGGTAAGCACGTCCATCAGGCACATTGTATTCCGTGTTGTGTTGTGACAGATATACGCTGCAGGGACAAACAAAGTATCCGCAAATGATTGATTGCTGCTAAAACTGAAACAAACCCGAAATAGTAACTCGATGGCGATCTTTTTGTTACAGGTATCACAGATGTATTTTGATACAGGTATCACAGCTGTGTTTTGATACAGGTATCACAGGTGTGTTTACATACAGGTATCACAATGATGAATTTGATACAGGTATCACAGATGTGTTTTGATACAGGTATCACAGATGTGTTTGATACAGGTATCACAGACGTGTTTGATACAGGTATCACAGATGTGTTTTGATACAGGTATCACAGGTGTGTTTTGATACAGGTATCACAGACGTGTTTGATACAGGTATCACAGATGTGTTTTGATACAGGTATCACAGATGTGTTTGATACAGGTATCACAGACGTGTTTGATACAGGTATCACAGACGTGTTTGATACAGGTATCACAGATGTGTTTTGATACAGGTATCACAGATGTGTTTGATACAGGTATCACAGACGTGTTTGATACAGGTATCACAGATGTACAGTGTTTTTGATACAGGTATCACAGATGTGTTTTGATACAGGTATCACAGATGTGTTTGATACAGGTATCACAGACGTGTTTACAAGATACAGGTATCACACAGGTGTGTTTTGATACAGGTATCACAGGTGTATTTAGTTACAGGTATCACAGGTGTGTTTGATACAGGTATCACAGATGTGTTCTGATACAGGTATCACAGATGTGTTCTGATACAGGTATCACAGATGTGTTTGATACAGGTATCACAGATGTGTTTGATACAGGTATCACAGATGTGTTTGATACAGGTATCACAGATGTGTTTGATACAGGTATCACAGGTGTGTTTAGATACAGGTATCACAGACGTGTTTGATACAGGTATCACAGATGTGTTTTGATACAGGTATCACAGACGTGTTTAATACAGGTATCACAGGTGTGTTTAGATACAGGTATCACAGGTGTGTTTAGATACAGGTATCACAATGATGAATTTGATACAGGTATCAAAGGTGTGTTTTCATACAGGTATCACAGATGTGTTCTGATACAGGTATCACAGGTGTGTTTTGATACAGGTATCACAGATGTGTTTTGATACAGGTATCACAGATGTCTTCTGATACAGGTATCACAGGTGTGTTTTGATACAGGTATCACAGATCTGTTCTGATACAGGTATCACAGATGTGTTTGATACAGGTATCACAGACGTGTTTGATACAGGTATCACAGATGTGTTTGATACAGGTATCACAGACGTGTTTGATACAGGTATCACAGATGTGTTTTGATACAGGTGTCACAGGTATCACAGATGTGTTTTGATACAGGTGTCGTATCACAGATGTGTTTGATACAGGTATCACAGATGTGTTTGATACAGGTATCACAGGTGTGTTTAGATACAGGTATCACAATGATGAATTTGATACTGGTATCAAGGGTGGGTTTTGATACAGGTATCACAGATGTGTCTTGTTACAGGTATCAACAGGTATCACATATGTGTTTTGATACAGGTATCACAGATGTGTTTTGGACCCTTACGTTTGCATTGCATCATGTTTGGTGGTTTCTGTTGAGTATCTTTAGGAAACGTTACTGTAGTAAATGTTATTTATTAAGATGCACTAAATATATCGTACACGGGATGAACGGAAATAGAGAGTTCACACCCCTGTCTGTCTAAGATGTCACCTGGTCAATTAATTCTAATAATCTCTATGCCAGCAACCTAACTAAAGTACTGTCGGAAATGCTAGAAAAATGCTTTTTAGCCTTGATATCTTTAGAAAGGTGATAAATGTATTATGTTGTCAATATATCAACTCACCTATAGTGTACCTAATTTTTATTTCAATTGATTTAACATTCCCATGCATTTAATGGGCAGTTTACAGGAGAGAATTTGGTACCAAAACAACAACTTAAGATTTTTTCAGAGTTCAACAACAGAAATCTGAAATAGTTCACATTTATGCTAATAATACAGGTGGTGTACAAATATAAATTAACGTTTTTCTTAAACAAATAAACGTTGAATGTTTGTGTTACTTTACATAAATATCGTTTCTTTATGGAAGAAATATTAATATAAATGTTAAGTCTTGATAAATAAGTTTCCCGTCATGCATGCACATCTTTATCACAGCGTCCACTATGGCTAACTATTTGCAGACGATTGTTGCAAAGGTTTATAAGTTTTTGTGCTTGAAAAAGACAGAGGTAAACCTTTCATTAGTATAGAAATGGTTTAGTACAGAACTTGTAGAGCTGTTGGTATGTCTTACCAACAAGTTTACAATATTGTAAACAAATCAGACAAGACAGGGACCGTCTCAAAAGCAAAACCGGGACGTACAACCATCCTTGACAACTTTGACAAGGGAGTACTTAGACGGGCGGTCTACAAACTTTAGGAGAAGAAGAATATATATATTCTAAAGAAGCTACACAAGTGACTTCGTTAAATCTTTGGCCACTGTTCACAACTAGATTAAACTGACCGAATTACATCCATATTTTTGCAATGACATATACTGTTGACATGCAAAACATTTATTAAAACGTTGCTCATTTCCACAATCAATCGATAAGATAACACAAGTGATAGGGTTCTTTCCAATGTAGGATTTTTTTTCACAACAAACACACATACACAAATGATCCCTTACATAACCAATACGTATACTATACGTACACATATTCAACATTTTGAAGAAAACATCTATTGAGATGACCCCTCGCGCGAGCTTGTGCTCAGGTGTCAATTTCACCTGTCGATACCGTGCATGCTGATGACGTAACACAGGCAGTTAATGTTTGTATCAAATAACGTCCCACTACCCCTTATTTTTCCAAGTTTTTTGGTATTTTCATCAGTAAAAACGCATTTTAGGGCATGTCTCAAAATTTATTCCCTCGGTCTACATTAGGTAGATGTTTCTTAAAGTGATATTTGTTATTTAAGTAACTGTAATACCTCTGAATTTGAAATATAAGTCAAAAAGCATTTTTCTAGTATTTCCGACAGTACTTTAGTGACCTTCACCTCGAGAAATGCCTCAGTCCTACTCTCACGTTGCTCTCTTCCCTACATTGAGGAAGTGCTCTCCCAAACAGTGATAGCCATACATGATTACATCTTGTGCTGATATTCACTAATATTGAACTCAGTGTACTGTTCCCAACAGTGTTAAACTCACCTGTTATGCCCATATTCCCTGACTTTAATTACAGGTGCCACAGGTGCAAAGGGCGAGCCGGGCACCGCCGGTCAAACTGGCCTCGCTGGACCTAAGGGAGACAAGGGTGACAGAGGTAGTATTACCGACATTCTACCATGACTTCAGAAAATACTGGATTGTGATTGGTTAATCAAAGTCATTCAGCGGTATATAATCACGTTATATACCTCTGATTTTCTAACACAGTATGTATTTGTTTTAAATCTTAATAATGCAGTCATGGTACTGTGTTGGAAAATCAGAGGTATATAACGAAATCATAAGAGCTCTAAATTTGATTTTAAACCGAACACAACGCTATTACCAACACAGTATGTTTATCTCCTAAATATCAATGAGTTAGCATAAAATGAATCGAATATGAAATGTGCCATACCTGAGGCCCGACACAGCTGATAGGAGAACGGCTGGACACAGCTGCTAGAAGAACGGCTGGACACAGCTGCTAGAAGAACGGCTGGATAAAGCTGCTAGGAGAACGGCTGGACATAGCTGCTAGAAGAACGGCTGGACACATCTGCAAGAAGAACGGCTGGATACAGCTACTAGGAGAACGGCTGGACACAGCTGCTAGAAGAACGGCTGGACACAGCTGCTAGGAGAACGGCTGGATACAGCTGCTAGAAGAACGGCATAATGTCGTCAAAACAGACGTTGGTGGAATTCTGTGTGGATGAAATATAAAAGTAGCTTGCCATTGTCGGCTGCCATTGTCGGCTTAATGTGCACCAGTCTCTTAATTGCGTGCCAGGTTTCATAACTCGAGGTTAAGTCTTAATCCCATTTTTGTTTTAGGTGCTTTTCACTACCGTAGCGGACCACAATTGTATGTTTTCTGATTTTTTTCTGCCTAATATGTAGGTTGATAGGGCAAAAACTATTTTAAAAAGGACATAAAAAAGTCCAGTTTCAAATCTTTAAAATATATCTTAAAGAACAAATAAACTTTTGTTTTTTGTACTCTTTTAACCATTACATATGAAAGACGTGTGGTTAGTCTTAAGCGGAACACCAAATTCGTGATTAATTAATACCGAGAGACTAAAAGTTGCCAAAAAGTCGCCTGCTTCACTCTCGCCCGCCAACGAAACCACAGAGAGGTTACGTAACTCTGTCGCTAGAGCACTGCAGCGAACAGGAAGTGACGTCATGTGAGGAATGTTTTGATTTAGTTGTATATAAAATGTGTAACAAGCTCGTCATTTTGCTGATTTCTTAACGTCAACCAAGACATTCCGAATCGTTGCGTTGCCTTCAATTACTCCCAGTGATCGGGTGATGGTGTCGCAATGCACTGATTTCCACCGGACCCCGCAGTTCGTGCTAAATGGGTTATGTTTGTGAGAGCGAAGCGAGCATTGTGGAAGCCTGGAACGATATCTTAAATGTGTTCAGATTGCTTCACGGAAGTTATAAAATCAAAACTACTTACTAGTTGTAGTAAAATCTTACATGATTGATGATCGAAAAGATTTTCCATGACAGAACTGTTAACATAACGATTTCTTCCTCGGAGGCGAGGTTGGGGTCGAAGTGACAAGAATATTGTAAGTAGTATTATATTGACACCCACCTCGCTTCCACGAGAGAAATTGTTATGTTATAAGCTATGTCATGCAAAATCCTATTGGCAATCAATAAAATACATATTTTATTACCAGTCGAAAATAGTTTTGATTTTGTTACTCAGTGAAAACAAAGCTAACTAGCATTTACTCTCAGACTGGCAGATGTTCGCGACAGGGCGCCGCCATTTTTAAACATCGTGACGTCACGGGCTAAAGTGTGTTAAAGAAATAATGAGATTATGGGTTGTTTTCATCAAGTTAAAACATCAAAACTACATTTTACTCGTAGTTAAATCTGTATTTGAATCATGACCAAAAGGATTTTGCATGACACAACTTGTAACATAACGATTTCTTCTACGGAAGCGAGGCGGGGGTCGAAATGACAATACTGGGCGATAAATGTCTTGCTACATCACCAGTATGTAGATACTAGTCAATGTACGTCTTTATATTTGGTCTTATAGTCTTATTAGTACTTTATCATACTTGTATGCATTTTGAAACTTAATTAAAAACTGTGTCCTCTCATTCTGCCTACAGCTCATTCTGCCTACAGTTAAGAACAACACACGTCATGGTCTGCTGGTCACAACTGTGTAGGCAGAATGAGAAAGCGATAGATAATACTTGACCCTACCTCCCTACAAGGAAAAATGGAAGAGCTTGATTTTATTTGTGTCTTGTATTTGTGTGTGTGTGTTCGGTTTTTTATTTGAGTTGTTTGGATAAGCGGACTGCTTGATTCTTCCTTGTTTATATGGACATTCTTATGTATTTGTTATTAACTGTTTTCTTATTAAATACACAAAGCCATTTTAGAAAGTGTCAAATGTAACATATTGTTACGGTTAATAATTTGCCGTGACAAAACGTGTAAAAGTCCCCTCTGAACCAGCAAAATAGAACACAGACAAGTCTAAAATATTCAATAATATATTGAACAAACCATGAGGAATCTACAATGAATGACAAACACAAACAATTCAACGTAATTTATATCAGAATTCATAACCGCTGAAAAACCTCTAAAGTCTGCTTTCTAATTTTTATCTCTTCCTTGTTCTTAGCTTTGTTAAGAAAGATTCAATGTAATTATATCAGAATTCAGAATTGCTGAAAAAAACACTTAAGTCTGCTTTCTCATTTTTATTCCCTCGTTCTCTTTCTTAACATAGCTAGGACATAGTTCATACTGTTAATAAATGGTGTTATTTGTCAAACAACTAAAACATTTCAGTTACTTGAAGACAACTTTAACTATTCTACAATTCTCAGAGTTTGAAAAATGTTCACACTCTTTCACTTATATACCAACTCCTTCGTTCATGTTACAAATATGGCAGACACAAACAAATTCAGAAGAATTTCAAAGAGACTCCCTTTCTGTTCCTAATGCAATAGGTAGTATTTTAGTTGTATCGGGATATATCGTCTCTTGTGGCAATACATCTATGTATCATGGACCCTCGCCGTATATATTATGTTGTCTACTATAAATAAAATAAAATAAAATCAAGATTGTGTTATGCTATGTCATGGACAAGTCCATTTCTAAATTAGGGGTGGCCTGAATTTTTTTTCATTCTGCCTACACTTTTAAAATGTCTGTAGGCTGAATGAGATGTAGGCAGAATGAGAGTAAACCAATAACTCTTATAACCGTGATACGGTGGCAGCCGAGGGCGTTGGCAACAGCATTGTATGTCGACCCCAAGTGCACCATCACACTGGCTCTTTCCCTGTCTTCAGCTGTTAATCGTGGAGTATTTCCCATACTTGTGTATCAGATCATGTATTCTAGGCTCTCTTCATACCCTATAGAATCATTCTACATGTGAAATGGATGCAAATGCTGCTTGAATATTGCTGTGTTTTGGCGATTAAAATTGCTATGAGTAAACAGAAAATGGAAAAATTGTTACTTAGCAAGCAAACATGTTAACAAAGATAATCGTAGATGTTCCTAAACATTTTTTCACAATATCAAAGACACGTTTTACTTGTTTTCACTAATGCAAATCAGCAGAAAATGTTTTAAAGACCGAAATCATAGGAATGATTATTTTACACTTTTACACACTCTACAACAGTTGTTTTGCGTTTTAATAGTTGCGAAATGGTGACTTTAAATGGTTTATCTTTGTCCCAAAGCAGACCTTTATTTCAACTTTTCTTTTGGACATGAAATTCACTGTTATTGGTTTATTTCGGCATGGACGAATATAGGACAATTTAACTCTTATGAAAAAAGATGCATTTCACCTAAATATGAATGCATTTGAGAATTATGTTTTCGTGGTTTGCATAAAGCTGTGTTGTTAAGCTTTCTGGTAAACTAATACCTGCTAACATATCTTTGATAGTTTTTCAGTAATTCATAAAGGTAGGAGGGTAACGTTTCTTTTGGCGTTTAGTGTATGTGATCTTTAAAGATAGCAACGAGCAACGATGTGTGGCTCCATGGTCTTGATGTGAATAAGGCCTTTTTGTACCAGGTTACCCCTTGAGAACCTCCTCGGATGATATTAAAGTTAATGTGAGATTCAACAGGAGGCCAGTGTAGAAGTTATGTGATTTAATTTGGTTTCAATTTATTTCAAATATCATAATAATGGATCTAAGACTAAAAATTGATACCACGGGGAATAAATAGTCTTAAAGGAAAAGAGCCCGTTGTTGACACTGACAGGAACACAAACCTTAGTAGCCTTCTCTGAAACGAGCGATCCGTGGAGGTCCGGGTTAGAATATTGATCTTCAGTAACCCATGCTTGTTGTAAGAGGCGACTAACGGGATCGGTTGGTGAGGCTCGCTGACTTGGTTGACAGATGTCATCGGTTCCCAATTGCGCAGGTCGATGCTCATGCTGTTGATCACTGGATTGTCTGGTCCAGACTTGAATATTTACAGACCGCCGCCACAAACCGAAACATGAGTCTCATTAACCTATTCAGACAATGACCTACTTTTCAGCCGATCCGAATTATCTCCTGTGAAATTGAAAATAGACAGCTCAAACAACTATGGTTACACTGAATTCCAGTTCTTTGTTTCATAAGAAAATGGTAATTACAAGTGAATTTTTATTTTAAACTTTAATAACATCGTATTTCTATATTTTATGGCGAGGTGTAGGCAGCTTGACCTTAACTAAGATGTCACAGGCTGCCCCAGTTTGATGAGGTCGTAAAATGACTCACAATGCATCTGGCTCACTGGTTACACCTGGTATGTGGTTTGTTGTGCATATTTAGTGTAGTAATGTGATTGATATAATATCAAGTCCGTACCAGACCGCCAAACTTTTCTGTGGCAGAGCCTCGTTTTGAGATTTCCACGATTTCGAGGTTTCCGTTTGTCAGTGTTCGCTGTACGACAGAGCACGCTGCACGATATGTTTGCAAGGATTATAAGAAGCGTAGTGTTGCAATATACAAGTGCTTATATGTATCAAATACTACTGATTAATATTTATGTATCCAGTTAAATGAATTAGGTCTCAAAATTCTGGACTGGTCATTGTACTAAGTTGCGCAATAGGACGGAACCCAGTCAACAGGAAACGAGACTGTTGTGTAATCAATGTTTTGACTTGATGGCTGGAATATTGCTGAGTGCGGCGTAAAACTAAACTCACTCACTCACTAAACCGAGCCGTGTTTGCACCGAAGCGTGGCTAGTCCAGCTATGGGGATGAAAATCATAGTCTATGTGAACATTTATAATTTGCTCAAAAAGTACGTGATGTGTGAGGTCTACGGGATTGAAGTGTCTTTGACGGCCAGAAATCGTGAATAGATCTCAAAAACACATCCAAGAACACGTTTCTGACACGAGAGCGGATCTCTTGAAGACAGCCGAGGTCGCGGGGTCATGTTCTTTTTAAGTAGTCCGGGAGAAGAAATAGTTCCCTCTTTAACATGTAACTCCGTTGTTCTAATGTCTATACCTAAAACAGATAGTGTTCTGGAATATGCAGGATCTGAGCTATCAAACACAGCGGCCTTAAGAAAGAGTTTTCAGTATTTCCCTGTCACGTTCCTTAAACACAAAGTATGGAAATTTTGGAAGCTCTGGCGCTGATGGTTCGAGTTCAGCACATTTTGAGAGACAAGACTCAGGAAAATGCTGAAAACCACGACCAAAAACTTCAATCCAATATGGCCGCCAATCTGTGCCTTGTAGCTACATGGGTCTTGCACTTGAAATTGTAGGGATTCTGATTCCCGGTCTGTACCAGACATTTGGAGGTCCTTGGGCCAGTAGTCTGGGAGATTTTTAGTCTAGACACTGAAATATTTTCATTAATTTTGAATTATGTCCCCTTTGTACTTGAGTCCAGAGACTTGAGAGATTTTTGTGGTAACGACTTCAGGACCAGGGGCACCTTAATGATTTTTTGGAAATTATTCTAACTACTGGTTCTTTAGTTATGATTGAAACAAAAAAACGCCGGAATAATGATGAACAATTTCAATAGGTGTCCAGTCTTTTAGGCACGGTGACTTAATAACTGAAAGTTGGTAGGGAAAACTAAACAAATGCTGTGGTACCAGGTGCTGGTTTCCACAATTTCATAATACACATGGAAAGCAACAGGAAATGAGTTTTTTAATCGGAATTTGAAAGCTACCCCTTTTAAGAAGGCGTAAAGTCCCGTTACTTAGGACACCGCTGATTACGTCTGGGAATATCTCTAGTCATGTAACTAAACAATACTCCTGACGCATCAGTCCGGATGAAACAGTTTTTTATGCGTCATACATTTTGTTTCCAGGTGACATAGGCCCCCTAGGGCCGTCTGGGCCTCCAGGTCCCAAGGGGGATATCGGAGGTTATGGGAGTGGCAACGCCCCTCTCCCACAGGACTGCTGCCTCCGCCTTTGTGAGTGAACTACAGAACATAAGTCAGACTGTATGTTTAGAACCAGTGATAACAGCGGCGGTAGCCCATACACGCATTTATAACACCGTCTAACCACTCTATTTCAATTGAAGTCACCCATTTTCAGTTTTATACTCTTTCACCAACCAATGTCAAAAGTTGTACTCGCAAAAGAGTCCCGCCCCTGTCTATAGCTGTACTGTCAATCACCGAGTCTCGCTCCTGTCTATAGATGTACTCCTGTCAATCTCCGAGCCCCGCCCCTGTCTATAGCTGAACTTTCAATCACCGAGCCCCAACCCTGTCTATAACTGTACTCCTGTCAATCACCGAGCCCCGACGCTGTCTATAGCTCTACTGTCAATCACCGATTCCCGCCCCTGTCTATAACTGTACTGTCAATCACTGAGTCCCGACCCTGTCTATAGATGTGCTCCTGTCAATCACGGAGTCCCGCCCCTGTCTATAGCTCTACTGTCAATCACCGAGTCCCGCCCCTGTCTATAGCTGTACTGTCAATCACCGAGTCCCGCCCCTGTCTATAGATGTACTCCCGTCAATAACCGAGTCCCGACCCTGTCTATAGCTGTACTGTCAAGAACCGAGTCCCGACCCTGTCTATAGCTGTGCTCCTGTCAATTACCGAGTCCCGCCCCTGTCTATAGCTGTACTGTCAATCACCGAGTCCCGCCCTGTCTATAGATGTACTCCCGTCAATCACCGAGTCCCGACCCTGTCTATAGCTGTACTGTCAATCACCGAGTCCCGCCCTGTCTATAGCTGTGCTCCTGTCAATCACCGAGTCCCGCCCCTGTCTATAGCTGTACTGTCAATCACCGAGTCCCGCTCCTGTCTATAGATGTACTCCTGTCAATCTCCGAGCCCGGCCCCTGTCAATAGCTGAACTGTCAATCACTGAGTCCCGCCCCTGTCTATAGCTGAACTGTCAATCACCGAGTCCCGACCCTGTCTATAGCTGTACTGTCAATCACCGAGTCCCGCCCCTGTCTATATATGTGCTCCTGTCAATTACCGAGTCCCGACCCTGTCTATAGCTGTACTGTCAATCACCGAGTCTCGCTCCTGTCTATATATGTACTCCTGTCAATCTCCGCGCCCCGCCCCTGTCAATAGCTGAACTGTCAATAACCGAGCCCCGCCCCTGTTTATAGCTGTACTGTCAATCACCGAGTCCCGACCCTGTCTATAGCTGTACTGTCAATTACCGAGTCCCGCCCCTGTCTATAGCTGTACTGTCAATCACCGAGTCTCGCTCCTGTCTATAGATGTACTCCTGTCAATCTCCGAGCCCGGCCCCTGTCAATAGCTGAACTGTCAATAACCGAGCCCCGACCCTGTCTATAGCTCTACTGTCAATCACTGAGTCCCGCCCCTGTTTATAGCTGTACTGTCAATCACCGAGTCCCGCCCCTGTCTATAACTGTAGTCCTGTCAATCACTGAGCCGCGCCCCTGTCTATACCTGTACTCCTGTCAAGCGCCGAGTCCCGCCACTGTCTATGGATGTGCTCCTGTCAATCGCGGGGTCCCGCCCCTGTCTATAGCTGTACTGTCAATCACCGAGTCCCGCCCCTGTCTATAGCTGTACTGTCAATCACCGAGTCTCACCCCTGTCTATAGATGTACTCCCGTCAATAACCGAGTCCCGCCCCTGTCTATAGCTGTACTGTCAAGAACCGAGTCCCGACCCTGTCTATAACTGTACTGTCAATCACCGAGTCCCGCCCCTGTCTATATATGTGCTCCTGTCAATAACCGAGTCCCGGCCCTGTCTATAGCTCTACTGTCAATCACCGTGTCCCGATCCTGTATATAGATGTGCTCCTGTCAAGCACCGAGACCCGCCCCTGTCTATGGATGTACTCCTGTCAATCACCGAGTCCCGCCCCTGTCTATAGATGTGCTCCTGTCATGAACCGAGTCCCGCCCCTGTCTATATATGTGCTCCTGTCAATAACCGAGTCCCGACCCTGTCTATAGCTCTACTGTCAATCACCGTCTCCCGATCCTGTCTATAGATGTGCTCCTGTCAATTACCGAGTCCCGCCCCTGTCTTTAGATGTACTCCTGTCAATCACCGAGTCCCAGCCCTGTCTATAGCTGCACTGTCAAGCATCGAGTCCCGCCCCTGTCTATAGATGTGCTCCTGTCAATAACCGAGTCCCGGCCCTGTCTATAGCTCTACTTTCAATCACCGTGTCCCGATCCTGTCTATAGATGTACTCCTGTCAATCACCGAGTCCCAGCCCTGTCTATAACTGTACTGGCAATCACCGAGTCCCGCCCCTGTCTACAGCTGTATTGTCAATCACAGAGCCCCGCCCCTGTCTACAGCCGAACTCATGTCAATCTCCGAGCCTGTTGCTGTGTATATTTGTACTGCAACAAATACACACACCCATGAGTGCTAATGCTAAGATGATAACATTTCAGACAGCAAATGGTATCAAATTGAATATTGAACATGAACTATTTTCAGCTGCACCTAAAGAGATTGGATCCCATTCAGTGACTATCCACGCAACAGTGGGCGACAATGTACTTCTCGGTTGTAAAGAATCGGGCTATCCACCCCCAACAATACAATGGATCCCCTCCCTATCACTGCTGGGAACCACACGTTATGTACAGTCAAAGGACGGGCTCACCCTGATGGGGGCGCAGCTCTCAGACAACGGAAAGCTCTTCACCTGCAAAGTGACCAACATGTTTGGTAGTTCTGACACACTTTACATGCTGGATATTTCAGGTAAATGGTCTACAACCCATGCAAAGATGATCAAAGGGTAACTATACGTATGGCAAAAAGTAGCGCAACACCTAATATTTTTCATAGTATCCACTTGCTACCGTCTGTTGACGCCACTCCCCACCAACGGCACTGCACGATGTGGCCTAGCAGTGTTGTCCATGAAGGATTGGCATATTTTCAGAGGATGGTCATCGAAATGTGGTACAACAACCCTGTCTGGGATGTCAGTGATGTATCGCTGTCCATTCCGATTTTGTCTGATCGTCACAAGGTCACGATTACTCCCATAGCAGAGGCACACCCACACCATCAATGAAACCCCGCCAAAACACTCGTTTGTCAGCGGTTGGACAAGGTTCACATACTCAACATGAAACGGATACGTGAATCAGTTGCCGTGTTAACAAAATGTCTTAGTTGTGGCTGAGATCTTGCAAATCTTGGGATTTCCGGATTAGTATTGATCCTTAGCAAATAATGTTGTTCGTCAAAAGAATTTGAAACTCGATGATCTGGCTGATTTTGTGTCGTAGTGACCCGTTGCTCATAATATCAATCACTGGATTAAAGGCGAGAATTATGAATGTCTAGTTGACATCAATAAATTCTCGCCATTATGTCAATCACTTGATTGTCTGGATCAAACACGCGTAATAACAGGCTGCCGTCATACAGCTGGAATAGTGTGGGTTTCGGAGTTGATACAGTCGCACGCACGCATGTACGTATACGCACGCACGCACACACATGCACATATTTTTGTTTCAATTAAACAAGGGTGTTTGGACCACTTATAGCGCGGTTTATGGCAACATGGTACCAACTCAGCTGTCATAAATGACGGGTCACATGGGCTCAGAATTCTTGGATGCCGTAATTCATAATACAAAGTTTCGATTCTTAGCCGAACTCTGTGAGTTCGAATCCCAGAATTAACACAGATACATTACTCGATAACAGCACATCCACCTACGTGTTCATGTTGGACGTTATAAACTGATTGTGGCTTTCGTCCCCCATGGTGATAGGACCACGTTTCAAAGTCACTCACTCACTCATCCCTGACAGTCAAGCACACTTACCCACTCATCCATCCACTTGCTCGCCACCTCACCTGCACGCTCAAACCCACAGATCCACACTCCCACTCACTCAATCTCACCACCAATCCACTCACTCACTCATTTACAAACTCACTCACTCACCCACACACTTAACCTCAAGCACACAAACACCCGCACTTACCGGTTCCCTGTTTCTACACTAATCATAACTGCCAACAGATGTCTATCCACCACTGTGCCCTGCATATGTACATAATGCACACCGTTCCTCTTGTTATTTCTGTTCCAACAGTAATCACTCCACTGTCAAAGGCAACATGGTGACTCGAACATACCTAAGAAAGTCCATATGAGTACTACAAATTTCCTTGCAGAGCCTATCAACGTGTCTGTTACGCCTACGGCCTTGAACTTCACTGAAGGCAGCCCAGGGGACATAACTCTGACTTGTTCGTTCAGTGGCTACCCACTACCAACAGTGCAGTGGATACACGAGAAGAAAAATGGTCAAACGGTGCTGGTCAACGCAAACATTGACAACAGCAAACAGGGCGTCAGCATCCTCACAGTTCCCTCTCCCACGACCTCTGATGGCGGGAACTACGTCTGTAGGGCGACCACGTCCAAGGGGGTGAGGACAGAGGCTTCTGCTAGTCTTACAATTTTCGGTAAGTTAAATGTATCGAGCGGGAAAACCATATATGCTGATTCAACAATATTAGAACAAGGAAAACAGTGAATTGTTTTATATACTTAGGAGCATTCTAAGTACGTATATTATTCAAAGATTAAACATAATTAAATAGACTAGATCTTTGGGTATATATAATATTCCCTTGTATAAACTGATCAGACCAGCTTGATACCCCATTTGAAACATTAACGGGGATATGAATAGAAACAAATATATTGTATTCACATCTGCAATAAAGTTCACAATAACATTACAATTAAGATATATGGTTCTATTTAACAAGTCAGTAATGCACCTGTCCATGTCTTGTTGGGGCGTGGTTGTTGTGTCTGTAATGTCAGCAGTATGTGACTCTCCTGTCCATGTCGACCTCCACCTGTTGGGGGCGTGGTTGTTGTGTCTGTAATGTCAGCAGTATGTGACACTCCTGTCCATGTCGACCTCCACCTGTTGGGGGCGTGGTTGTCAGCAGTATTCCTGTCCATGTCGACTGTTGGGGGCGTGGTTGTTGTGTCTGTAATGTCAGCAGTATGTGACACTCCTGTCCATGTCGACCTCCACCTGTTGGGGGCGTGGTTGTTGTGTCTGTAATGTCAGCAGTATGTGACACTCCTGTCCATGTCGACCTCCACCTGTTGGGGGCGTGGTTGTTGTGTCTGTAATGTCAGCAGTATGTGACACTCCTGTCCATGTCGACCTCCACCTGTTGGGGGCGTGGTTGTTGTGTCTGTAATGTCAGCAGTATGTGACACTCCTGTCCATGTCGACCTCCACCTGTTGGGGGCGTGGTTGTTGTGGCTGTAATGTGAGCAGTATGTGACTCTCCTGTCCATGTCGACCTCCACCTGTTGGGGGCGTGGTTGTTGTGGCTGTAATGTCAGCAGTATGTGACTCTCCTGTCCATGTCGACCTCCACCTGTTGGGGGCGTGGTTGTTGTGTCTGTAATGTCAGCAGTATGTGACTCTCCTGTCCATGTCGACCTCCACCTGTTGGGGGCGTGGTTGTTGTGGCTGTAATGTCAGCAGTGTGTGACTCTCCTGTCCATGTCGACCTCCACCTGTTGGGGGCGTGGTTGTTGTGGCTGTAATGTCAGCAGTATGTGACACTCCTGTCCATGTCGACCTCCACCTGTTGGGGTCGTGGTTGTTGTGTCTGTAATGTCAGCAGTGTGTGACTCTCCTGTCCATGTCGACATCCACCTGTTGGGGGCGTGGTTGTTGTGGCTGTAATGTCAGCAGTATATATGTGTGGTATATTGTGCTCATGTACGAAGTTACATATTGACTTGCAGGTGTCCCTCGAATCGAGAACGCCCCGAGGACAAAACCATTACCACTGGCACCACCGTGACACTGCACTGTGATGTCGACAGCGACCCCCCTGCCACCGTCACGTGGATTTACCCTCACGTACGTACACAACAGGCATGCACATGCATACAGACAGAATAAACAGACATACATTTGATGACCATTTTTAAAAAAACGTGATTGCTGGCGTACTAAGCGATGAAGCTTAGTTACAATGCAACCATACTTGTGCCAACATTCTCGTTCTTCAGTGAAGCCCATTTCTGGTGTCCCCGCCGTGATGTTGCTGGAATGTTGCTAAGAGCGGCGTAAAGCCAAACTCAGTCAGTCAGTCAGCCTTGTTCTTCATTCAAAAATTTTAAGTGATTCGAGGACCATGTTTGATAACAGGAACAGACGCCATTCCCTTCTCACACCTCACTGACCTTAGAATGGAATAACTGATCATTACATGACTGAAAATTTCCATGCGATTTCCCCTAAGCTGTCTCATTAATCCTGCAAGTATATCCAGTAAGCACCCCGAACCCATCCCCCCACCACTAATCCAGTTCCGTACTAACTCCCCCACCGTTAATCCATTTCCACCCCAACTCCACCTCGTTAATCCATTTCAACACCCACCACCCCATCCGTTATTCGAATTACACTGCCAGCAGTGCCCAGAACCCCGCCCCGTTTCCACACCCACCGCCTCATCGGTTAAGCCTTTCTAATGCAACCCCCCATTCCATTAGGCCATACTCCACCAATTAAGCCAAATTTAGCCATACTCCACCGTTAATCCATTTACACTGCCAGCAACCCACCCGTTAAGCAATTTCCGTACCCACCACCCCATCCGTTAAGCCATTTCTACACCGACCACCCATCTGTATAGTCACAACCCATCCGTTAAGCCATTTTCACAGTCATCACCCAATCCATTAAGCCACACACCACCAAATAAGCCGCTTCCACACCAACTGCCAGTATGTTAAGAATAAATCCTCTAAACCATCCTTCAGTTCATACATTCTTGTAAAGATTCCTCCATTAGACATGCCCACCCACATCCCACCGTGGCCCACCCACCGCTCCCTCAACACCACACCCACATGCCCGTTACAACGTCTCCACCATCGGACCCACCCGGTACGGCACCAGCAGCCCCCAGACATGACTGATACTTAATCGTTTACTTTCAAGCCACCCGATTTGGCACCAGATACAGACTTTCAAAGATTTTCCCATACGCAGAACGTTTGACCTATCAGTATTTTGTTGTTCCAGAATGACCCCCACCCCAGGTTCAACGTCGTACGCAACCCCGACAGCTCCATCACCATCACCAGTGCTGACAACGAGAACGAAGGCGTGTACACCTGCATAGCTCGCAACGACTACGGCGTCGCCCAAACCAAAGCGAGGCTGCAGATCGTTAGTGAGTAAGGCCTAAAATACATTAAATGAAAGCGTTAGTGAGTTGACTTTAAAGACGCTCTCAACAGTTGGTGGGTAATCTCTGGCCTGCACTGGCTGAGTGAGTGAGTGGGTGAGCGGTTTGTGAGTCGCCCCTTGCGTACAAGTCAGTGAGTTGACTTTAAAGCCGCTTTCAGCAGTTTGTGAGCAATCTCTGGCGGACATCAAGTGAGTGAGTGAATGAACTTTAAAGCTACATTGGTACTTTACTTACAGCGTTAGTTTACATGGCAGTTCTTTACGTACAAGAATGGTTCTTTACTTACAATGTTGCTTTAGACAAAATGGTTCTTTACTTACAATGTGCTTTAGACAGAATGGCTCTTTACCTAGAATGTTGCTTTACACAGAATGCTTCTTTACTGACAATGGTACTTAATACAGAATGGTTCTTTACTTACAATGGTGTTTTAGACAGAATGGTTCTTTGCTTGCAACTTTACTTTAGACAGAATGCTTCTTTACTTAAAATGGTGCTTTACGCAGAATGGTTCTTTACTGACAATGGTACTTAAGACAGAAGGTTCTTTCCTTCACATGTACTTTAAACAGAATGCTTCTTTACTGACAATGGTACTTAAGACAGAATGAATCTTTACTTACAATGGTACTTAAGACAGAATGGTTCTTTACTTACAATGGTGCATTACACAGAATGGTTCTTTACTGACAATGGTACTTAAGACAGAATGGTTCTTTACTTACAATGGTTCTCTAGACAGAATGGCTCTCTACTTACAATTAGACAGAACAGTTCCTTACTTACAATGGTACTTTAAACAGAATGGTCCTTTAGCCAATGGTACATAACATAGAAAAGAATTTATTTCGATAGTAATATACGTCGGGAAAGAATATACATAGTGAGGCATTTTCCACTATAAAGTATTCACATTGCGAGATATTGTACAAAGATTACAAAGTGTTACTTACATGTGTCACGTGCTGATACTAACGGTAGTTAACCGGAAATCATTCCGTAAAAGAAATTTTTTTTTATCTTTTTTTTTGAATCTCCATACATCCGGGTCATACAGTTCATTACATAACGGGTTGGTATAAACACGATTCGCAAAATATACAAAGTCGATTTACAGGCAAATGTGCATTCAGGTAGAAATGAATAGGTACTTGAAAATATAATAGCAGCACATTATATATAGCGCTAGATTAGCAGAACAGATTGTGACATAGTGACCAAAATTTTGTGAAGCTGTCATATTTGCAATTTGAATAGGCGTTAAAACGTTCAGCATAATATGTTGTCTTTACGTCTCCTATAATGTAGTTCAAATTTGGTGTTTTATCTCTTTGTTTCAGTTTGTATATATTATATTTCACTACTGTTATTATCAAATTCAGAACATGGTTTCTCTTTTCACAATATCCTAAAATAATATTTTTCTTTGAAAAGATAACATTTGACCCTGTTTTTTCGAATATCCATTCTTCTATTTTCTTCCAAATAGTTTTTATGACTTTACAGTCACAAAATAGATGTAGAATTGATTCTTTCTCGGATTTGCAAAATGTGCATGTGTTGGAATCTTTATATTTCATTTTTGTTAGCAAATTATTTGTTGGCAGAAACCTATGCAGTATGCTGTATTGAAAGCACGCGTGTTTTACACTATTATACGATTTAAAGGTTGTTTTTTCTATCGTTTCCCATATGTTATCGTCAATAGACTCATTAAGTTCTTTTTGCCACTTGTTTCGATATGTTAAAGGTTTTCTAGATGTACCATTTATGAGTATGTCATAGATATCTCTACATCCTTTTGGGTTTCCTACTATATTTCGTAAACGATAGGGCAAGATCGGAGCTTTGATTTTCTCTTCAATATGGATGTTTATGGATTTGGAGTAGTAAAAGAACTTGGTGAGAACCTAACAACCAACAAAAATGATTGTACTCTAAAATGAACCAAGTTTTCAAGTTAATGTAAACCACAACAAAGGGCATCACAGAGGCAGTACTAAAATGTGAGTGAGTATGGTTTTACGCCGCTATTAGCAATATTCCAGCAACATCACGGCGGGGGACACCGGAAATGGGCTTCACACATTGTATCCATGTGGGGAATCGAACCCGGTTCTTCGGCGTGACGAGCAAACGCTTTAACCACTAGGCTACCCTACCGCCCCAGTACTACAAAGAGTGGCAGTATCTACACAAAGGCAGAATCAGACATAAGCAGTTATTATAGCAATAAAGACAATGATAGTAATATTCATCTCACGGCAACAGTGTGCTAATTTTCAAAATAGGCTGAGTTTCCAGCTTTAGAGTGATCTCCACACAACTGCTGGGCTTATTGAAAAGGGGATGTGAGAGGAGAGAGTTAACTCCCCTTGCATACCTAAGGAAACGACTCCAGGATCTACAGCTCCCTGGGTCGGAATATAGTAGAAAAGCCCATAGGTTGTTGTACTCGGTAGTACCTTCCAGAGCTTTGTTTACATATAGCACAAGTCTAAATATAGCACACCACTACCAATTACTGACTATCCATAGATGCAATTTGTTACACTTGGTGCATTGTTACACAAAGAGTGAGTGAGTGTTTTGAGTGAGTTGAGTTTTACGCCGCACTCAGCAAGTTTGTTACACAAAGAATTAATGTGTGCACAGAGGTAACGTACATATATGGATATTGAAGATAGAGCTACTGTACGCGGAGAGCTACTGTACAATGTTTAGCATACTCGTATCTCAAAGAACAGGATGTCTTTAGACATTGGTTTGATAACGTTGTATATTTGTCGTAAAGTTACAGTTCTGAAAGTGTCTAGTAACAAAAGCCCGCCGTGATATTGCTGGAATATTGCTAAAAGCGGCGTAAAACTAAACTCAGTCAGTCAGTCAGTAGTAACAAAAGAGAAACCAAGAGCCCCGTCCTTATAAAACCTATGTCTTCCTTCGCAGGCAATGTCACAGTGACGCTGACCCCTAAGAGTACCTCGCTGACGACCACGCCCGTTGTAGCCCTTGACTGCAAGAGCACAGGAGACCCTGCCCCAAGTACCACGTGGTCCAAACTGGACGCGTCGATCGACAAGACTGACCCACGTTACATCAACGTTGGAGGGAACTTGGTGATAACGGGGGTGACCCCGGCTACACAGGATAAGGACGCCGGCGTGTACATATGCATGGGGAAGAACAACATTTCCACAACATCCGAGAAGGCAATAGGTGGGTACTAGCGGTGATGTAGGTGTGAGGCGCAAGACGGTGCCATTGCTGTAGTGAACGTGGCTGTATCATCGGACTTATTGCCGCACCTCTCCATACCTTTGTCATATTACTGATACGTTAGTCAGTAGTTCTTTTACCTCACCCACATTTCCGTACCTGCAACAACACCCACACCCACACCCACACCCACACCCATGCCCACACCCACGCCTACACCACCTGCCCACAATCACACCCACGCCCACACCCACTTTATACCCTCAGGCCTAACACTCCGGTAATACCCGTGAAGGTCCGGGTTAGAATTGATCTTCAGTAACCCATGCTTGCCGTAAGAGGCGACTAACGGGATCAGGTGGTCAGGCTCGCTGACTTGATTGACACATGTCATCGGTTCCCAATTGCGCAGATCGATGCTCATGCTGTTGATCACTGGATTGTCTGGTCCAGACTCGATTATTTACAGACCGCTGCCATACAGCTGGAATATTGCTGAGTGTGGCGTAAAACTAAACTCACTCGCTCACACTTCGGTATACGTACACAACCCCTTGATCTATTCCTGTAATCACACAATTTCCCCACCCCTGATTTTCTTCAACATTTTACCCACCCATCAAATGTCGACACGAGGGAAGGGGAAACTCGTGCCCCCAGTAATCAAAACAACAGATAGTTGTAATCGACATAAAGACACCCTTTCCATAAAATATCGAGCTGTTTCTTCCGTGTGCCAGCCAGTTTTTCAATGTTGAATTTCTCGCAAACTGGATCAAAATCAAACGGACTGGCCCCCTGTTGTCGATATTGCCAAACCAACAAAGAGGCAGGTTTATCACACTCGCATTCTGATTGGTACGTTTGACCAAGTAAAGTAGCCAATCAAATTAGCTCATGAAAATCAAGGGAGGGAGGGTGGTTTAAGATTGCGAGAACCTCGGGACCTGATTCGACGGGTAATTCAGGTTAGTTGTCGACTTGAACTTATATAGAAATATACGTCTCTCAAGTTCTTTTTTGCTGTAACTGAATCCACAGCTCGTCACCACCCGGCCTATCACGGAAACACACGATGCTGTAACTATAACGGAAACAGACGAGGCTGAAACTGAATCCACAGCTCGTCACCACCCGGCCTATCAAGAAAACACACGGGACTATAAGTGAATCCACAGCTCGTCACCACCCGGCCTATCAAGGAAACACACGGGACTGTAACTGAATCCACAGCTCGTCACCACCCGGCCTATCAAGGAAACACACGGGACTGTAACTGAATCCACAGCTCGTCACCACCCGGCCTATCAAGGAAACACACACGGGATTGTAACTGAATCCACAGCTCGTCACCACCCGGCCTATCAAGGGAAACACACGGGACTGTAACTGAATCCACAGCTCGTCACCACCCGGCCTATCAAGGAAACACACGGGACTGTAACTGAATCCACAGCTCGTCACCACCCGGCCTATCAAGAAAACACACGGGATTGTAACTGAATCCACAGCTCGTCACCACCCGGCCTATCAAGGAAACACACGGGATTGTAACTGAATCCACAGCTCGTCACCACCCGGCCTATCAAGGAAACACACGGGATTGTAACTGAATCCACAGCTCGTCACCACCCGGCCTATCAAGGAAACACACGGGATTGTAACTGAATCCACAGCTCGTCACCACCCGGCCTATCAAGGAAACACACGGGATTGTAACTGAATCCACAGCTCGTCACCACCCGGCCTATCAAGGAAACACACGGGACTGTAACTGAATCCACAGCTCGTCACCACCCGGCCTATCAAGGAAACACACGGGACTGTAACTGAATCCACAGCTCGTCACCACCCGGCCTATCAAGGAAACACACGGGACTGTAACTGAATCCACAGCTCGTCACCACCCGGCCTATCAAGGAAACACACGGGACTGTAACTGAATCCACAGCTCGTCACCACCCGGCCTATCAAGGAAACACACGGGACTGGACTGTAACTGAATCCACAGCTCGTCACCACCCGGCCTATCAAGGGAAACACACGGGATTGTAACTGAATCCACAGCTCGTCACCACCCGGCCTATCAAGGAAACACACGGGACTGTAACTGAATCCACAGCTCGTCACCACCCGGCCTATCAAGGAAACACACGGGACTGTAACTGAATCCACAGCTCGTCACCACCCGGCCTATCAAGGAAACACACGGGACTGTAACTGAATCCACAGCTCGTCACCACCCGGCCTATCAAGGAAACACACGGGACTGTAACTGAATCCACAGCTCGTCACCACCCGGCCTATCAAGGAAACACACGGGATTGTAACTGAATCCACAGCTCGTCACCACCCGGCCTATCAAGGAAACACACGGGACTGTAACTGAATCCACAGCTCGTCACCACCCGGCCTATCAAGGAAACACACGGACTGTAACTGAATCCACAGCTCGTCACCACCCGGCCTATCAAGGAAACACACGGGACTGTAACTGAATCCACAGCTCGTCACCACCCGGCCTATCAAGGAAACACACGGGACTGTAACTGAATCCACAGCTCGTCACCACCCGGCCTATCAAGGAAACACACGGGACTGTAACTGAATCCACAGCTCGTCACCACCCGGCCTATCAAGGAAACACACGGGACTGTAACTGAATCCACAGCTCGTCACCACCGGCTCCACGGGATTGTACCCACAGCCTATCAAGGAAACACACGGGACTGTAACTGAATCCACAGCTCGTCACCACCCGGCCTATCAAGGAAACACACGGGATTGTAACTGAATCCACAGCTCGTCACCACCCGGCCTATCAAGGAAACACACGGGACTGTAACTGAATCCACAGCTCGTCACCACCCGGCCTATCAAGGAAACACACGGGACTGTAACTGAATCCACAGCTCGTCACCACCCGGCCTATCAAGGAAACACACGGGACTGTAACTGAATCCACAGCTCGTCACCACCCGGCCTATCAAGGAAACACACGGGACTGTAACTGAATCCACAGCTCGTCACCACCCGGCCTATCAAGGAAACACACGGGACTGTAACTGAATCCACAGCTCGTCACCACCCGGCCTATCAAGGAAACACACGGGACTGTAACTGAATCCACAGCTCGTCACCACCCGGCCTATCAAGGAAACACACGGGACTGTAACTGAATCCACAGCTCGTCACCACCCGGCCTATCAAGGAAACACACGGGACTGTAACTGAATCCACAGCTCGTCACCACCCGGCCTATCAAGGAAACACACGGGACTGTAACTGAATCCACAGCTCGTCACCACCCGGCCTATCAAGGGAAACACACGGGACTGTAACTGAATCCACAGCTCGTCACCACCCGGCCTATCAAGGAAATCACACGGGACTGTAACTGAATCCACAGCTCGTCACCACCCGGCCTATCAAGGAAACACACGGACTGTAACTGAATCCACAGCTCGTCACCACCCGGCCTATCAAGGAAACACACGGGACTGTAACTGAATCCACAGCTCGTCACCACCCGGCCTATCAAGGAAACACACGGGACTGTAACTGAATCCACAGCTCGTCACCACCCGGCCTATCAAGGAAACACACGGGACTGTAACTGAATCCACAGCTCGTCACCACCCGGCCTATCAAGGAAACACACGGGACTGTAACTGAATCCACAGCTCGTCACCACCCGGCCTATCAAGGAAACACACGGGATTGTAACTGAATCCACAGCTCGTCACCACCCGGCCTATCAAGGAAACACACGGGACTGTAACTGAATCCACAGCTCGTCACCACCCGGCCTATCAAGGAAACACACGGGACTGTAACTGAATCCACAGCTCGTCACCACCCGGCCTATCAAGGAAACACACGGGACTGTAACTGAATCCACAGCTCGTCACCACCCGGCCTATCAAGGAAACACACGGGACTGTAACTGAATCCACAGCTCGTCACCACCCGGCCTATCAAGGAAACACACACGGGACTGTAACTGAATCCACAGCTCGTCACCACCCGGCCTATCAAGGAAACACACGGGACTGTAACTGAATCCACAGCTCGTCACCACCCGGCCTATCAAGGAAACACACGGGACTGTAACTGAATCCACAGCTCGTCACCACCCGGCCTATCAAGGAAACACACGGGATTGTAACTGAATCCACAGCTCGTCACCACCCGGCCTATCAAGGAAACACACGGGACTGTAACTGAATCCACAGCTCGTCACCACCCGGCCTATCAAGGAAACACACGGGATTGTAACTGAATCCACAGCTCGTCACCACCCGGCCTATCAAGGAAACACACGGGATTGTAACTGAATCCACAGCTCGTCACCACCCGGCCTATCAAGGAAACACACGGGATTGTAACTGAATCCACAGCTCGTCACCACCCGGCCTATCAAGGAAACACACGGGACTGTAACTGAATCCACAGCTCGTCACCACCCGGCCTATCAAGGAAACACACGGGACTGTAACTGAATCCACAGCTCGTCACCACCCGGCCTATCAAGGAAACACACGGGATTGTAACTGAATCCACAGCTCGTCACCACCCGGCCTATCAAGGAAACACACGGGACTGTAACTGAATCCACAGCTCGTCACCACCCGGCCTATCAAGGAAACACACGGGACTGTAACTGAATCCACAGCTCGTCACCACCCGGCCTATCAAGGAAACACACGGGACTGTAACTGAATCCACAGCTCGTCACCACCCGGCCTATCAAGAAAACACATGGGACTATAAGTGAATCCACAGCTCGTCACCACCCGGCCTATCAAGGAAACACACGGGATTGTAACTGAATCCACAGCTCGTCACCACCCGGCCTATCAAGGAAACACACGGGATTGTAACTGAATCCACAGCTCGTCACCACCCGGCCTATCAAGGAAACACACGGGATTGTAACTGAATCCACAGCTCGTCACCACCCGGCCTATCAAGGAAACACACGGGACTGTAACTGAATCCACAGCTCGTCACCACCCGGCCTATCAAGGAAACACACGGGACTGTAACTGAATCCACAGCTCGTCACCACCCGGCCTATCAAGGAAACACACGGGACTGTAACTGAATCCACAGCTCGTCACCACCCGGCCTATCAAGGAAACACACGGGACTGTAACTGAATCCACAGCTCGTCACCACCCGGCCTATCAAGGAAACACACGGGACTGTAACTGAATCCACAGCTCGTCACCACCCGGCCTATCAAGGAAACACACGGGACTGTAACTGAATCCACAGCTCGTCACCACCCGGCCTATCAAGAAAACACACGGGACTGTAACTGAATCCACAGCTCGTCACCACCCGGCCTATCAAGGAAACACACGGGACTGTAACTGAATCCACAGCTCGTCACCACCCGGCCTATCAAGGAAACACACGGGACTGTAACTGAATCCACAGCTCGTCACCACCCGGCCTATCAAGGAAACACACGGGACTGTAACTGAATCCACAGCTCGTCACCACCCGGCCTATCAAGGAAACACACGGGACTGTAACTGAATCCACAGCTCGTCACCACCCGGCCTATCAAGGAAACACACGGGATTGTAACTGAATCCACAGCTCGTCACCACCCGGCCTATCAAGGAAACACACGGGATTGTAACTGAATCCACAGCTCGTCACCACCCGGCCTATCAAGGAAACACACGGGACTGTAACTGAATCCACAGCTCGTCACCACCCGGCCTATCAAGGAAACACACGGGATTGTAACTGAATCCACAGCTCGTCACCACCCGGCCTATCAAGGAAACACACGGGACTGTAACTGAATCCACAGCTCGTCACCACCCGGCCTATCAAGGAAACACACGGGACTGTAACTGAATCCACAGCTCGTCACCACCCGGCCTATCAAGGAAACACACGGGATTGTAACTGAATCCACAGCTCGTCACCACCCGGCCTATCAAAGGAAACACACGGGACTGTAACTGAATCCACAGCTCGTCACCACCCGGCCTATCAAGGAAACACACGGGACTGTAACTCAATCCACAGCTCGTCACCACCCGGCCTATCAAGGAAACACACATGGGACTGTAACTGAATCCACAGCTCGTCACCACCCGGCCTATCAAGGAAACACACGGGACTGTAACTGAATCCACAGCTCGTCACCACCCGGCCTATCAAGGAAACACACGGGATTGTAACTGAATCCACAGCTCGTCACCACCCGGCCTATCAAGGAAACACACGGGACTGTAACTGAATCCACAGCTCGTCACCACCCGGCCTATCAAGAAAATACACGGGATTGTAACTGAATCCACAGCTCGTCACCACCCGGCCTATCAAGGAAACACACGGGACTGTAACTGAATCCACAGCTCGTCACCACCCGGCCTATCAAGGAAACACACGGGACTGTAACTGAATCCACAGCTCGTCACCACCCGGCCTATCAAGGAAACACACGGGACTGTAACTCAATCCACAGCTCGTCACCACCCGGCCTATCAAGGAAACACACGGGACTATAAGTGAATCCACAGCTCGTCACCACCCCCGAGGTTGAGGGGTTCTCAGTGTACCCTCACAACCAGGCTAACAGTACGTCTTGTGTTTTCAGTGTACAAAGAGGTTCCGGCCGTGGACTGTACGTCTACTTTCCAGATATGTACGGGGCCTATCGGCGTTGCTTGTGGGTCAGTATTTACGTGTGAAGTTCTGTTTAGGTTGAAGCGCACCTATAATGTACCACTTTGAACACGCCTTGGTGTGATGTTAGCGCATTATGATTATGTACATGATGAAAACATGGCACGGTTTATGAATAACAGCTTCTATTTAGTCTTTATACGACTGATTCGTGCTCCTTCAACAAGTTCATGCTGTGTCAATGCACAGAGTAAATATATATATAATATATATATATAATAGATAGATAGATAGGTATATATATATATATAGTCCCTATTGTGACGTCACAATATATATGTAATGACGTCATACTGTAACCGCTACAATCTCCCCGAAGAGTAAAGAACGAAACATGTTGGAGAAAAAGGCATTCTGTTTTTACTTATCTATGTGATATTTATGACTGAACACCTGTACTATTTTGGACATTTTGTGCGTATATATATATATATATATATATATATATGCAAAGATGGGTACAATGTGTGAAGCCCATTTCTGGTGTCCCCTGTCGAGATGTTGCTGGAATGTTGCTAAAGGTGGCGTAAAACTCAACTCACTCACTCACTCATTCTTGTTGGTATTTTTGTTCTTGTTATTATTGTTATCATTGTTATTTTTCCTTTCCTTTTTTTATTATTTTTATTTTTCACCTTTTCTGGGTGAATGGTTTGGTGAGTGGGTACATCACTGGATTCTTACTAGCCTTGCAGCAACGTTCTTAGGAATTTGGTAGAAACCGTAAACATTTCGTACTAAAGATGGGACTAACTGGTGTGATGTATTCTGCAGTGCCACGTGTCCGGCCGGCTGTGCGTCTAAACCTGGAACTCTGTTTGGATTTAGAGATTATACAGCAGTAAGACTTTACTCCAGTAACATTCCATGGCGTTGATCCGTCATGCTTGTCGTAAAAGGCGCGTAACGGGATCAGGTGGTCAGGTTTACTAACCTTGATGATTCATTTCAATTGCCCACATTGTTTTATGTTCATGATGTCAATCACTGGATCGTCTGGTCCAGACCTCCTTCATATAGCTGGAATATTGCTGACTGAAGCCTTTAACACATACACGTCCGACTATAGCACACAAGTACACTATCTAACGTAGCCTATCTGTTTTTGTCGTGGGGCAGAGCGGTAGCTAAGTGGGTAAAGCGTTCGCTCGTCACGCCGAAGGCGCGGGTTAGATTCCCAACATGGGTACAATGTGTGAAGCCAAGTCTTGGTGTCCCCCGCCGTGATATTGCTGAAACATTGCTAAATGCGGCGTAATACCATACTCACTCACTCACTGTATTTTGTCACCAGAACTCCCAACTGTGTTTGGCTGCTATCCAATCAGGAGCTGTGACCGACGCCGGCGGGCTGGTCACGTGGTCTATGAGGGACGGGTCGTACCTGAGTTTCCAGGGAGTAACACAGAACGGCATCACAAGCACCGCGTGAGTAGCCAACTCTGGCATCGCCAGCAATCAGGGGTCATAATCGCATTGCGACACAACTGATGATCACAAAGGACGGTTGATGGAAAATATCTGGTATAAGCGGTGTTATTCAGTGACGTTAAATATTGCAGCTCAATGCAAGCTATAAAGGCACAACCCGTGAAGTTCCGGGTTAGAATTGATCTTCAGTAACCGATGCTTGTCTACACCCGTGAAGATCCTGGATAGAATTGATCTTCACTAACCCATGCTTGCCTACACCCGTGCAGACCCAGGATAGAATAGATCTTCAGTAACCAATGCTTGTCTACACCCGTGCAGATCCGGGTTAGAATTGATCTTCAGTAACCAATGCTTGTCTACACCCGTGAAGATCCGGGTTTGAATTGATCTTCAGTAACCAATGCTTGTCTACACCCTGATGATCCGGGTTTGAATTGATCTACAGTAACCCATGCTTGTCTACACCCTGAAGATCCAGGATAGAATTGATCTTCAGTAACCGATGTTTGTCGTAAGAGGTGACTAACGGGATCGGGTGGTCAGGGTCGCTGAATTGGTTGACATATGTCGTATCCAATTACGTAGATCGATGCTTATGCTGTTGATCACTGGATTGTCTGGTCCAGACTCGATTATCGAGAGCAATGATTGTCGCCAGGCCATGTCGTCGTATTCCATCGATGCTCATGATGCCAGTCACTGGTTTGTCTGGTCCATTCATAGCTGGAATATTGCTCAATACGACGTCATACAAAACCAAAAACAAATAATTCTCCTGATTGTGGCCGTCAGGTTTTAAATATGCACGTGCATTAAGTGGAAACATCTTTCTTATGATTACTACTTGTGAACGGAAATATAATAATAATGATAATAGTAATTGGCCTCTTGTACAGCGTGCGGCCACAGGGGCGTGTCACGCTTAGAAACAGCGTTAGAAAGACATATAGGTACATAGACCCTACCCTAGTACTATATAAAATGAAAGGGATGTAACGGCGGAACCACCCCCTCCTCAATCTAAGTTAGATTTCACCACGTAAAGTACTTTTATGGCCGACAAGTGAGTATGATTGCCGATGGTTTTGGAGAAAGTGTCTGCTTACTGTCGAGGAAATGATTTGTAGATGTTGCAATAAGTTTTTAGACCCGTGGAATGCCGCTGCCGATCGAATCTAGCCCTACATAGGTGCTATCAACGTGGCTGGACTTAATAAACGAATTTAAAAGGTGAGTTTTCGCTGTCTTGGGTGATCCATGATTTTGGCTTGGAATTGCGGAGGTAGCTGTTTTCGGTGAGTCGTGGCGTATAACTTTTGATATAATGATCCGATTGTGACCATTTATAGCTCATTTTGTAGGGAAATCATCTCGCTTTCGATCCGTAGGCCTCGACGGGGCCTTAAATATAGTTTACGTGGTGAAATCTAACTTTGATTGAGGAGGGGGTGGTTCCGTCGTTACATCCCTTTCCTTTTATATAGTACTAGGGTAGGGTCTATGTACCTATATGTCTTTCTAACGCTGTTTCTAAGCGTGACACGCCCCTGTGCGTGCGGCTACGTTTACTTCTGGGGATTAATACCGGTTCCGTTGCGCTGGCACTCCTAGACACCACGTGACATTATAGCACAAAACACATCTCCGACATGGATTCCCAGTCCGACAGTCGGAGTTACGTCCCTTGACACAGTGCATCAGACCGGAAACAGTGACATATTCGAGTGGCGGTTGACCGGTGGTGGTTGCATCCCGGTTGAGGATGTCCCAACATTACCCCATCGGAATGCCCCTAGTCTATCTCACAGTGCCTGAACCACATTATTTTCCCTACAGCCTAGCCCTCCTGGTCTGTCTCACAGTGCCTGAACCACATTATTTTCCCTACAGCCTAGCCCTCCTAGTCTGTCTCACAGTGCCTGAACCACATTATTTTCCCTACAGCCTAGCCCTCCTAGTCTGTCTCACAGTGCCTGAACCACATTATTTTCCTTACAGCCTAGCCCTCCTAGTCTGTCTCACAGTGCCTGAACCACATTATTTTCCCTACAGCCTAGCCCTCCTAGTCTGTCTCACAGTGCCTGAACCACATTATTTTCTCTACAGCCTAGCCCTCCTAGTCTGTCTCACAGTGCCTGAACCACATTATTTACCTCACAGCCTAGCCTGTCTCACACCACATTATTTTCCCTACAGCCTAGCCCTCCTAGTCTGTCTCACAGTGCCTGAACCACATTATTTTCCCTACAGCCTAGCCCTCCTAGTCTGTCTCACAGTGCCTGAACCACATTATTTTCCCTACAGCCTAGCCCTCCTAGTCTGTCTCACAGTGCCTGAACCACATTATTTTCCCTACAGCCTAGCCCTCCCTGCAATGATTTGATTTAAACATATTTTATTCATGGAAGAAAAGGACCTGGCACAAGTTATCCAACTTAATGAAGCCTTCTCCCAATGCTAAAGCCCTAAATGAGACAAGTCTAGATGTCCACAGGCCCCAACTCACCAGGGCTCCTTTTCAATTTAAATTCGTTTATTTATTACTATAAATTGTTTATTTATATCCAGGGACCAGAGACCATAAATATGGTTTCTGCAGGGACTAAGCGTTAGTCCATACTGCCCCTAACCCTCCTTGATTTAAGTTGTGGTGTTTGTTCAAGATGGTCACCTACTGATATTGATGAGTGTGGCGTCACAGAAGAAATCAACTTCCATGCTCAAGGCGTCAGTCTGACAGTTTTAGCAATGTGTCCTCCTTAATTCACCATGTTGCTTTTGTTCTATTTCAGAACTGGTCCGATTCATGCGGCAGCGTCAGTATTTATTTGAAATAAATGTCATTCGTGAACTCCATTAAAACAATTTGTCGATAAGAGTTGCATTTTGTTTTCAATTTCCGTTACCAGAACGATATTGTTACATAGATTAATGACAGGAAAACGTCCTATTATGTTTAGGTCTTATATTGTAAGGGAATTGGCAGCTCTTTAGTGATGAACAGTGGTGAAAGTCCGTTCTTATATAAAGGAAGACATTCCCAGCTTGGTGATCACTTAGAAACACTGGAGAAGAAGTTGATGAAATAATCTGGTGCTGCGCTACGATCTGTGGCGGCAAGGCTGGTGAATGGCTGGCGCACGACTGTCAACTAGCGGGACGAATCACTAGCTGGTATCAAGGTGTTCACTGGCACCTAGGAATCACGTCCTTGGTGTATGTAATGGCACGTGAGTCACATGTGAATGTGGGATTTTGTATAGTGAGCCGACGGTTGTGGGTACAACAGCACAAGAGATATTGGGGTGGGGGTGGGGTGGTGGTGGTCATGAACCAATGACATCTGAAAGGTTGGGATGTGGGGGAAGGGGGGGGAGGTGTCGTGAGCCACATAATATACAGCCGTAAGCCTTGTCATAACAGCTCTTTATAAATCGTTCATCAAAGTTCTGCTGTATTTTTAACTCTTTAGAAACACTCTAAATTCTGAACAGATATATATGCTGTGCCATCCCGTGATAGATCAAAGTGGTTCTCTGTCGATTGTGATGCTGTAATGTTACAGTTTGTTTGGACAGTGGGTCGTATAACCGTCTCCTGTATACTCACTGTAAATCTCGAGGCTCACATTTCACTGCATGTGTTGGTTTTATTCGCAACACAAAACTAAGCGCGATCCTTATCCCATAGTTTTCATGCGTATGGGTGAAAACATGTTCTGGACCTCGTTTTAAAATAGCTAGGCTGCTTGGCTGTTAACCCAGATATAGACAGGCTATATACACTATGTTCAACATTCGTTAGCTAGGCTGCTTGGTTGTTAACCCAGAGATAGACAGGCTATATAGACTATGTTCAACATTCGTTAGCTAGGCTGCTTGGCTGTTAACCCAGATATAGACAGGCTATATACACTATGTTCAACATTCGTTAGCTAGGCTGCTTGGTTGTTAACCCAGATATAGACAGGCTATATACACTATGTTCAACATTCGTTAGCTAGGCTGCTTGACTATTAACCCAGATATAGACAGGCTATATAGACTATGTTCAACATTCGTTAGCTAGGCTGCTTGACTATTAACCCAGATATAGACAGGCTATATACACTATGTTCAACATTCGTTAGCTAAGCTGCTTGGTTGTTAACCCAGATATAGACAGGCTATATACACTATGTTCAACATTCGTTAGCTAGGCTGCTTGACTATTAACCCAGATATAGACAGGCTATATAGACTATGTTCAACATTCGTTAGCTAGGCTGCTTGGCTGTTAACCCAGATATAGACAGGCTATATACACTATGTTCAACATTCGTTAGCTAGACTGCTTGGTTGTTAACCTAGAGATAGACAGGCTATATACATTATGTTCAACGTTCGTTAGCTAGGCTGCTTGGTTGTTAACCCAGAGATAGACAGGCTATATAGACTATGTTCAACATTCGTTAGCTAAGCTGCTTGGTTGTTAACCCAGATATAGACAGGCTATATACACTATGTTCAACATTCGTTAGCTAAGCTGCTTGGTTGTTAACCCAGATATAGACAGGCTATATACACTATGTTCAACATTCGTTAGCTAGGCTGCTTGGCTGTTAACCCAGATATAGACAGGCTATATGCACTATGTTCAACATTCGTTAGCTAAGCTGCTTGGTTGTTAACCCAGATATAGACAGGCTATATACACTATGTTCAACATTCGTTAGCTAGGCTGCTTGGTTGTTAACCCAGATATAGACAGGCTATATACACTATGTTCAACATTCGTTAGCTAGGCTGCTTGACTATTAACCCAGATATAGACAGGCTATATACACTATGTTCAACATTCGTTAGCTAGGCTGCTTGGCTGTTAACCCAGAGATAGACAGCCTATATAGACTATGTTCAACGTTCGTTACCAACCTCAGCAATGTCCACGCATATTCATGTATAAATCCGTATAACTTTCATGAATTTTGAGTTGCGTTTCTATTGCTGGTCAGTATATATCGTAATACGCTTTATTCAGGTATTCACTATGGCAGTACGACGTAGATCGCTTACAGGTGTCACTATGGCAGTACGACGTAGATCGCTTACAGGTGTCACTATGGCAGTACGACGTAGATCGCTTACAGGTGTCACTATGGCAGTACGACGTACATCGCTTACAGGTGTCACTATGGCAGTACGACGTAGATCGCTTACAGGTGTCACTATAGCAGTACGACGTAGATCGCTTACAGGTGTCACTATGGCAGTACGACGTAGATCGCTTACAGATGTCACTATAGCAGTACGACGTAGATCGCTTACAGGTGTCACTATGGCAGTACGACGTAGATCGCTTACAGGTGTCACTATGGCAGTACGACGTAGATCGCTTAGAGGTGTCACTATGGCAGTACGACGTAGATCGCTTAGAGGTGTCACTATGGCAGTACGACGTACATCGCTTACAGGTGTCACTATGGCAGTACGACGTAGATCGCTTACAGGTGTCACTATGGCAGTACGACGTAGATCGCTCACAGGTGTCACTATGGCAGTACGACGTAGATCGCTTACAGATGTCACTATGGCAGTACGACGTACATCGCTTAGAGGTGTCACTATGGCAGTACGACGTGATCGCTTACAGATGTCACTATGGCAGTATCGGCGTACATCGCTTACAGGTGTCACTGGCAGTAATGACGTAGATCGCTTACAGGTGTCACTATAGCAGTACGGCGTAGATCGCTTAGAGGTGTCACTATGGCAGTACGACGTAGATCGCTTACAGATGTCACTATGGCAGTACGACGTACATCGCTTACAGGTGTCACTGTGGCAGTACGACGTAGATCGCTTACAGGTGTCACTATAGCAGTACGACGTAGATCACTTACAGATGTCACTATGGCAGTACGACGGAGATCGCTTAGAGGTGTCACTATGGCAGTACGACGTAGATCGCTTAGAGGTGTCACTATGGCAGTACGACGTAGATCGCTTAGAGGTGTCACTATGGCAGTACGACGGAGATCGCTTACAGATGTCACTATGGCAGTACGACGTAGATCGCTTACAGGTGTCACTATGGCAGTACGGCGTACATCGCTTACAGGTGTCACTATGGCAGTACGACGGAGATCGCTTACAGGTGTCACTATGGCAGTACGACGTAGATCGCTTACAGGTGTCACTATGGCAGTACGACGTAGATCGCTTAGAGGTGTCACTATGGCAGTACGACGTGAGATCACTTAGAGGTGTCACTATGGCAGTAATGACGTAGATCGCTTAGAGGTGTCACTATGGCAGCACGACGTAGATCGCTTTACAGGTGTCACTATAGCAGTAACGACGTAGATCGCTTACAGGTGTCACTATGGCAGTATGGACGTAGATCGCCACAGGTGTCACTATAGCAGTAATGATCGTAGATCGCTTAGAGGTGTCACTATGGCAGTATGCGACGTAGATCGCTTAGAGGTGTCACTATGGCAGTAACGACGTGGATCGCTTACAGGTGTCACTATAGCAGCACGGCGTGAGATCGCTACAGGTGTCACTATGGCAGTCACGACGTATTAATCGCTACAGGTGTCACTATGGCAGTAACGACGTAGATCGCTTACAGGTGTCACTATAGCAGTACGGCGTAGATCGCTTTTACAGGTGTCACTATGGCGGTACGACGTAGATCGCTTACAGGTGTCACTATAGGCAGTAATGACGTGAGATCGCTTACAGGTGTCACTATGGCAGTATCGACGTAGATCGCTTACAGGTGTCACTATAGCAGTACGACGTACATCGCTTACAGGTGTCACTATGGCAGTACGACGTAGATCGCTTACAGGTGTCACTATAGCAGTACGACGTAGATCGCTTACAGGTGTCACTATGGCAGTACGACGGAGATCGCTTACAGGTGTCACTATGGCAGTATGAATTGATGGCGATAAACTACAGGTGTCACTATAGCAGTGCGACGTAGATCGCTTACAGGTGTCACTATAGCAGTACGGACGTAGATCGCTTACACAGGTGTCACTATGGCAGTACGACGTGCATAACGCTACACAGGTGTCACTATAGCAGCAATTCGATCGGTAGATCGCTTACAGGTGTCACTATGGCAGTACGACGTAGATCGCTTACAGGTGTCACTATAGCAGCACGACGGAGATCGCTTACAGGTGTCACTATGGCAGCAGCAACGAGATGAGATCTTAGAGGTGTCACTATGGCAGCACGACGAGATCGCCTTAGAGGTGTCACTATGGCAGTACGACGCATAAACGCTACAGGTGTCACTATAGCAGCACGACGTAGATCGCTTTACAGGTGTCACCTTCATGGCAGTACCGACGTAGATCGCCACAGATGTCACTATGGCAGTCTGACGTAGATCGCTCATACAGGTGTCACTATGGCAGTAACGACGTAGATCGCTTACAGATGTCACTATGGCAGTCACGACGCATTAACGCTTAGAGGTGTCACTATGGCAGCAATGGCATCGAGATCGCTTACAGATGTCACTATGGCAGCACGACGCATTATCGCCACAGGTGTCACTGTGGCAGTCGCTACAGGTGTCACCATAGCAGCACGACTTACAGGTGTCACTATGGCAGCACGACGTAGATCGCTTACAGGTGTCACTATGGCAGTACGACGTACATCGCTTACAGGTGTCACTATGGCAGTCTGACGTGCAGATCGCTTACAGGTGTCACTATGGCGAGTACGACGTCAGATAAGACAGGTGTCACTATGGCAGTACGGCGTAGATCGATAAACTACAGGTGTCACTATGGCAGTGCGACGTAGATCGCCACAGGTGTCACTATGGCAGTGCGGATGGCTAAACACGTGTCACTATGGCAGTCGGA